AACGCTATCTTCTATTCGTCCCCTTCCTTAATGCGAATATAGGTATATACTATTAGAAGGTCAAGGCGAGTAAAGTAACAAGCGCCTGCTAACTGGTCTTAAAGCTATAAGATAAGTGGCAAGGGGTACCGGTTCTTTACCGTCTCTTCATTCAGCTATCGGTAGTCTATATATCCAGAGCTTCCTATCCTTCTTTAGAATAAATAGAACTAGGTAGCCCGCTGGTGATATTAATAGTCTGATATATCCTATCTTGAGATTCTCCTTAAGATATCTCCTTAACTTAGTATCTTGTTTTTCGTTAATATAGTATACCTTAAAGAACTTCAACTAGGCTCTTTCTTTGAGTTTGATTTCGTAATCCCAAGGTCCATAGTCTAGTAGCCCTTTAAGATACTTTGCTTCGAACACCGGGTATCCTCGGTATTCTGCTAGGATCTTGCCCGTTTCTACATTCTTCTCTATACTCCGGTAGTACGAGAACTTATCTCCGGCTATAATACTAGCCGCTTCCCTTTAGGTGACCTAGTCCTAGAATTCAAATTCTCCGGTCTCGTCGATTAAGATAATAGCGATTTTGGTATCGTCTATATCTCTTCGAGCCGTACAAGGGCGTCGTCGTAAGTGGCGTCGTCTTTAGCCTAGTCTTACCGATTCTCGCTGTTCTTCCTAGTAACTACTGCCTCTTCCTAAGTCTATAGTACGCTACCTGGCATTATCCGTCTCTTATGGTGGATCTATAGGGGCCGCCTCCTAGGGCGATCTTCCCGACTATGATCCGTCATCTATGCTTCCTATCTTATTAGTCGGATACGGCCTCTATTCTCAAAGTTATAGGTGGCTATCTCCCTTCTAACTAATATCCGGGTTATAATCTCGATGCTATAGGTATCCTAGAATTATATCCTTCTTAGGCCCTATTTTAATAATATCGAATACTACTTTAGTGGTTTTTCCTTCTATTATAATCTTAAGTGGTTCTATTTCCTATTGGACCTATTAGGTATCGAATAGTCCTTTAATGATATACTATTTCTTTTTAATCCTCTATAGGATCCTAAGTCGATTGACAAGTATTGGTGAGATAAGGTCGACCTAAGATCCTCTATCTACCAATACCAATGTTTGGAATCCTTTCTAATATACTATAACCTAGATTCTGTCATCGGGTTTATTGTCCTGAATTGCAGCGGCTTCCTTCTTGCTCGCTAGGAGGTCGTAGATCCTTTTCCTTGCATAGTTCTTCCTATACCCGCGGATCTATTGTCGTTATAATGGATTTAGTGGTTTTCGGGCCCCTCGGAGGGCTCTAAGCCGTTTCCTAACTCCGTCCTGGCGTCCGGATAGGTATCCCTATCCCCCTACGCCTCTTGGTTACCGTCCTACGGTCCAAGTCTCGGGAGTTCCTCGAACAATTATCGAATTTCGTTGGCTCTTCTTCCTTCCTCTCGCCGTTTACAAGGCGTCATCCATCTTTATATATATATCTTATATTCGTGATGTTCTTAGAGCTTTGCTTATATATGGATTAAGCAATCCTAGCTCTTATACTATCGAGTGCTATTAGGCCACCGCTAGCAGTCTTCTGGCTAGGTTCTTCGCGATGTTACCCTAATTCTATTATATACGTTGGTCCTCTCGACCTTCTATAGGAACTAGTCGGCGCCGGTCCCTATATCCTAAACCTATAGGACTAGTCGAGGTTCTCCGTTTCGGTCGGTAGGCCTATCGGGCCAAAAGTCGTTGTCGAGTTTTAATCGGAAGTAGTATCGGCATTCGTATATAATATACTGGAACTATAGGATATAGATATAGTTATATCACTGGGGTTAGAGTCGGAGTACGTCTTATTCGTAGGGTTCGTAACGCGGGCTAAATCTAATCTAGATATATACTACATTGCTATCCCCGACGCTATTATACAGCTTCTTATTCTAAAAAGTGTCCTAATCTTATAGTTCCTGCCCTTTAAGTCTTTGTTAGTTCTAGGCCTTCTAATACTCTGTCTCGGGGTTCTTGATTCTACCATTTCTCCTGTCCTGGCCTTGGTCTTATACCGGTCTATCCTATAGGTTCGAGTAGTGCTCTTCCTAGACCCTGACTAACTTGGCCTTGGTGAATTCTAGCTGGCTTATAGCCTAAGCCTTTTCTTCTACGAGTTTTCGGGTAACCGTTCGAAGCTCGGCTTATTCCTCTTCAGCCTCCTGAAGGTATTGAGCGAGAAAGGTGGGGTTCGGGCCAATAGGTTCGTTGTCCGATTATCGTATTCTCTATTGACCCTCTTTATTCTAGGTCAACTGGAATCCCCAATCTTCCGCGAGTTATAATGCTATGGCGGCGGTGATGTCGTAGTCTATGATGGGTTCTTCGAACGTGACGTAGGGGCTATTGTTTCCTGAACGGGAGGAGTCGTCGATGCTTCCTTTGGCCATGCCCCGGTCAACTACGTCGTCGAAGTCATCCTCGGTATAGCTTGCTATAGCCACTTCAACCATGTGGGTTGACTTATCAATCGTGGCGTTTTCCTTGCCGGGTACCTGCCTCTAATTCTTCTTGCTATAGCACTCCCACTTGAAGTGCCCTTTCTTGCCGTAGTTAAAGCAGGTGACTTGGGACTTGTCCTTTCGTCCCTTATCCTTATACTAGGTAGTGTCAATATCTATAGGACTAGTATAGGTACCGTATAATATGCTAGGGTACTATTACTTCTTTCTATCGTTGGCCTTAATAAATATAGGCTACGTTCTACACCCCTTATGCTACTGACGCCTGGCGTAAATTTGATCGTCGATATAAATGGCTATAGCAATGTATTCGTTAAGTATATTAGGTCGGTCTTTCTAGTATAGTTCGTCCTTGACCTCTTCCTTCAAGCTATTATAGAACAACTATATAAGACCTTCGTCGTTGATTTCGTACCAGAGCGAGTCCTGGTGGAACTATATAGTATAGGCAACCACCGACTTAGTCTACCTTAGGCGTACAAGTCGCTCCTATATATAGAGCTTCTTATTATAGTCTCCGAATACCTTCTGGATTTCCTGCTTAAATTTATTATACAATTTGAAAATTTCAATGATAAAGTCGTTCTAAATGTCCGTATTATTAGTTAGCCAATCCTTAAGGGTAGGTTCAAACCATCGAAGTACCTTCCCCTCGAGTCGCGAGGAGATAAATATAACTTTAGTAGATTCGTCCGTAAACTTATCCGGGTAGTATTTAAGATAGGCCCTTATAGATATAAGGAATCTAGTAAGTCCTTCTTTATCGCCTCTATACTTCGGGGGTGCTTTGAGTTTGGCTTTGTCCTTAGGCTTGCCATTATAGGCCTCGTTAACGAGTTGCTATATATGGCCATTTTCGGCCTTAAGCTAGGCGATTTTGGCATTGAGAGCCTCGAGAGCCTACTATATCTGTCGTATAGTTGCGGCCTGGCTCTGGGGTTCCGGGGTGCTAGGTGTCTAAGGCGCCATGATAGTCGGTATTACCTTCGATCTGAACCGTGATAGAGTCAAAGGGAGTGAGCAACGTATGACGAAACCATAGGCAGTCCTGCCTTTGAAAGGGTTCGCCGGTCGAAGGTAACTGCTGGTCGGACTATAGGTCTCGGTGAAGCCAAAAGGTTTATAACAATGCTTGTCGCAATGTCTATATAATAGGTATAGGCTATTGCTTGTATTGCTCACTGGAGAACTCCCAGAGTCCTCCAGAACGAGTGACTATATACTGGCTATCTTTGGGTGCTCTTATGTGCTCTATAGAGCTTCCTAGAGCCCGGTGCTCTATTGACTCCATCGAGAGCTTCTATTTCCTCGCGTTGATTGGCTTAGTTCTTGAAGCTCTCGTCTGCTCTCTAGAGCGCCTTAGAGCTCCTTCTCATTGGTCCTAAATGATTGGTTCGGGTGCGCCCTACGCCACCCGTCGGGTTGTCCCACCTGCAGCTGTCCTGTTGGCTTAATTCGTGACAGTATAATGAATCATCATGCATGCAAATGATGTCATCATCATGGTCGGTGCGTTCCACTGTCACACTAGGTGTGACGAAACCACAGGCAGTCCTGCCTCTGAAAGGGTTCACCGGTCGAAGGTATCTGCTGGTCGGACTATAGGTCTCGGTGAAGCCAAAAGGTTCACAACAATGCTAGTCGCAATGTCTGCACAATAGGTAGAGGCTATTGCTTGTATTGCTCACTGGAGAACTCCCAGAGTCCTCCAGACCGAGTGACTATATACTAGCTATCTCCTTGAGTGCTCAGTACTTCGATTTGGATGAGCACCTGGGTGCTCATCGTGATATGCCCCTGATTACTCTGATCACTTACATCCTGCAGAGTGCTCAGCGACATTGGCACCTTAGCATCTTTGCCTGTCTCTGACTGGTCCGCCTAATTGTCCAAATGATTGGCTCGGGACGCCCCCGCGTCCCTATATACGGTCGTCTGCCCTGCAGCCTGCCGTTGGTTAATTCGTGACATTAATTTATGACAATTAGCGACGAAGGAAATAGGAGTAGTAACACCTTGCTAGGTACTAACCTAGATAATAGTATTTATCTATAGATAACCTAGTTCTTATAGGTCTTACTACCTTATAAGTCTTAGCTATTTCTTATTTTCTTTTTCTATTTACCACCTTACCTTCTATTCCCCTTGATATATAATATAAATATAAAGCTTTATTCTTATACGTCTCTAATACTAGCCTATATTACTAACCCTCTATTAGATAGTAAATATCTGTTATAGGCTCTACTACTAGTATAGTACCTCTATAATATTATATATAAACGATACTCAAGCTCTAATTCTTTCGTATTATATATACTTACTTTATATCGCTATAGTAAGGTAGACTGGGACGGTCTATGGGCCATGGGCCCTGATTCATCTCTACTCCCCAGAGTTGAGCTTGATACATGTATCATAATACATAACATTCACAGAGGTCATCATTTGTCCACGTGTATAATATATTCGCCTCCCTTGTGTCCGACCGCGTCCCGTCTCCGTCATGAACAGTTATGCATGCTAGGCGACTGTAAGGGTCAAGGCGCACCTAGATACCTAAGTATAAATATTCGTTGGTCCCAACTGTCGCCGCCTCCTTCTTTCTAAACCAAACCAAGACACCCGCAACCTATGCGAGATGGCCAAATCCCTACCGTGCCCATATTACATCAACACTCAAGCTCACCCAAGGCTGAGCCCAAGCAGCGGAGAGCCGGGTGGTCATCGGGAACAAGGCCATGAGTTCTGACGGGTACTCAACCACTCCGATAGCCCAGCAAACTGGTGCTAGCTCGGCCGAGATTCAGGAAAAGGCTGTGTCTGTTTGGTTTCGGTGGTTCCGATGTCTGCGCTGGGCCGGTGCCAGTCGTCTCGTCGATCAACAGAAGACGGGCGTCATGTTCTTCCAGTCTTTCGGGTGTTGGGGCGTACAAAAATTCTGCAACTCGGTCACAGGGCCCGACTTGCACGCGACGGGTGTGGAAGAACTGCGAATGGTTCCACGCCGCGGAGCACGTCGCCATCGTCAACACCATCCCTATTCTCCCGGTGGACCGGGGACCTGCACCTGCAAACCAGCCTCGGCCGCGGCGGTGGCTTCGAGCCGGCCACCTAGCGCGATGAGCCAACCAACAACCCCTACTGGAGACGAGCTGTCGCGGCCGCTTTCGCACGTCCGTTCAATATTTTTTACTCAGGGCAGTGGATCGCTTTCCGCTCACACGCAGGCCAAACCAACCACTGCTTCCGTGCTCGACATCTGGCTCTGCATCCAACCGTACCGCTTTGGGGGCCTACAGCGTGGCAGTCCAACCTGGGGTCGACGGCATCTCCCCGCCGCCGTCGCAGCAGCCCACACTTGATTCCTCCGCCGCCCAGGTAGTCAACCAAATCATGGAATCCGGCGTTCCGAACCTCCTCCCACAGCGATGGTCCGATGGACAGGGACAACCCAACTCACCAAGCCCCGTCGCGGCTCCCTCGCAAGGTGTACCACCCAACCCCTCCGCCACGACGCCGGCCCGTGAACTTGAAGACAATCGTAGAATACGTATCCGTCGTATGGGCCGATAGTCTGGGAGCCATCGGCCATTCGTTACCACATGTTGTCCAGCGGGGTCTGCTCCGTAGCCCGGTCAGATCGATCTATCGATTTGCGTACCACCCAGGGCTGCTGAAATAGGTCAACCATCGTCGCCTCTGGGTCCAGCCCATCTCACACAGCGCCGCCCAGACGAATGGTACTAGTAATAAGCCAACTGGACTCTCTCGACCATCTACCCGGCAACGCAGCCCGTCGCCGTGCTCGACTGACCTACGCGACGACTCCGACACATTCGCCGTCCATTCAATTGCGCGAGCCAGCAGTACCCTCCGCCTTCCCACCCCCCCTCCCCCCCCCGGCCGTCCCCTAAAGCCCCAAATCCGGCGGCAGAATTGCTGGAAGAAATCAACCTCCACTGCCGGACCGTTAACCCGTCGCGACCACGTCCCACTCATCGTCACTATCGTCGAGAAGCTTCTTTGGGCGACGATGCGCCAAACCTTAGGCAAGGCCAAGGAAATCGAACTACCCGACCTGGTGTGCCACGGGTTTTTGTAGGCCATAGTTTAGAGGGAACATGGAGTATGGGCCCCCCGTCGTTTGTCTCTATGAGACCCCTTCGCGGCGCCGCGACGAGGTCCAACTCCACCTCCTCTCGTGCGCGACCTTCTTGATTGGGACCTTCCGTACCTATATGTCCCCTAGGCTAGGCAAGGTCAGAGGGCGCTTAATATCGGCCTACCCGACGCCACCGTGGTCAATCGCGTTTGATGAAGCCGCGGCGAGGTCCATCTCCTTCTCGCTATCGTGAGGGGCTTGTTGATCGGACTTTGTGTAGCTGTGCGGTGTACGTGAGTCAAGGCGGAGGCCGTTTCGACTCGACCTACAGCCACCGTTGCCGTATGAAACCCCTTCGCGGTAACGCGACGAGGTTCAACTCCCTCTCCGATCTGGCGGAAGCTTGATTGGACCTTGCACGGCAATGCGCCGTAGGGGTAGACGAACTGCTTTACTAAACCACCTCTGGGAACAATGGGATACGAACTCACCGCCATCCCCCGAAGTACAAGCTACAGAGGTTTAACTCGCGATGTTGTGCTGTCATTCCGAAAACCCCAAGGGAAGATCCATTCCTGCCCGAATGCACTGCGCCCTTGGCGAAGCACCGACTCCGTGTATCTACGCCTATCATTGACAGGAAAAGGACCGACGAAAGGACCGACGTCTTGCTAGGGTCGTATTCACCGCGAAGGTACATCTCGACCTACCCGACGCCCATGTTATTATATATAGCCCTGTCGCGGCGCCGCGACGAGGTCCAACTCCATCTCCTCTGGGGTGCGGGAGCTTTTTGATTGGGACCTTGCACACCATCCCCATAGGGCACGGCGGGGGTCGCTTCGAACCCTCCTACCTGGATCACCCGTTGTTATTCGGAACCCCTTCGCGGAACCGCGGTGGAAAGGGGGGTGGGGGTGGGGGTAGGACGAGGAGGAAGAATTATGCCGGCCGGGATGATTCGGCGGCGTCGAAAACACTACTAGTGACTCCGGGCAGATCTTCCTCAACACGTGACGCGGAGCCGTGGTCGTCTTTCTTCTCTTCCCACTACGGGGAGTACGACGACGAGTCGACAATGACCGGGCGGTCGAAACGACTGCCTTGGTGGGGCTCGGGGGCTCCGGGTTTGATGGCCGCTTGTACGGCGACTCCACTTGGTAGGGAGTCGTCATCGTCCGGGTTGGAGTAGGCCTATCCGTCAACAGGCGGAGGACGGGTCACTGACGTCTCTCTTTGTTGGCCAAGGGGATCATAAGCCTCTCGCCTAATGTAAAAGAGAGCAGATGGCGGGTGGGAAAACGCAGTTGATGACTGATGGGTTGAGGAAGGGAATAAAAGCATTAAACAGCTCGAAGAGGCAATCCGAACTCACGAACAGAATCTGGCAACCTGCAGGCCGCTCATCGTCATGCCGCTGATGAATGTCTGATGCTGCGTTACTCTCTAAGGAGTGGTGGAAGGTTGTAAGGGATGATGGAAAGCTGAGCAATTGTGGCAACTGCTTCGACCAGCAATGATCCAACAAGACACTCCCCCCTTCCTCATCTTGGCATCATGCAGCCGGTTCGTGTGGACGATGGATACCACACCAAACTTACTACAAGTCTTCTAGAAGCGGAGGATATGGCCAAGAACGTTCCGCCACTTACTCATGGTTTCCAGCCAAAGTCCGAGGATCTTCCATGCAGCCACCGAACGCTCGGGTGGATAGTTATTATTAGTTGGGAGTTAGTTGGGAGTTAGTTGAGATGATACCCTGATTTAGATGAGAAGAATCTAGACATCTGCGAGAGGACTTTGTGGTATAGAACCGATTTGTTGACAGAAGGGATATCGACGCAAATGAAAACACATTGAAGCCCAATGCCGACGCCTTGCGAGCAGACCACAGACAATCAAAACGAGAACCACCAAAAACCAATCACCCTGACTCTCCTAATAAGTAATCATAGCCGCCTTCCTAACCCACTTCCCGCTCTCATCACTTATACAGTTCTCAAACACCCACTTGCCCACATCCTCCCTGCTGATCGTGTACCCGATAGCCGGCTTCCCCACCAAGACACCGGCAACCGGATCCTCCATCCCTTCCCTCACCAGCCCCTCCGTCTCCGGCCCGTTGGTATACAAACTGCCCCTCACAATGGTCCACTCCTCCCCAGAATCCAAGAGCAGCCTCTCCATGATCTTCTTGTCAACGTGCGGCGTGTGAAGCAGCACTTTATACAGGGGCACCATCGCCAGCGGAACATCCCTGCCGGCACTGGATATCCCCGTCGTGCTGACCACCACAATCTTCGGCTTTCCAGTGGCGTTCCTTTCAGTGCGACAGGTCCGGAGCGCAGACAACAGCGCCGTCATGCCCCTCTCACAGACGTGCGGGTCATCCATCCCCTTGAGGGTGGGCCGCGCGCCGATGGAGAAGACGACGATGTCGACGAGGCGGGTTGGGTCGGATGGGGGGACGACCACGCGGGCGAGCGAGTCCGCGTCGTGTGCGTTGCCCTGGGCGAGATGCAGGTTGGCGGGAGTTGTCGGGAATAGGGCGGACAGTTTGGCGGGGGTGCGGCACAGCGCGACACATGTGTGGCCGGCTGCTACGGAGCGGCGAAGGGCGGAGAGCCCGACTCCGCCGGTTGCGCCGAGGAAGAGGATTGTCTTATTTGAGGACATGATGGTGTGGAGTGGTGTGGTGTGATGAGCTTGACGATCAAAGAGTTATCCTTGAGACAGCGTACGAAGAGTGTTTTTTGGGTCCTTGCTGTTCAGTTGCGTGGTGATGATGATGATGGCCTCTTTTCCATCTCTACGACCCGCATCGCTCGCGGGCAGTTTTATAGCCATCTTTGCGGACTCAATCCTTTATCTACACGCCAATCCTTGATCCTCCTCGTAGCCGCTGACGTGTGCCGGAGGAACTCTTCGCGGGAGTCATTGGCCTTTGGACAAGCCACAGCTTGACAGTCTTCCCGAAGCGGTTGAGAGCTTGTCGAGTGGTTACTGCGCTGGCTTGTTGCTCTAGATCGAGCGCGTCCGAATGTCCCCGCCCGGTCCCCAGGGTTCATCCGGGTGCCCCATCTCAGAGCCCTGTGACCCGCTGTGGCTTTTTCTGAGATTGGTGATTGGGCGCTGTGGGTCTTGGCGGATCTACTCCAGCCGGTCGCCGACTTGGCAACGCCGGGCCCCAAGTGGATCTGGCGGGCTGCATTTGTTCCGTTGGCACCGTCGAGTGCTACCTTGAGCTGAGGGGCGTGCGTATGTTGGGCCCTAACAACAACGCTGGTTAAGTCCGAGTTCGTGTGAATGATGATGGTTGGAAGAAGTGCGAGCCATGCTCACCCTAGTTGCTACTCTGCTTGACGCAGGTGCTTTTCGGTTAAAACACCTGTGCATCAAAGCGGAAAGCGGTCATCGGTGCCGGTTATTAGTAATTCATCAGCAGTCGACGCCAACACGCAGTTCCGCGCAGTATCCCAGCACCAACCTCCCTTCTTCCCAATCAGTCTGCAGAACTCTGTTTCTGTGCTACGTTAGACAGCCGGACCGCCGCACCATGAGCTTTATAGACCGGGAGGGGGAGGCCCAGGATGCACCTTGACCTCTGCCCACGACGGCCCAGTGCCAAGAGTCGCTTAGGTATATCCGTTGGTGACACAGAACCGTTCTCGGCATTTTTTGCTGACAGTGAAGAACCGAAGCCCGACCGCGTGGGTGTGACGAGGATGCATGGGCCGCATACTTTCGTGATAACAGGACCTGCATGGCTGTGGCGCACCACCAATGAACTCTTCTTCCGGATCTCTTGCACTCGAAGTCGGGAAGTCGGGAGCTGTGCGTATTCTTTGTGGAACGTGAGATAGCGGCTGAACATGTAGATAAGCATCCATCGCGGAATGACGTGCTGGGACTAACTGAAGGTTGTGCATTGCTAATTCCATAGAGGATGACAGACCTTACTGCGGGTTTCCGGAGTTAACTTATCATAACGGCGTGTGCCAGAGCAACGGTTCACGAGTGTTCCACCTACATACTGGGACGCTTTGCTGCATGGGGTGCATCGTGCATGACGTCCGAACCGATCCTCGGGCCTAGGCTGGATGAGGAAATGGGTAGAACCAACAACCCGTCCACGTCACGCCATTGTGGGTATTAACCCATCAAGGCGAGGATGTTCGTAAGCCCCGAAAGCGAGCACAGCGTGTGGTGGGGGGTAGTGAATTGGGCTAAATGTTGGAAGAGTCTAGTGTATGGAAATGCGGAAGTTCCCCTTTTGGCCCGTCTTTCTGCTTACGGCAGGCACGGTTGCCACGTGGAACTAGATCAAACCGTGGACCCGCGATGGCTGCTGGCTATGTACTTTGGACAGTTGCTTCAATACGTGCAGTGCGTTCGCCAGTGGTTGGCGTCCTATAAGGCTATGGTACCGTCGAAGCTCGACCTCGGGTTCAAGCTCCCTCGGCAACTTAACTACCCCTGCGCAAGTTGCCCGACCCATGACGGGCTTTAGCGAAGTGATCGAAGTTAGCGTACCGTTGCCACGGGTCCGGCAGCCGGCTATCCACCACTAGTGTGGGACAAAGTGCCACGCACGTCGTGATCGTGAGCGTTGTGCTACCTTGGATGTTTTGGAACTTGTGCAACCTGCCGCTCACATCTCTGTCGATGTTCCATTCACCTCTGAGTAGCTCCCATCAGACGGCCTCTTGTGCCGCAGGCCTGCAGGCAACAACATGATGTTGTGCTGTTCTGGTCGTTCCTTCCCTTTGGCTTCAAGTTCACAAAGGGGCAAGAACGTTGAGAACAATGAGGGCCACAGAGGCTTGACCATGGCTAGAACCGACTTGGACCAAACCACTTTCACAGTGCCATAACCTTCATCCTGTGGACGGCTCTTATCCTGCTTGTGTTGTCCTCCTCCGAACCCCCAAGAAATAGGAACAATGTCGGCCGCCGTGATCAGCTCGCCTATGCGATCAGGCTATCCTGCTCTGCCTGAGATGCCCGTCGTTGCAACAGCGGCTCTGGCAGCATTCAACGGCCTCCAGGAGAACCAGATAAAGACCACAACGGGAGGCGGGAATATGCGGTTGACAGTTCCCGCCAAAAGTCGCAGTTTCGGCTTGCTGCACATCGCTGAGGAGGTTCGCGTCTTGGAACTCGATGGCCAAGATCCGGGTGGTAAGATGGGAGAAACAAAAGTCGGTCAAGATCAGAACGAAAAGGCAAGTGATGCCAACACGTTGTGTCTCATGAGGACGACACTTGACAAAGTCCTCTCGAAAATGGTCATTGTTGTGCCTTGCAAGGATGAGACACTCTCAGTCATTAAGAGCGTCATCTCTGCCATACCTTCCAGCTGCCTCGTCATCCTGGTCTCGAACTGCGAGAGAGGAGAACGAGATCGCGATCTGTACATGCAGCAGGTGGAAATGGTCAAAGCCTTTGCCAGACAGGGAAGGCACATACTGGCCATCCACCAGAAAGACCCCGCGGCAGCTGCCGCTTTCAAAGCCGCGGGAATGCTGGACTTGGTCAACCCTTCAGATGGCACCATTCGAAACGGCAAAGGGGAGGGCATGCTTCTCGCCATTGCTGTCGCCGCAGCCTTCTCCCGTACCAGGCGATATATCGGCTTTGTTGACGCCGACAACCTCCACCCGAGCTCGGTCAACGAGTACTGCAGGGCGTTTGCCGCCGGATTCGCCATGTCATTGGCGCCTGATCGGGAAAACACCATGGTTCGACTCAAATGGGCATCCAAACCCAAGATGAGAAACGGGAGGATCGAGTTGGTTGCCGAGGGCAGATGCTCAAAGGTCGTCAACCCTTGGCTCAACCGACTCCTCATGGCTTGTGGCGGCAACAGCGGTCCCAGGGGCATGTCGGACACCGACAAAGACAAGGGTTTCATCACCACTGGCAACGCCGGTGAGCATGCCATGACAATGGACCTAGCCCTCAAGCTCAGAATGGCGGCCGGATACGCCATCGAGCCGTTTCACTTCGTCGACCTGCTGGAGCGAACCCAGACCCTGTCGGTTTCGGGCAAGGCAGCCGCGAAGCAAAACCACACCGCAAAAGGAACGGCAGACACTGGAAGCTCTGCCGCCGCTAGCCGCGCGGGCGCCGGCATTAAGACCCCGAAGCCCCTGGACAAGCCGGTGCGAGTGCTCCAGGTGCGCACTCTCAACCCTCACTTCCACCGATCAACGGACGACGACCACATCACCAGCATGTGGGCGGCCGGACTCGGTTCCATCTACCACGGCACCGCCTCGTATCGCCACATCCAAAACTCGGATGGCGGTCCGATCTCGAAGCTGCGCCGCGAGCTGGACGCCTTCGCCGTTGAACGGGGCGGCTACGACAAAGAGACCGGAGAGCTCCCTCGACCAAGGGTATACCAGCCTTTGGAGGACATGGACATGGCGATGTTTCGGGAGGTGCTGGGATCGAGTTTGGGGGCCGGGTCGCTACGGGCTTTAGGGTTCGTGGGCTGGCATTCAGGCACGATTTGAATCTTCGGGGGACTTGCATCTGTCAACATCTTCCTTGCACTTCTCCTCGACACTTTCCTTCGGATATTTACCCAAATTATCCAATCTTGCGTTCAAGATATCTCTTCGCGGGCAGGATCTCCGTCGCAAGACACCCTCAGAGTTTAACTCAGACATCGTCTCATTTGATAGACGTAATATTAAACCTGCCTTAGGAAACAACCGGAAACGTAAGGCTCTGGCCGTGAACATACCGTACCATAGCCGCTTAACATGATCTACCCTGATGGCCCTATGTACTTGTTAACCCACCATAACGTGGCCACGCGTTTTCTGTAACTCGTCTCGCCGGACGTGCCTACTGGCCTAATGGCCCGTTCTAGGCCCCGGAGGCCTTTGCATCTGGTGTCGGGCTGTTTACAGTGATGTCACGAGTCCGCGTACAGTTCACCTGCCACAAGTCCTCATACAACTACACGCACCAACGAGCAGATCTCCCGGAGGATTCAAATCAATGTCAGTCTTGTTAAAAGGTGATAGCAAGGGCCGTCTTGGAGCAGTAGATGGAAAGGACGGAGACCCGGCAGGTGAACAGCGTTGTTGTTTTCTGCATCTGTATAATCGGTTTGGGAAGGGGCTTGGACCACTGGTTCGTGTCGAAAGCAAGTCGAAAGTGTAAGTATGAAATCATAACTTTATAGTATGAGATCATGACTTTGGACCATCACAGCAGTATAAAAGTCGGTTGGCGGGATTCTCTGGGCTCGGTCATTCCTGAACTTTTCATCACATTCACCACATTTACCACAGCGTCTCGGCCATTTCACCGATCCCCATTTTTGGCCACCACGATCAGATCGTCGTAACCTCTCTGAGAGAGAGTTCCTATTTCTCCACGGTCTCTCCTGCAGAATCCTGCGCTGTGTTTCCCTCGTGGCGCTGCGGCAAGTCGAGCACACGCCCACCAACAGCGATGGCGTCGACGCGGTTCGCCAGTTTACCCGAGATGCTGCACTGCCTCGCAGAGCAGGTGAGTTCGACCCTCTCACCCCATCGCGGCTGCTACTGTCCGCCCCGTCACACCCATGTCCCCCGTTCGACGTCTTGGCTGACTCCCGCCGCCTCAAGATCACAAGTTCCCGAGAGCTCCTCACCCTCTGCCTGGTGAACGGAGCCTTCCGGGATGTGTTCCTCCCGGCATTATACCGGAAGGTCACCATCGTGCCGCCGGGGACCGAGTTCGCAGTGTCGAGCTTCGCAGAAGAGTGTTGTGTGCAGTACACGCGGCACTTGACGATTGCCTGCGATCCCAGCCCCGCGGAGACTGGGAACGACGAAACAGGCCGCACAATCTTGCGAAAATTACTACCAAACATGCCTGGTTTACAAAGCTTCACGTGAGTATTTGACTCATCTTCCACGACCAGAAGAGCCGGGGTGGAAAACTGACATCTGGGAATAAAAGCTACTATCCGCTGGCATTCTACCGTTCGACTTCGGAACCTCCTGCGCCGCTTGATCAAGGGTTTGATGCCTTGATCAGGACCCTACAACGGTCGTGCCGCAGGATCAGGCAATTACACATTATATATTCTCCGATGCTGTATTTGCCGTGGTCCGTACCGCGGATAGAAGGAGTGCCTTCCCCGGGGCCAAACCCACCGGCTTTCTCTGTCCTCAGGGATCTCATGTTGATCAACATCTACGGAGACCTGAGTTGTTGGAGGACAGAGATCGCCCGTTTATTGCGGAACGTGCCCGCCCTCCGAGCTCTCCAGCTGTCTCTCCACCCCCTCGTCATCAAGAGACGCACCCCCGGCGACGAAACGGAGATCAATGCGTTCTTCGACCGCCTGTGCCGCGAGTACCAAGGGACCGGAGCTGCACCCCTCCGGCTCCGCACACTACACCTCGGCCAAGGGATGTGTCCCAAGCAGCCCGGGTGGCTAGCTCGGCTTACCGACCCCGGCGTCCTCGAGGCAGTGGACATCGACAACTCGGGCTACGCGGCCCAGGAGATGATGCTTGGCATCCAGTGGCCGGACACCCCTTGGCTCGCCCCCCCGTGGCGCCCACTGATCGACTTCAGCGCCATCAAGGACTGCCCCCGCCTCCGCCGCTTCTCCGTGGCCGAATATACGTGGGACGTCCACCAAGTCCTCGCGTCGCTTCCAGACCCGTCCACCACCCGCCAACTAGCCGTCTCCTGCGGCGACATGTGGACGACGGGCCAGGAGCCAGCCGCCCTCCTCCGACCGGATCCGAGGTACCCATCGCTTCCCCTCCGCCTGCGCTCGATGGACATCAACCTCAGGCGATGTCCATCAGCAGAAGCGGTCCTGCAAGACCTCGTGGCGGTCGATGACGGAACGCTGGAGGGCCTGACCGTGTGGTTCGACGACACAAACTGGTTCGACGACACCGACGGGTATAATCCGTCGTACTCGAAGACAGTGGATGTGGACCAGATCGAACACATGGCCCTGTTCCTCGACGCGCTCCCGAAGCTACGCAACCTGACGGAGCTCGCCGTCGAGCTGGCCGTGCTGGAGTCCCCGACGCGCAACCCAAGCCCGTGGGAGTACAGCTATTTCGATCCGTCGATGCGGCCGCACGAGGACTTCGAGACGCTGGCTGCCAAGCTCGCCGACGCAGCGGGCCCACGCCTGCGCTACATTGATCTGCGGGCTGCGGCGAGGCTCGTGCGCTGGCGTGTGTGGCGTGATCCGGACGGCACTGTCGCGAGGCTGGAGTTGCTGGACAACGACAGCAGGGAGGTCGAGGAGGTCGAGATCTTTTGGGAGCCGGCGGGGGGGAGAAGGCACTCGGGTGACCAGTGGGACGGGTGATCGGTGGGACTTTTGAGTTGGGTGAATTGAATTTTTTTTTACTACTAAGGTATTTGGTTCATGTTCTGCACTTGGAAGAGGGATACAAGGGTGGTAGATGGGGGTTGACGATGATAATGATAATGATATAGAGAGAGGGTGCATGGTTGGCTATCTTGCAGAGCTCATTGTACCTGTATACAGCTACCTAATATTTAATAATAACCAAGAGAGGCATGTCTGTCGGAAACATCGACGGATACCGTCCGTAACCTACTAGCCTGTTGCGTGACTGTAGGTCTAGCACTGAAGTAATAACAGACGGATGAATTGGGCGACGCAATACCGCCACCGTCGCTGCGTGACCTCCGCTGTTGGCTCGCCATGATGGTTCAGGTCTGGTTCAGTTTGGTGCCCTAAAATCCCGACATCATTAATAAAGCACCTATTCAGGAATCTTGTCTCGCGGCCTCGCCTTCAGCGTGCCCAAGGAAACCTCTTGCGAGCACTCCGATCGTACATAATTTTACAATCTATGGCTGAACCGTCCGGAACGTCACGGTCCTCCATAATTATTTTTTGCTTTCGACGACTTTACTCGGTTTTTCTTCATTGCTCATTCTTGATTGTTTATGTACACTCGCTCTGCCATGGACGATCTCTCTCCCTCTTTGTCCCGTCAAACTTCCTGCATACCCAGGACAGGATAAATCGCTACCGCCCAGGGGGCCTTCATCCGCTTACGCTTGCTAACAGTACTAAGCTACCTGTGTCTTAACCCATCAGACTCGCAAACTGATGCACATACCTCAACCTCCCCGCAACAACCCTCATTTCAAAGCTACTAGCCGCATCATGCAGCCTGCCATCCCTCGCCAGCACGCTGACCGCGCCGACCGATTCGTCCACCACCAACGAGCTGCGCTCCGTCACACCGACCCCGTGGCCGGGGCCCTCCTGGAAGGTCACAATCCCCTTGTCACACCTCTCCTCCTCTCCTATAGCGACGTACACGGCCCCATCGAGGCGGGAACACGGCCTTCCCCAAGGCACTGGCACTACTACCGTGGAGTTGGAGGTGGAGTTAGAGGGAGGGGTGGAATTTCCGGCGAGGAAATCCAGATATGACCCGGCCACGGAGAGCAGCACCTCCCTGCTATCCTGCCGGGCGCGGCTGATGGCCGTCCAGTCCTCCTTTTCGAGGTAAGAGAGGAGTGTGGGTGTGATGTCAGGGGTAGGAGTACTAGGCGCAACGCCCATCTGCCAGTCCTGCGGGCCGGCTGATACAAGATGGAGCGCGGTGAGGGTGCTCCCCCCGGTTGAGGTGGCCCTGGTGTAGTGCAGGTGCATGCCTACCAGGATGGGTTCGTTCCCGTTTCCGGGGGCGTCGGAAGGGGAGAGGAGGAGCTTGATGAAGGTGGCGCAGGCGTCTTGGTCGATGATGCTGTGCACATGGGCTGCTGAGATGGGCGCGGAGAGGATGCTCTCCGGCGCGGCGAGGTTTGTGGGGTGGAGGTTTTGGGTGTAGGTGAAGTTGGCAGAGCGAGGGAATGTGGAGAGTGTGCCGGTGCGGACGGAGTCCAGCACCGCGTCTGTGGCGGAGCGGAGAGTGGCCCATTGGCAGCGTGTGCTCTGCGCTTGGGTGGAAGGTAAGAGGAGGAGGAGAAAGAAGATGAGCGTGGCCGCCCTGAGGAGAAGCTGAACGCCAGGCATGTTGGCGAGGCTTTTCCGGTGTGCCGCGGTGTCCGGTTTGGTTGCCTGATGATGTGGGTAGCGTCCTCAGCTCGTAGCGGGATCGCGGCTAGTCCTTGATAGGAGAGCAAATGTCTCGGAGTCAGCGACGTGATAACGATGAAGGCGCTCCAGGCGCATGAAGCTAAAGCAAGCCAGGTGGAACGAGCAGACAATCTTCTTGTACTGTACATCTTGGCCGCGTGTCTTTCATTCCTTCTAGAAAGCCCGAAGCTTCTGCCGTGTGCACCGCATATTACCCCCTTGCCGACCCCGCCGGAAGTTGCTGGCAGGTCCTGTATGTCTCGCCCGGAACCGAATATCCGCCTTCCCTTGCAGAATAGGTAGGCACGTCGGGGAACGAGATGATCTGCAATAGGTAGAGCTGGCGGTTTAGCCGTAATGGCGGCTGATTGGACTCTGCGGGTGATAGTGAACGCCACAGCGGCCGAAGAACGCTTCTCACATTTTCGAATATTGCCTGATGCAGATGCTTCTGCCTTCTAGTTCTTGCGCCACGCATACGAGATGCACCCTGGCGATGGTGTTCTTGTGGGTGAAGACTTCGGAGTGCCTAGAAGGGTTGTCCCGTTGACAACCTAGCTGCTTTTCCTCTTCATCCCTTATCTTATCCCCGACATTCTGATTTTTAGAGGGCCCATTTGCCAAAGTGCTACCCTTCGACCGGCAGTTGCATCTGCATCGGCATGCAGCCCCCTAGGTATGATGGTTGTTGGCGGCTAATAGACCAATCCGGGCCCGTTCGCGGCAGCTCGCCCCCAACTCCTAGGGCACACCGACACCACACCGGCGACTTGTTACCTGCCCTCGAAGTTAGTCACTCAGATAGGGCAAAATCTCGAGGTCCACATACTTGGAGTTGGGGGGTCGATTGCTAGAATGTCGATCGACCTGCTGTACATTGCAATAGCGTTGAAGGCCTTGCAGAAGCGAGGCGCTCCGCCACAGCATCGGTTGGTGTCCAAGCGTCTGGTGGTCCCAGCGGCCCGAAGCAGAGGCCCGGGCTTAGATCGATGAATGTCCACCGGGAGGGAGATGGACGATCTCGAATGGCCACACTCTGGCCGGCAAGAGCCTGGATCTGGAGACTGGGGGTGGCAGCGCGGTGGCGGATGTGTTTGAATTACCCGATTTACACACTCACAGCCTGTGGAGAGCGATCGTGCGATGCGAAACTAGAGCGCAAGCAGAACTGGTGGCGTCATGAGATGATGAGAGGGCCTAGGTGGCTTGTAGGGAGCGTGCCATATCAGAAGTGGAATTTGCTTGCCTGGAGCAACGCTTGGTGGTTTTCGAGCTCTGGCATGGTACTGATGGCAGGCCGCGAGTCGGCGCGCGATAGGTAACCCACCAACTGCATCGGTCAAGTCCGATCACTCGACGACCAAGTCATGTAGACCTTTTGGGGTGCGGTTCCCGCATTGCAATGAAGATCACATGCCGCTCTGCATATCTGTACATGGCTATGTACAATATCGTATGCATGCCCGAGCGTGGTGCAGACGGCGCTGGCGTGCATGGTGTGGCGTTCTGCCATCCGAGCCCCTTCCGTTTGTGACAGTTGCACTTTTGGGGTGTCTAGTACGTTGTACTAGACGCCGGAAACATCCATCGATGTAAGCATCTGGACAGTCAATACGGAATGAAGGTTTCCATTATCCCGTTGTTGTGAATATCAATACCCAGCTCAGCAGCAATAAGTGACCAAGCAGAAGCCTGAGATATGCAGAATTGTAAATGCACGAGGGCAGTCACTCGTTTCACTGACTGGAGCGTGCGGGGAGCACGTAGGTCATTCTCTAGACAGAAAATTCGGACAACTCGCAGACCGATGCCGTTTGGTTGCAGAATGTTTTGTTGCAAGTTGCAACGGTCGTTGGCCAGTTGGCGAGTAAGGCATCCCATATGAAGGCGGTGCAAGTGAGGACGCGACCAGGTATCCAGATTCCAGGTCGGTGTGAACACACAATACAACCCTTATCCTTATCTGCAGTCATGGCGGCCGACAGAGGCTTTGAAGCTCAAGGTCGAGTCATGAAGAAAGGGGAAGCCTGCGAGATTGGTCTCCGAGGACGGTATGGTCAATGGCCGACGGCGACAATACGTTTAGCACTATTGATGAACTGAACTGAATGTCAATCACGGTTTTTGCTTGTGTTACCGCCCACCAGCCTTGGTAGCTTCCCGGTTCGGGCATGTGCCAATCAGAGCGGCGAAGAATGTAGATGGGCGCTTAATGCGCGTCTGCGACCAGTAACATGGGACTCGGTGACCTCGGCCGACTGAGGACGACCCGGCACAACCCCCCAGGTAGTGGTCAAAGCCTCTGGCCCTGCATACGCTAAGCTTCTCGGTTGTTGGTACCAACGGCGCCGGGAACTGCCGAAGGATATCCTCGCCCAAATCTTCAACTTCGCCGTACATGTACTGTACGTGCGGCAGGGTGGAGACTGTCCGCTCTCCCATACTGGGGCCGTAATTGACTTTACCGACAGAAGTGACAGATAGCCCTGCAAAGTGAACAAGGGTCGATCAAAGAGACCCGACACTGCGGTACTATCATGTCGTGTCTGAACAATATAGGTACATGCAGACTAGTACCAACTCTGCCTCGCAGACTGCGGAGAGCCCTCCATGGCCATCGCTCAAGGGCGCTGCTGCATGCGGGCCCCAAATGGCGGCCGTTCGGAGCAGTGACAGCACTGCAATAATCTGCCCCTTTTTCATCAGTATCATGGCACGTTGGTCACCTGTCCGTGCACTTGCTGCTCTGACCGACCAGGCACTTGGGCTCTGTGTCTTCCTTGCCTGACTCAAGAGCATCCATTTCAAGCCACCAAGCATCTATAAAGGGACTCAATATCGACTCTGAAGTAGAAACTCTTCTTAGCAGAAAGCACCGGACAACAAAACTTTTCAAGTTGCCATCGTCGACATCGCCGCCTCTGCTTCCGACTTGGCCAGCTACGAGTGTCTTCTTCATCCGTCCTTCTCACTCTAGTCCTCGTTGTTCGGCTCCTCGCTAGCATCTATCCGCCAGCATCCACTCAGCGAACTTTCACTGCCGCCAACATCCTTACCATCTCCCTATCTCCCTCCGTCTTCCTCTCCATCCATCGATAACACCGCCAAAATGTGTCTGTGGGAGGAATTCATCTGCTCCGAGTGCGGGATGCCCGAGCTGAAAAGGATGGCATACTCGTGCGACATCTACACCCGCTTCGTCTACGGGGAATGCGAATACAACGAGCGCCGCGACCGGAGGAAGACCTCCAGAGTATATGGGTACTGTCCCACATGCCAGGATTTGTACCGATATGTCAATCTTTGAAATGACAACCTCCCATCTCAGCGGGACGGCAATTCTCTTCTCGGCTTAGACAACCATCATCGAGTATGACTGTCCTCGGTTCCGCCTCGTTGCTGCATCTCCTTACACCAAGTTCATCAGACTGACCGGATTAGCAGCTTGCGATCAACCTTCGGCTCGACGGCATGCTTAAGGATTCCGATCCCAGTGTACAACAACAGCACGATAGAATTTTGGGAACACGTTTGATTTTTCCTTTTTTTTTGACACGGCGACAGACAGCGCAGAGACATTGGGGGGTTTGGAACATTAGATCTTGGTCAGCATCACATGCACGAGGCGGAATGGGTCTTGCGGCAATCGCGTCCAAGGCATGTACTTGAGTCATGGATTTCATCATGTACACCTCAACTTGCTTTCCATGTAGATAGTTTCACACATTTTATTCTCAATTCATCTCCATCACCCGACATTTTCCTTGTTTTGCGCTCTGATGCGGACAATCGACTGAACATTTTCGCCTCTGCATCCAGTTTCCAGCAAACTTAAGCATAAACAACGTTGTTACGTCACAGCTGAGACGCATCGTAGATTCGTAGTGTGCTTTCAGGAGACATACAACCTGCTTGCCGAATACCCACCAAAAACCACAACAGCATGGAGTGACCAAAAAAAGCTGCGGCTTGCCGTCTGCGGCCCATCAAGCAGCCCGCACCAACAGTCGCTTAAGCCACTCTCGCATCGTGACCAACAAGGTGGCACTGTGCTTCGGCCCCCGATCGATTGATGTGGCTCCCTCTTCGATGGGAGCAACCATGGATATCGGCCGGACGCTTCCACCACTGTGTAAGTGGCCTTGAAGCAAATCATGTGATGCAGCCCTGCATCGGCTTCGCCACGCTGGGGATTGCAGTTCACATCTGAGCTCAATCTAATCAGGTTGTTGCTCAGGAGTCAGAACGGCAGGGGTGGGTCCAGTTCCGGGACAGGGGCTGGCGGCCCCACAACGGCATCTCGGGGCCCGGAGCCGGCAGGATTTGGTTCCGTTTCCCCAGGTCTGCCGTCTTCTTGGAATCGAAATGGAAAGGTGACAGTCAATGCAAAAGGAAGGATGTCCTGGATCATCGGCTCATACCCACATGGAGGGGCTATGAACAATACCTCGTCATGGTCAGAGACACCAAACCACGCACATTTAAACACCAATGCCAATGACAGATCGGTGGTGTGCACCACTGACTCGCGCCTGGGCCCAGGGGGTTAGTAAGGCGGCCAATCAGCTTACATGAACTACACTACTCCCCGCCGTACACTGTGTCACCCTGTTTCGATCACATTGATCACGACCACCCGCTAAGCACTCGCTCCCATCAGCCGCAGAACTCGGTCTGGATGAGATCGGCAAGACATTCGTATCTCACTCACTCTTGATTCCCCGAATATCTGCACAATTGGCCCGCCCCCGCGCGGCCAACTCATAAGCTCAATCTAAGAGAGAAATGTTACTACCGTCTGGTATGCACTGTGCCGATTGCGCCTCTTCATGTTTGTCTCGCCGAATTGCCCAATGAGACGCTCAGCCGCGCCTGCGACTAAGCGCCGAGCCTAAGGTAGTTCAGAGACAACACACAGCTTTTTCTGCAGATGAGAAGCGACCGGAGAGACCGAGGCAGTTCATCGGGCATCTCTTCAGCGGGCTGACGCCAAAAGGCGGGGGGGGGGGGGGGGGGGGGGGGGGGGAGAGAACGGAAAGATGGCTTCTAGAAGCTGATCAGTGGGTCTGTTCTTCTGCATCGTGCACATGATGGCGCCTGCCAGCAGCTTCAAGCTGCGTGATCGAGAGCAAACAGAGTGATAGCCCCGCAGCTCGTCTGCAGGAACAACGCAAAGAACACTAACAGAACATTCCCCGACCTTTTCGGCCACAGCAATGTCTCAGAAGTGCGGGCCAGCCGGCGGACATGGCTGAGCAGCCCTATTTACGGGCTTTACTAAGGTACTTACTGGTGGGGGTGATGCATGAAGGTTGTGGATAGCCCGATTTAGTACATCCGGCCATCCACCGCGGCCACTGCCAATGCGTCGCTGATCGGCCACCCCCCCAACATGTTGAGGTTCCGTCGTCAGATGGGGTGACCTAGAGGACGACCACCACTTACCGGTCTTCGCCCACCCGGGCGAAATCAACGGAGGGGAAAAAACGTGGCACAGGTGGCAATGCCATGGGATGAAACTGAAGCCAAAAGGGATTCCTGAGTCCTGACTCTAAGTTACATACCTTCCGCAAATGGTCACCGCGATTTGAAATGTCCTAGCTGTACCAAACTGCTGATCACCCATCAGAATGTGATATGCGCCGCTCCTCGGTGACCCTTTCCTCCAAGTAAGCGATATGAGCGCTCTACAACATCACCGAGTGCAGAAGGAACGGATAGGAAAGGGGTCATTGCTGAATTGATCTCAATTTCGTTAAAGCCCATTTGAACATAACGTTTATGCCGTCACGCGCGAATGTCAGCTACACCCACCACGCCTTAGCCGCCTGCCACCCACGCATCTGGCGCTATTACCTACTAACGACTAGGGAGGGCCGCAATCAAGGAGAAGACTAGGAATATCAACGAGATAACGCCTTGGAGGTTTGATCGTGATTTGTTGGGCAGCGGTGTGATTGTGATCAGGACCTAGCCCAGAGGGACCGGATACTCGGCGTTGTTTCCTCTGTCACGAGTCCACAAACTCCATCCCGCAAATGGGTAGGGTAACAATTCTTGGGCAATATACAAACTCTTAATCGAGAACAACGTGTCCAGCGGCGTGACATAACAAGCCTGAGTGAGGCTGATCCTGACAAGTGAGGAGCAGAGCGCCAAAAAGACCTTGGGTGATAGATCCGTGATATTGAGTGCCATGATCACTTAGTTCTCCAAAGCATGTCAATAACCATGATCTAGAGTTTATCTCGATTACGATGTTGAGATTACATACTCACGCCTTAATTAAGGGGCCCGAGTCTAGATCAGCTGAGGTCTGGATACCTGGTTCCTAGACGCAGCATAGCCATTTGAAGATCGCTACTAATGCTGGCACGACCGAGGTCACCCAGCCCTCCCTTCTATCTCAATCCCCTTTATAATAGCATTGAAGGGTTCCCCGCAATCGGATCTTGCAACTAGATGCCGACATGAACCACTCCCGGATACAGCCGCTCAACCATCCGTCTTACCGCATTGGGTCGCCGATTGTTGATTCCAAATTAACCAGATTGCGACAACAAGAACTCTCTCAAACCAAGGCGTGTCTGCCCTCCAGCCAGTATTTAGGCGCGGCCACCCCAATTTCACGGGATGAGGCGCCAAGACAGTTCTACACGGCCAATGTTGTGAAATGCCGACCGAAAGACGTCAACGGAAGAGAATATCTACTGGGGTGGGAAGGGGGGCGGTTCACATTTCTATCAGTCCAAACACTATACCGCGGAACGCACGGGTTGTGAGAGTTCCTGCGTTGATTTCTCTCCCATCTGACCCCTCCAAACAGTAGATACGCACCGCCGTCATGCTTCTCCTCCTACCCTTGGTTACCGCCCTCGCGCACGGCGCGGCGCTCACCCCGCGGCAGAGCGCCACCCAGATCGTGCGGCTGAGCTCGATCGAGAACGTCGCGGTGCGCCCCAACGGCCAGATCCTCGCGACCAACATGAACTCGGCCACGCTCTACTCGATCGACCCGGTGGCCAAGACGTCCAGCACGGCCCTCTCCGTCTCGGGCGCGACCGGCCTCTCGGGCATCGGCGAGTACCAGCCCGACGTCTTCGCCGTCATCGGCGGCAAGTCCGTCTTCAAAATCGACTTCACGACCCAGCCACCTAAATCAACGCTCATCAAAACCATCTCGGAGGCATCCAATCTCAACGGCCTGGCCGTCTTCACCAACACGTCCGTCCTGGTCGCCGACGCGGGCAAGGGCGCCGTGTACAAGCTGGACGTCAGCACGGGCGAGTACGCGGTGGTGCTGCAAGACCCGACCATGGCGCCCTCGGGCGGGATTCCCTTCGGCATCGACGGGATCAAGTACCGCGACGGGGTGGTGTGGTACACCAACATCTTCAAGAACAGCTTCCACCGCGTGGCCGTCGACCCGGCCACGGCGAAGGCCACGGGCGCGGTGGCTACGCTGTGGACAAATCTGATGGGGGATGATTTGTGCTTCGGGCCGAACGGCAAGATCTACGTTGCTACGAATGGCAGGAACTCGCTCGTGGAGGTGGATCCGGCGGCCGCCAGTCCCCGTCCGACGAGTGTCGGTAGCGTGACGGGGTCGACGTCGTGTGCGTTTGGCCGGACCGAGAGGGATGCCAATGTCGCGTATGTCGGGGCCGGTCAGGGGGTGTATGCTGTTACTGTGAAGGTGTAAGTGGTAGGACTGGGTGGCGGCCAGTGTAGTAGATGGATGGCCGCATGATACCTGGTACTCGATGAATCCCTTGTTGGAATGGGTTAGTTCTGAATTTGCATAGCGATGCTGCTCCGTAATGACACTAGCCATCTCCCTATCAGGCTTGTATGACACCATCTTACTAGTCTCGTATTCCTTCTTCTTCCGCTGCAACCTCAGTTTCAGCCTAAGTATCAGACTCAACTATCAGCGAACATTTCCTCTGCCAACCATTCCTCTGCAGCCCAGAGATCCTCCTCCCAAGTTTGCCAGTCATAGCTCGTCGGATCCGGACTGTCGTCGGTACCCTCAACGCACCGCGCCAACTCATTACCCATTTCGCTCGAGGCAACCCAACTGGACCACTAAACCATATCCCACTTGCAGATCGCCTCCCATAAGTCCACCGCGTCCGATTTCTTACCATTCGCAAGGTCTCCGCATCGATGTAGTTCAGATATGGATGGGGGACGGTCCACGACCGACTCAAGTCAAAGAGCTTGTCTCCGCCATAACTGCTGTGGGTGGGATGGCGTACAAGGATGCCCAGCTCATGGAGGCTTTTCATGTCTCTCCACACATTGTCAAGACGTTTAAGCGAGAATGGGATCGTGCATGACGGCTCCTTGACGATTGCGTGAATAGGGACTTGGCGATGGACATCCTGGCGGAACCAAGGAGGTTGGAGACCTTGGCTCGATACACGCGTCGTCAATGGTCCGAAGGTGGACAGCGCCGTCCGTCTTGTAACCTCAGCTTCCTGGTCTGACGTAAGGTATAGGTAGCCGTGGGCAGGAATAGCAAGATCTTGGTGGCTCTCTTGAATGAGCCGGCCGTAGGCCCGGCACTCGCACATGAATGGGTCGAAGGACACAGTGTAAAGATCCGGCCACGAAAGAGCGCGCGAGAGGCCGAAGGCCTCGCTTTCCAGCGGGTCTTCCGGTGACGTAAAAGAAAACTAGATGGCAAGAGGCACGCATACCGTTGGTTGGTCTTTTGGCTACTGCGGTCAGGGCGCAAATGCGCAAGCTCTCTGTCTCCTGGTCAGGAATGTCTTCTCACCATCTTGAGCGCAAAGGGCCGCGGCCAGTCATTGATCTTGACCATCCAGACAATGCCATCCGCGTCCAGGGATAGCCTCAACTGGTGGAGGAACCGGATCTCGGCCCGGGTCCTTGTCGTGAATGCAGCAAGCTTCGGACCCGGGACATGTTCTGGGAGTGGCTCCGGGCTCTATCCGAAGGATGCGAAAAGGTCTGGCATGATGGATGGCAGACACTTTTGTGCCCTGGCCTGCGTATGAAGGGGGCAAACAAAACTGTACTTCAGACTCTAAATGAAATCAATGACAATGTGTAAATGAAAGACAGACGATGTTCGTTACGAGGCAGACAAAAGGAGGGGGCTGCTCGGTTGAATGTGCACAGTGATGCTGGATTCAGTTTACCTCGTGAGGTACGTAGTCGGGGAACAATGCACTTGTGGAAGGAGGCTTCAGGGGATGGTGTTGGGAAGAGATTTTCTCTAAGGGAGAGCATGTTCCAGTCTGGTCTCTGAAAAAGGCCCCTTCCAATTTACACGACCGAGGGCTGTTCATGGAGACACCATGCCCTCCTCATGCGAGCAAGAGCCGGTCTCCCTTCTCTGGAACTTCGATGGGATACTTCAGGAAGAAGGTGGGGAGGTCCAAAATGGCCCAGCGTGCCTGTGCTCTGCTCTATCGTGCCTTACCAAAGGGGTGACGTTGATCTGCTCTCCCGGTCGTGACATTGGATGATTTGGCGTGAGGAAGGAGCAACCGCACCATCGAGAAGTGTGACTCAACCTTAGCAGTTGCGTCTCGGAGCCCGGGAGATCTTGTCGGGTGACTCCCGCGATTTCCGGGTTACCTTGGGCACCGTGCCCACCAACTTCTTAATTATTAGGTCCATCCTCAATCTTTGGTCCCAACAACACTTCCCAGCCACATCAATCCCAACTGTCCATTCCACAGCACTAGAATAATCTCAATTAATTTCCATCAAGATGGTTAACATCCGCCATATTATTACGTCAGATCTACAAATCTGCCCGCCGTCAATCAGGGCGCTTAAATCCTACAGGCCTTGACCCAGTTACAGCAGTCGGTAGATGAGATAAATCAGCGCTTCGATGAAATCGTGAAAACCTAGACGCCTTAGAAAACGTCTATGAAAGGTCGGACAGCTTTTTTCTTCCATCTTCCAATTTACTGACCTATACTCAAAGTCCCTCAGGTCGGAAACAAACCAGCCTCTTGGGTATTGCTAGCACCTCATTGAACGGTACCCTGATACGCTGGAAACCCAAGCCAAGAGGGAGTACCTTGAACACATCAACGCATTTTTCGAGAGTGGCAACCATGTACTCGGCAAAATTTGGTCTGCTTCAGGCTTTATAAGGAGGTCCCCTAGCGGCGGTCGTATGGACTGGGCCTTGATCAAGCCCGACGGCCCGGCTCGCATTGGCAAGAACACCCTCCTAAGTCTTGACGAATGGCTGGCGACCCGAACCTTGCACGTTCAATAGAATGAATATGATCTTCTAAAACATCTAGACCTGCCGTACAGGGAGGGCCTAGTTCGCCCTATATCAAGCATTGGACTATGTTCATCTTGCTCTATCGTATGGTGAGTCCCCCACGATATCGCAAGGACGCCAGAGGTAGAGCATGTCAAGACTAATATCAATGGAGATATAGCTGGCCGACTCGAAACGTCTTTACTGGTGACTGCGATAGGACAACGATACCTTACGAGCCAGGCCTGTGGATAAATGCGGGGAGGATGAAGAGTCAAAGACGCGAAGGCGGCCTGGGTAAAGTGGTGCCTATAGCGGCGACGGAGACCGGCGGTATGGTCCTTCCTCGATAAGAAATGGATTGCGTTCAAGAATTTGCTCGGCTGGATGGTAGCCTACAACGTCAAATCATGGACGCTGTAACGGACGACCCCGTTACGATGGAACCGGTCGAGGATTATATCACCGATGTCGGGGAACGTTGTGCCCTGTTCTTCGAGCGTAAGGATTACAACCCCTCGCCACCTTCATGATGTTAACCAAACCCAACTTACACCACGCCAGCCTACATCTGTCTCCTACCATTGGAAAGATGTCGAACACATCCAGCTCAGAGTCGGGCACGATTCTAGAGGAAACCGACTTGCCAGCACCCTTGATGGCAATCTTCCAGAGCCCCCGCAGACGCAGCCAGTCTGGACTGTTGCGTGGCTGAACTTTGAAGAGATGACCGGAAAGCTTTTTGACGTGAAGCCGCGCAGAAAATGTTGCACTGTCGATACCTCCGACTCATAGATCGCGGCCCTGACCACCATGAACGAGAGCGAAGAAGAGACGGACGATATCTTGGAACTGCGGGCGACGGAGTGGTTCGATCTTCAGAGCCCTGGGGGGCGCCGCGCCGCGGTCCACAACATTGTGGCCTTGGTTGCTCGACACGATCGACGACTGCAAGGCTGGCAAGGCGTTTGGCGAGTACGCGCAAACCATGTTGAAGTACGCGTGAGCCTTCGGAATCAACGAACAACTTCCGAACCTCTCTTCTTCATCCATCTTAGTGTGTCTCTTCAAATACGGCTTCTCGGAGAACCCCGCCGAGAACCCGCCCACCGTATATATCGCCGTCGACTACGAGTCCGAGGAGGCCAGATGGCCCCCGATTATCCGCGAGCTGCAGCAGGACCTCGACAGGAGTCAGTCAATCCGAAGCCTTGTTATTTCCGCTACACTGGGGTACTACCAGCAAGCCCTTCGACCTCGACAAGGATAAAGAGCGAGAAGTCGGACTGAGAAGAACGAAGAGTGCGCTAAAGGAAGCTCTGAAGAAGGGTGGCAAAGGGATCGCTGGCATAGAGCAGGTCAAATGGGAGAAAACGACCACTCTGTCGAAGAATCTCGCGGAGTATCTCACGGCGGGACAGCTCTTCGAAGCATACGTACACAAAGCGACCGCTCCTATACTCCCCGTTCCTCCCGGTGGCCGAGCCCCGGACAAGTCACGAGCAGCCGATGGCGCCTGCGGATGGCCTTGACTGCGCCCATCGGGGCGCGAAGGCAGATGGGTGGTAGCACAGTGTGTTATGGCCGTGTTGCTGGCCTGCCCCCGGGCAGAAGCTGTTGATGATGATGACTTTTGGTGGGCTGTTGTTGTTGTTGCTGTTTTCTGGTTGGTTGTGGTTGTGGTTGTGGTTGTGGCATCCAAGTCGGTCTGAATGAGGGAAATGAGGGCCACGACCTGGTTGAGAGTTCCTGCCGGTGGGATTGGTGACTAGGAGAAGGGAGGCATTGCGTGAGGGTCTTGAATATTTGCTTCTCTATAAGCTGAGATACCGCAATATAAGAGGCTACCTGAATTGTTATTCTGATTGCTCTAATGCTGGTTCTGAAAGCGTTGCATCGTCACTGTTTCTACGGCCCTATATATAATACAGTTACCCCTTTCCCCCTATTCGTCTGGAGATGTCCCGAAAAAGAGCTCCTGCTAGTCTTGAGATGCTAGCAAAGGTCACCTTCGGAGACTTACTAGATTATATATCTATACTGGGATTATTGGAGGTGAAGCGTGGTACTCGGACCCTTTTTAACAGAAGACCAAGTTGTCTGAGGTGGAGTATGCCGCCACCATCCTTAGCGCTCTTACTTAGTCGATGGTTTACTAATCCAGAGTCCAAGTCTCGGAAACTTAAGGTAGCTCTATTTCGTCCTACGATCCGGTAGGCGAGGATTTCCGAATGCTGCATGGGCGATAGGACGTCAGCGGCGGTCAGCCGCATTCGTAAAAGTCAGGGAGGCGGTGCGTCTCCGGCGACTTTTCGGAGTTGTCCCACGGACGATACATGTCACATTTCAGGATATCCAGGAATAATAGATCCAGTGGGAGCATGGTAATAAGACGCACTGAAGTAGATGATTAGAAAATGTTTAAAAGGAATGGATGGATCAGAGAGATCACTGCTTATGGCCAAAGGAAACTGTTTACTCCGTACTCCACAGGCCCAGGAGTCTCGAAGTATTAACCCTAGTCCATACCAAGTGCTCTGAGTCTGCTGCCTGCGGGTCTGCGACATAATATAAAAGCGGATGATTGCCACCTCTCCGCAATACAACCTCCGCGTCTTGCAACCCAATTCCCGCATTTCATTATATCATTCACCTGACTCTGCCACGTTCAAACTCGTCACAATGGCTGACAAGATCGAGTCGGCTCCGAAATTGGAACTCCCAGCATCCCAGCACGTTGTTGATGTATCTATCATCGACAGCACAACCTTCATCCGCGTTCCAACCGGCTCCTTCGTCGAGAACCCGCTCCCCGGTCACGAGTCGTTGGAATGCCCTGCATTTGTGTTTCTCGTGCAACATCCTTCAGGAAAGAAGGTTCTCTTCGACTTGGGTCTCCGGAAGGATACAGAGTCCCTGGCGCCAGTGATTCATGAAGGGATGGCACACGGTGTGATCGCGACAGTCGAGAAGGACGTGGCCCAGATCCTCCAAGAGAGCGGCAGAGTGGCGTTGCACGAAATAGACAGTATCATCTGGAGGTAAGAAGCGTTTAGTGGGGGTGCCGGAGTTTTACCACTGTTATTAACGGTGTCATGACGCATATAGCCACTACCATGCTGACCATGCCGGCGATCCGTCTACTTTCCCGTCCACTGTCGAACTCGTTGTCGGCCCTGGGTTCAAGAGAGCGTTCCTCCCGGGCTATCCCGCCAACCCGCAGGGAGTGATCCTCGAGAGCGACTACGTGTATGTACCCACTCTCTCGCTTCTCTTGAGTCTTCCTGTGCCTTTTGTCGGGATTATTGAACCAGGCTCTTGATGCTGATCCGGGACATACGGCTGTAGAGGACGTCCCCTTCGTGAAATCGACTTCACAAACGGACTTCGGATTGGTGAATTCCAGGCCTTCGACTTCTTCGGCGACGGGAGCTTCTACTTGCTCGATGCTCCGGGGGTATGTATCCCCCACACATGATAGACGGGGAAATGATTTACTAAATAAAGTACTAACCTCTTCTCAGCACGCCATCGGGCACATCTGCGCCCTCGCACGCACCACCCCGTCGACATTCATCCTGATGGGTGGAGATGCCTGCCACCACTGCGGCAGTCTGCGACCGAATCGGCACCTGCCTCTGCCAGCCTACGTCTCACCAGCGCCGTTCTCGGTCCCGCCACACCTGCCGGGCTCGGTCTGTCCACGCGCTGTCCTGGAGGCGATTCATCCAGAGCGCAGCCGGACAGCGCCGTACTACAGCCGCTTGTCGCAGGCCCCGGACCGCGATGTCGCCAAGGCGGAGGCGACCCTCGACAAGATGGTCGCCTTTGACGCGAGCGAGGACGTGTTTGTCGTGATTGCGCATGACAAGAGCCTCCTGGGTGTTGTTGATTTCTTCCCCCGGAGCGCGAATGAGTGGAAGGAGAAGGGCTGGAAGGAGGCTGGTAAGTGGAGGTTTTTGGAGGATTTCGGGGGTGCGGTTGCGAAGAGCCAGGCTAGCACTTGAGTTATGCGGAGTTGAACTTGGTATGGGGTGATGGTGAGCATCCCGAGGGTGAGGTTCACCCCGAGTTGGATTACCCATAAAGCGAAGAAGAGAAGGATACTAAGGCAAAGAAGAAGGAAGACAGCGAGAGTCTGAAGACAAACATTAAGACAAATGCGAGGGAGAAGAAGAAGAGGGAGTGGAATGGGAATGAAAAGGGATTTCAACCACCTGTGAGCTTGACACGTTGGGATTGGGAAATGTTGTGGAGTGAGAAGCCGCCATGAGGAGACATTTGTACGGTGACTAAATAACCATAAGATCTCCGGTTTTGAGTAGCTAAGGTACCTATATTTCCTCGCGTCTTGGTGGAGGAAGAACTTACAAACAGTACGGACAGCCAGCCCCAATATCTCAACCTCAACGTCACAACGGCCAATTTTGGAGGTGGAAAGGGTGTGTATGGAGATCAGCTTTCTAAGCAATGCTAAATACTCCATTCTTCTGCGTTGAAATAAGCCTTATGGCTGTTCTGCTCTCACTTTCTAGAATTGCGGACCGGGACGCCTATCGCTAGTTTCGAACTAACAAACAACGGTCGCTTCGGACTAACAGGAGTGCATATACGGAGTATACGGATCGGGTCCCCCTCTCCGAGCTAAGAGAACATCCCTAGTGCCGACCCTAGTCCATTTCGCTTCTCCGTACCTCGTAGTACTATAAGGAGTAGCGCGGCGACCTCACTGCATGATGCATCGTGGCGTCTTTCTATTCCTAACTTCCTACTCTCTCTTCCGCGTCCGGCAGGCTCGCTCGTCGGCGCGCAAGGACTCGCCTCCATAATGGCGGCCACAATCATCAGCACCATGGACAACAATGGCTCGGGGAAACACTCTCAGTCTCTGCAGCAGGGCAATGTTGAGCCCGGAGAGCAGCCAGAGGACCCGACCATGGTCAATGGGACGGCGCCGGCCCGGACGCGCAACCTGTACCGGCGCATGGCGTTCGGCCGCAAGCACTTCATTGCTCAGGACGACGCGACCCAAGCCGCTGACTACTACGTCATGAACCCGGTGCCGCAGAAGCGCGCGAGCCAGTGGCGGCCCGTCTTCTACCGCGGCGACCACCCCAAGTACTACACCGACACGAGTGTCGCCGTGGAGCGGGCCTTCCGCACGGGCTTCTGGAACTCGTTCCAGGTCCAGATGGGCGACGGCGTGCACGAGATCCGCGCGAACCAGAAGCGCGCATCCCGGCGGAAGAGCCGCGCGCGCAAGCAGAAGTGGCGCAGGTTCTGGCGCCTGCCGGAGAAACCCCCCCAAGGAGCCCCTTGAGGAGCTGGAGGATGCCCACGTCGAGGGCTTCGTCACGCTCTTCAAGGCCTGGCGGCCCCGGTTCGTCACCCGCACGGTGAAGTGGCAGCTCGGCGGCCGTGAATACAGGTGGACCGGCACGAGACGGTTCATGACGGGGCCTTTCAAGACGTGGAAGGGGGTATCGCACGATTTCAAGCTCGTCGATGAACAGAACAACATTATCATCGCCACCTTCCAAAAGGACCGCTGGATCTCGTATAAGCGCGCCGAGAACGTCGGCTCCCCGCCGAACAAGACGCGGCCCCTGCTCGGCAAACTGCGCAGGTACTACGACCCGGCCGCGGGCGCCTCGTCTGCCATCGAGAGCATCCGGTCGTCGCCTGTGCTCCGACCCTTCTTTTAATACTAACCATATACTAGATACCATGTCCTTGCATTCACTATACTTCCTTCGCTTCTTGTCCTCGTGTCTTTTTGCATGGATAGCTAGGTTAGTAGCTTGATATCCCCACATTGCCTTTTCCTTTTGTCTTGGACTTCACTGTCAGACTCTTGTGAGTAGTCGATCAGAAGACGGCGTCGAACCTAGAAATAGTAGAACCAGTTTGTTGGATTCAGCAAGGGCGCGTGCTGTGTTCCGACTTTATTTATATGAGAGTACCACGACGAGAAGCAAAAGCGGCAGCCCAGTGTTCCAAACAAAACGACTGGTGGTAGCCTTCCCATTCAGAGCGGTGTCATCCCAGACGCCGCTTCATACGCTCGCCTCGCAGCCTCGATCTCCTCGCCGGTGAGGATGCTCCGCCAGGTGAGGTACAACCCACACGGCTCCATCAGCGCGCGGGCCTTGTCCTCACGGAAGAAGCCCATGCTGACCAGCCTTTTGTGGTCCCAGATGGCGAATCCATAACTATGCGTGATACGGGTCGAAGTTGATGCCTCACAAGAGCGATAACATTGCCGCCCTCCCCCATGGAACCGGGAAAAAGGGGGACATGCCTGGCCCGCGCGCAACAGCATCAAATCCACCCACCCACCAAGTCCGCCTCAGACAGCCGGCTGTGGTTTCCGCAAGAAGACGGATCTGAACGAGCCTGTCAGTAGGTAGGTACTACTAGTAGTACCTAAGCAGAATGCCAAAACATCACGAGGATGGCTGAGACGTGGGCTGAACTGCTGAGCTTGGGTTGGATTCGCACGTACAATATTCTTTTGCTGTCGAGAACTGACTGAAGGAGATCCGAGGCTATCTCCAACTCGCTGCTTTGGTGGATATGCCAGAAATACTGTTCAAGTTCTCAAAAGTCAAAACAGAACTCGGTCATCCCGTTTCTCTCACTCAATACCACGACCTAAACCCCCCTCAATCCGATAACCGATCATTGACAAACACAACGCTAGGCAATCGTCGGGAAACAAGTCGAACACAATATATGCAATGTATTGGCCAGTATATGAGACCCGCTTTGAAGTAGCAATAGATACAGGAAAAGATGGTTGCTCGTCGCTCAATTAACATTTTTGCTTCGCACCCATATCACATCCTCAACGCCCCACACCAGTGCCGCCCCCTGGCCAGGTTGTATACAGCCTGAGTGACGCAAGACAAAACAGCAATGAGTCTAAGGACCTGAAGATAATAAAAAAGGATCGCTCATATGCACCGCCGCTTCCCAAGTGGTATTGATACAGACGAGAGACAACTGAAATAACCCCTGACTCAACCGAACCCTAGGAGGAAAGAACCGACGTCTGAAACGTCAACTCCATCCCCATCGGCCCACTACCGCCTCGCTGATGACCATGCCCATGCACGTGATGATGGTGATGGCGATGGTGTGCATGCCCGAACTGGTGCTCCAGGTCGTGCAGATACGCCGGGCTGTGATGCCTGACCGACGAAGTGAGAAGGTGCAGGCCCTTGCATTGGCTGGCCACGCCCTGCCGGACCAGGTTGTTGATGGACCGTTCGCTCCCGTCGAACACGCCAGAGGGAAACAGCACCGAGCGCTCGCTGACCAGCTTGCTCTGATCGAACGCGCCATGCTCGAGCAGGAGCACCGCGCAGCGCAGGTACCGCGCCTCCATGTGGATGTCGGACCGCACGTCGGTCCGCTGGATGGCAAACTTCACCAGCTGCAGCGGCGTGTTGCCGCAGTTGTTGAACACGTTGACGCCGGCGCCTTTGGTGCAGAGGAACTGCACGGCCGGGACGAGGCCGAACTCGGATGCGTAGTGTAAAGCCGAGTTGCCCTCGGTGTCCCGCTTCCCAAAGTAGTTCTGCATGTCGAACTCGGGGTGTTTCGACGCGTTCTCGAGCAGATTCTCCAGCTTCGTCGTCAGCTCCTGATCCGTCATCCCCCTCCCTGCGGCGGCGCGGCGGAGAAGCTTCATCAGCGGCGTTCGTCGTACGTTCTGGGCGTTGCTCTCGTGCGGGTCGAGAGGGATGTTGAGGTTCGGGTAGTAGGCCGTCTCGTTCGGGTGGATGGATGCTAAGCTGTCGGAGCCGATGGTGGACGTGTCGGCCGTCGATGGGGCGTTCGGCTCGGCGGAGAATTCGGGGACGTAGCGGCGAACGAATTCTACTTCGTCGCCGAATATGCGATGCAGTTTTGGTGCTGTCCTTTCCAGATTTATCCGGACGCTGTGCCATAACCGCTCACCGTTGACCGACTTATTCGCGACCAGAAACCGCGCAGCCCCGTGTCCAACCTCCCGGAAGACATAATACAGCGTCTCGATGGGAAATTCCCTCCTGGCAACGAGATGGTGCAGGAAAGTTTGCTTCTCAACGTCTCGGTGGCAGAAATCGAAGCCTCGTGACCGTAGGTTTCGGATAAGGTTGAGGAATGACACCGGCCTCATACGGGGATTTTCCGGCGGGTCGAAAACATGGAGGAATGTCTCGCCGCGGTGGTTGACCATCTGCACATCGTCCGTGTGTCGAAGGATCAGGTTCAGGAGGGAGACGCGGGCTCCCCATCGTGCCGCCACGTGGAGCAGCGAGTTTCCGAACTTGTCCACCATGTTCGCCTCTTCATCGGTGACGCGAAACTTGACGAAGTCGGGTCCTTCGGTCCTCTGGGCGTCGATGGCTCTTGACAGGCGTTCGTGTGCGCAGCCCGAGCTACTGCCGACGTACGCGGCACAGCACATTCGTACCAACGCGGCATTGAGCTCTTCTGTCGTGGGTTTCACGGTGGAATACTTGGTCTTGAACAGGCCCATGGCGGGCGTGCTGTTGACTTTGATGCCTTTCCGAGGCTTCTCCCGGAGCGTAGTAAGGAACTCTTCACGCGTCATTCTACTGAGCGCCGTGTTAGCGCCGGGCGGATGCAGATTGACCCCCTTAGAAGATGCCGAGGAAGAGGAGCGGGCCAAGCTGGAGATCCCGGACGAGATACTCGAGAGCACCGAAGCCCATGATCTCCGCTTGGCAGATCTTGTGGATGGTGAGGTCGAGGATGCGCGCGAGGGTGATTTATCTCGGCGAAGATATGTGTCGGAAGGCGAACTGGCGCTGATCGCTTGGGGTGTCGACCCCAGTGACTCGGACTGCTTGACGGTGACCGGGCTGTCGGTGGCCGAGCTGTCGGTGGACAAAGCTACGTGCTGTTCGATGGGTGGCGGTTGATCGACGGACATGCGGGTGACGGGCATCTCGGCGGCTTCTACTGGCAAGAACGCGTGCGACCGTGTTGGATCGAGCCGGCGACGGAATTTCCTGTTCCTGATCCTCCGCTCGGCCCTCACTGACCTCAGAAACCGCACGCGGATGAGCATTGTTGCCAGATCCCTCGGCCTCCAGTCGTCTATCCTGCGGTCCGGAAGAAGGTTCTTCAGGTGTTTGTGTGAGTTGCGCTGCCTGTGCCCATCTCGAGTCAATTAGCGATTGCTGCGGAGCCAACGTTGGCGAGAATGGGAGACGAGGGCCGGAAGCCACCGGAGCAATGTGCGCACCTTGGATCAAACGAGCCGTCCTTTTCTTTGAGGCGCTCGAGGATGCGCACGAGCGGTAGGCGCTCGCTCTGAGTGCACACATAAAGCCGCAGTAGCTTCTTCTGCTTGCCGGGCGGCCATGGCTTCTCGCGTCTCCCCCGCCGGGGAGCTGGCGTTGATACAGCACTGGCGGTGCTGGCCACAAGCTCCATGCTCAACCTTGGTCCCACCCCCAGCAAGCTCAGTCACAAGACAGCAGCTTTACTCGGCCTGGCTCTACTCAGGCGTCAGACGACGGAACGCGGGCAGCTTGCGGGCGTCGTGGACCAGGCGAGAGGCATTTGTTTTTGGTCGATGGCGAGCCTATCCAGAGGTTTCGAGTCGATATCATCCGAGGTTTTCGGCAGCGATCTCGCGGTGCATGATGACAGGTGACATGGGGCTGCAGTGACGATGAGGCGTTCGGGAGTGGCCGCCGTTTTAAGAGGTCACCTCCGGTGCCAAACCGGGGACAAACGGTGGTTTGACTGGGCGCGGCCGCGGGGACCGTCGCCTTCCCCAATTAGTTCTAGAAGGTTATTGGGACCAATCGTTGGACAACAGGCAGCTTGTTCCAACCCGCTCCCACTCGTTCCCACAATGGGTTTCCCTCGCTAACCCCGGAAGCAACCCCCAACCCCAGGCGCAATTTCGACGTTAGCGAGTCTGGCCACCATTGTCCCAAGCCTACCATGGTCTGGGATGTGTCAGCCGGGTCATTGGCGTCGGAAAATGACGAGACGAGCAGGGGCGGGTGCTTTGCGGGAGCATAGCGTTTATGCAGCCGTCGTCTTGGGCCGTGTCTCGACTCTGGAAACTGCCGGAGGCCCGGAGGTTTTGTCTCGTGCAGCCACTCAGCGGAGTTCTCCTTGCCGGAAACAAAAAGCAGAAGCAAGACACGGTCACCGAACAGCGAGCCCCGCGCGGCTGCAAGCTGCTGCATGTTGCAACTTGCATAGAAGCCCACCGGGAGATGAAGGAGGGAGAACCTGGAAGGAAGGAGGGGCAGACTGACAGGGTCCTTCACAGGGGTCGTGGCAGGCCCTTGTCAGGTTACACGAAAGTACCTGGCCAATCAGGGGTGGCTCATTGCATTCATGCGCCCCACACTGTCTGTGCGCCCGCTGTTGGTGCCAAATGCAAAAGCCAGCCAGTGCTTTCGGAATTGGGGCCGATGCTCGGCAGACGGCAGGCGTCAGGCTCGGCAGCTTTTCATTGCGGCTCCACTCGACCGCATTGTTCACCCGCATGAGCCGCTCCGTTCAACAACCAAAAGGCCAAAACCGCAACCCAGCAGCCCTGGAAAACCGCTGGAAAACAGCATCCGACGCCACTATTGTCCGTTCAGAGCCGTTCCATTGTTTTGGTTTCGGCACTCTCCGATGCCTCCGCTCCACATACCATCACTGCCACCGGCTCGGAATTACTCCGGTCGATGTGCGCTAAGGCGTCGTTGATGCAGCTGATGCCGAGTCGCCGACAGCCCGCAGATGCCAAGTCAGCAACTGACAGATGATCAACTTGCCCAGTGTCCCGGTCCATGTAAACCGTTGCCAGTTGGGCAAGTTAAAGAGAATCCCCATGCTGGTGGTTGATATGTTGATCAAACAGAGGAGGTTATGCCGCGGAAACGGAGGTTCTGGCTGACTTTGGCTTACCTTACCTTACGCAGCTAAGAGCAGGGAATCGCTCGCCTGGATCCCCAAAAGAACCAGAGCTGAAAGATGCCTCCCCATAAGACGCTAACCTGGTATCCAGGTTCTATGTACACCTACCTAGCTCGCCACCTCGCCCATGTCCATATCATGACAGATAAACCCCCTCCAAGGAAGCCGCCACTACAGAACGCTTCGTCTCATCACCATACCAAAGTAAGGGCCCAACCTACCCCATGCTCCTCTAGTCCACACGCCGTTTCCCCTGGACCTTGGTACTCTCACCGGTGCCAGCCTCACCGTCTCGAACGGTGACATGCCTGCCGACAGTGAAACTCTGAAAAGCCGAAGAGCGGAACATGGGCATAGCTACAGTAGTTATGTATTGTACAGTACAATCGGGACAGTCGATGAAGGCTTTTGAGGACATGCTCTTGGGGAAAGGGATCTTCCATGGCGGTGGTGCCTAGCCCATCCCAGCATTCCCAGGTCACATCGGTAAATGATACCATTACGACTGTGGCGGCGACGAGCCTTGCCACAGTCACGGACTAGCGTGCCTCGGAAAGCATGCCGCAGAGGGTCAAAAGGACAATGGACAATGCCCGTTCCCAAAACCTCCCAATGGAGCTAAGATTACCGGAACAGAGTTTCCTCTCACGCACTTCAAGAGCATAAATCCCCGGGGAATCCCGCCGTTAATCCTCACTCACAGTCAAGCACCTGTCAAGATGCAGTACCCAGCGCCACCGTCATGGATAGTAGTTACACTCGTCGAGTCAACCGAGTTCATTGGGGCGGCTACACGTACCGGCTGCCGAGTTTAGTTTCCTTTTGATCCGTTCAGCTAGGTCCACTTGGAGTGTCTCTCATCCCCTCCTTTCGACGCCGATCAACATCTTAACAACACTGACATCTTGTGACCTACGGATACACTAGATACTAGTAGTGTATATTAATAGCCGCCTGGTACCGCCCAGCGTACCGGAAACGGTGACCGCGACGCTCCCTGGTACCCACTGCTCTGGGGAGGCGGCTGCAACACGCTCTGACATGGTGTCAAGTGTCACATATACGAAGTGTCAGAAGAAGTGCGTTGATACTTATAGATGTTCACGTACTAGCAGCAGATCGCATCGGTTTAGTTTAGAAAAGAATTCGTTATCTCGTCATCATTATTAACGTACTACTACTAGTATAACTAGAGGTCATACTCTCATAAGACCATAAATCCGAAACCTAGTTGCCACAAACGGCCCTCGTCAACAACAAAAGATACCAGCCATAGCCATGATTCCCTCAACGGGAAGCGACACAAACTGCCTATCGTTACATCACCACCACCCCTAGGGCCTGCAGAGCCCAGCAATCATTCAACACCCACAACACAACATCAGGTTAAGCCTCAGCGTTCTGTTCCCCCGGCTCCTCCTTCGTAGCTGCCCTCGGCAGCAACATCCTCGATGTGCTCCACGACGGGCTGCCACTCGTCATCTCTGTGATATCCCATATGAGCTCCCATAGTCTGAGATCCCATGTCGGTCCCCGTCTGAGTGCCACTCTGCTGTCCCATCTGCTCTGCCTCCTGAGTTCCTCCCGTCTGAGCTTGTGTCAAGTACACAAGCAGACTGTCCCGTTCAAGAGCAGCCTGGCGATCCTCTTCCGTGTCATGGAAGTTGATCTTGGGCAGGGAGTGATACCCCTCGTAGTCCTCGGCAGTCTTGAGCGACAACCGCGCGTAGTCGACTACCTCATTAGGTCCCAGGCGGTGGCAGCGCCGCTTGCGGGGAGGGAGTGTCTGCGGATACCACTCCTCGCCGAGGAGGGCGGCCACCTCTTCTTGAGTGTTGACTTGATGTCGTTGGTCGATGAACGCCGTGGGAGGAGTGGCGGGCTCTTCCGACGGCGGCTCGCCTCCTTTGTGTAGGTTGGTGTGGTCGGCGGTCTCGTCGTCGTCGTAGTGGCCGTCGTAGAGTGAGCCGTCGCTCTGATTTTCGGGCTTACGACGGTGAGCGATCTCTTGAGTCTTCACCTTATTCATGGGAGATTCGTTCGAAGACTCATCGAAGCTGAAGCGGCTTTTGCTTCGACGGTTGGTCTCGACCTCCGCAACCTCAACTTCATCCTTGGGGAAGGATTCATCCAACCAACGGAAGGGGCTCCGCGGAAGGGTCTCCCAACGAAGGGGAGTCTTAGTGTTATTCTCGTTGGTCATGGTGCAAATGTGTCGCTTGATGAGACAATAAATGTGGGAAGACGATGATGGATAAACAGGGTCTTCCTGTCTGAAGAGGACGATGGATGTGATGGTGTCTTCTGTCTGAAGGGGATGATGGATGGGGAAGATGGTCTTCGGTCGGAAGCTGGGAACCAGTCGGGATTTTATAACTACATGCTAACAAAGGTCGGTTGGTGTTGCTCATGTTGTTCAGATGAAGCGCCATGGTGTACACTTACACCAGACAGAACGCTCAGAACACCCATACTGTTCTCCGGAGATTCGAAATCTCTGTTCAGAGGTAGAATAGTCTGATCAACCACGGTGTAGATGTAAATCGGACAGAACGCCCATATGATCGTGGGATAAAGCATTGTATCAATGGGAATAGCACCAGTGTTCTAAGGCCCTTGAGACCGCACAAACTGAACAGTTGGCAGTGTTGATACTGGCCAGGTAGGATGCCAATTGGACATATGATATTGCCAGACAGAATAAGCACAACTGGGGTCTGTTACAAGCCAAATCCACGTAAGCTGGCCACAGATACTATGTCTCAGCATGGTGATATATAGTAGTTGCTACATGCTCAAGCCAGTAGTGCCTTCATTAGGATAATACTGCTGAAGGATATTCTCTGTGCCGCGGTCGGGCTGCAGGTATTTATGTCAGACTTGGTATGGCGCTCTTGGGCGTGCTACGACGATTGTTATCCGGCAAGTTTGCCACAGTCCATTCGTCACCCCAACCAACATACTACTGCAGTAGGCAATCTTCATGATACAAGCGACTCTGTTGTAACCCAAACATTCCCCCAACCCCTGTGACCACTGTCATCAAGCCATATTACTACATATCAAGCAAGCACCTGCTATCCAAAACCGTCCCTAAAACTTCCTCTCACTCCATCCCGACTACTAGTAGTAACATCTACCCCTGAAACCCCCTCTGCGCAAACCGCCACACGTCCTCCTCCCCACGCATCAGCCCCAGCAGATACCTCTCCCAGTATCCGACTAGCGGTTCCTCCGGCAGCACCAACACCACCGGCACCTGGGCATGCCCCGTCCCCTTCACCTCCCCCTTCCACACCCACTTCCACTTATGATCCTCCCCTCCAACCGGGTACAGCACTCCCTTCGGATACTCCCCCTGAACCACCGGATCAGTGCCCAACCTAACCTCCCTAGGCCCCAACTCCCTCATCTCCTTCACCCTCCCTTCCTCCTCCTCACTCAACACACTACCCCTCTCCAACCTCCACCACCCCTCCTTCTTCCCCTTCCCATCCCCTCCATCCTTACTAGCAGTACCCATAAGAGCCTCACACCCCCACAAACACCCGTCATCCAACCCCAACCCGCCACAAACCACTCTCACCCGCACACAGGCATGCACGCGCTCGTTCGTCCCCAGCAGCGGCTCGGCCGTGTCCTCGTTGGTGGTCTCGTCCACGCGCAGCACCCTGCCCGGCCGCCGCACCGTCTTCCCCGCGAGCGTGGTCAGGCCCGCCGTGGGGGCGCGGATCACGCCCATCCCCCAGGGGCGGGCGCCTAGCCGGAGGAGGGTGGGCGCGGGTGTGGAGGGCGGGGGGTGCGGGGTGAAGCACTGGTCTAAGGGGGTGGTGGTGGTGGTCGTGCGGAGGGTGCATTCTTGGCTGTCTCTTCTTTTGTAGGAGTTGTGGTTTGGACTGGATGAAGAAGAAGAAGAAGAAGGGGGGAGGTGGAAGAGGGGAGGTTGTGCCCAGGGTAAGGGGCCGCTAGTCGGAGTAGTGGTAGAGTTGGTGGGAGTAGGGGATGGGCGCTTGGCCCGTAATAGCTTGCTCACCGAGCGCTTGAGGGAGGTGAAGTCGGGTAGGGTAGGGAGGAGGGAGAAGGGGGAGGAGGAAGAGGCTTTGGCGGCGCCCGGGGCGAAGGGGAAGGGATGAGCGGCGGAGAAGCGCAAGGTCTCGTGGAAGAGCGCGGTCATGCGGGCGAAGTTGAACTCTACGCCGAGAGTGGACAGTTGGTCGCACATCCCTGGGGTCGATTTGTTAATATCGTCATCCCCAACAGCGAAAACAGTGAATGGTGAAGACGACAACGTACAAGCCAGAGTAATGTCCGAAATCTGCTGGTCGTGCCAGCCGCCGCCCACGTTGCCGTGGTTGCCCGGGAACCACACCTGCTTCAGGTTGGTGGTGCTCCCCGGCATGCGCTCCCACAGCGACGGCCGGAAGGCGTAGCGCGGCTCATCAAGGGCGAGGGCCTGGAAGGCGTTCTCGACCTTGTTGGAGATCTGCGTGTTGGTGAACCGCCACGTGCTGGGAGTTAGTTTAGCCTGTTTCCCTCAACATAACATAAAAATAAAATAAAGGGGGGGCACTTATTGATCGGCCGACCCGCGCACCCCGATCACAGGCGCCGGCGGAATCCCAAGCGTGCCGACGGTATCCCACACGGCCAGCGCCTTGATCCTGATCTCGGTCACGCCGTCGTGGCACGTGTCTCGCGTGTACTTCCTCTAGAAAAAACGGCTTACAATCAGTTCACGGGATCCCCCAAAAGCCAAAACCAAAACCTCTGCCCGCCACCACCTATGATTTGGTATTAAGGCTTGCCGGGCCTAACCAACCTACCTCTCGCAGCCCCTGCTTGTACATGCGCATGCGGCGCGCCTCCCACTCGATCTTGGCCTGGCCGTGCGAGCCGTCGTACTCGGGCAGGCCCGGCACAAGGTAGTCGTCGGGATGGCGGCCTGTGTGGCCCATCTTCTCGTAGTCCTCGAAGATGGCGTAGAAGCGGTCCAGCCCCTGCGGCGTCAGCAGGCCGACCGACGCGATCATGTCGGCCACGGACCGCGCCGTGAAGGCCCCGCGCGAGAAGCCGATCAGGATCATGTCGTCGCCGTCGACGTAGTTCATGCACAAGAAGTTGTACACTTCACAGATATCCTGCGGGCTTGTCAGCCTACCGAGTGCTTGACTCCCGTGGATAACCACCGGGTTAGTAAGCAAGTAAGTAAAGGTACGCACCCGATCCAGACCCATCCCGAAGGCGCCGCCGGTGAAGCGGTCCAGCGCGTTGGCCGTCCCGACGCCCGCGAAGTAGTTGATCACCTGGTGGGTGCCATCGCTGCAGGTCCGGCAGAAGACGCGCGATATGCGTGTGACGTTGGACGGCGGCTCGCTCCTGGCAGATATGTCAGTCATAATCATCTGCCACGCATGTTGGCATGCCGAGGACGGCTAAGGACCCAAGGTCCCAAAGTACGCACCCCTTTGCGCCCAACGAGTCCATCCACGTCCCATCGCAACAGACAATAAGCCGTTTTGGAGGGCCGGCGTGGGTGACGTATGGATGCTCCGAGTCCAGGGGCGTCGCCATCTTGTACTAGACGGATGTCCCAGGGAAGCGAGGGAGAGGGGGGGAGCAAGGCGTGAGGTTCTTGGAGCCAGAAGGAGCCCGGCCGGGCAAGGGAGGATGGATCGAGGCCATCATGTTATATAAACGCATGCACGCTGCATTGGTGGGTGGCGCCTCGTAGCATGCAGGCGGTCAACCAACGCCAACTTCATTTCGGTAACTTGGCTCGCCGCCTGCATTAGACGGGTTGGAGCATAAGGCTGGGCGAGATGACTTCCATACCAGTACTCTGTTATTCCGTGCCCGCTAGCGTCATCCACCGTCTACTTGTCGGCGTATGTTACTCGGCCGCGCATGCTCTTCAAGTGCCGTTTCCACAAGTTCCCGGTAACCTAAAAGCTTACCCCCAAAAGACCGGGAGGGAACAGCCAGGCGGAAGTATTTTGCACTGATCGCAGAAGGGGTTGGCGCCAAGGATGTGCGTGAATCCGGTGCGTGTGGGCTGTGGACCTGTGGTTTAGGCCTCTCTGAGTGTTGTCTTCTTAGGGCCGATCTGCGTCTGCCGTCTACACCGATCGCGGTTAGACGGGCCACTTCAGCTCCTGTCAAGCCAGCCAGGAGACATTTCTCAGCCAAGGGGACAGCATCGTGGCTGCTGCATGGCGGTTCTGCCGTGTGAGCTGGGAACGTGACGGCCAATTGAACGAGGCGCCGAACGGGGGGGTCAACATGCAGGCTTGTTGCAGATCCACACGGGTCGACAGATTTGGGCAGGTTAGGTTACTCAGAGCCCGACCATTGCATCTGCAGTCTCCGTTGTGTTACTCGGAACCGGCTCGGAGCCCGTCTGATACGGAAGCGCAAGGACCATAGGTGGTCAACCAAGAAGGCTATGACTTGTATGAATTGATGATGGTGGTTGCAAGGTCGGTTGTTGACCGAGCCAGAAGAATCTAAGTACAGGACCTGTCCCCCACTCCACTGGATCCACCTGCCAGATGCATCGCATCACCGTCTCTCGTTCGCAGGGCTGCGACTTCCCTTCGCCTTTCGCAGTATTTCTGGATTGACAGACATTTCCGCAAGCACGTTCTCTCGAGTTGGCGACGGCAAGCAGGAACGTCTGCACGATCTGTTTCTCAAGGTCACAGCCCGTGCTAACGAAGAGAGTTTCGGCATATCCCGCAACAATGCCATTGTTCTTGCAAACCTACCTTAACCAAAGAACAGCTCACTCCAGCGGCGGCGTGTCATTGAACTCATCCAACAACCCAGGCGGAACCCTTATCCCGGCAATGCCCACCTCCTCAATCCAGCCCCTAATCTCCTGCTCCTCCTCTTTACTCATATCCACATGCACCGCGCCGACGTTCTCCTCCAGATACTTCACATTCTTCGTCCCGGGAATCGGTATCACATCCCCGCCCTGCGCCATCAGCCACGCGATAGCCAGCTGTCCCGGCGTGCAACCCCCCTTCTTCCGGGCCGCCATCGCCCGGAACTTATCCACCAGCACTAGATTTTTAGGGAAGTTCTCCCTGCTGAAGCGCGGGTACAGCCGGCGCAAGTCGCCCGGCTCGAAATCGTCGGGCGACCGGATCTGGCCGGTCAGGATCCCTCTTCCCAGCGGCGCGTAGGCGAACACAGAGATGTGCAGCTCGCGGCACGTCTGCAGTAGGTGGTCGCTCTCGGGCCCTTCGATGTCCAGCGCCCAGGGGCTGTACTCGACCTGGTAGGCGTCGATGGGGGCGACGGCGCAGGCCCGCCGGAGCGTGGTGGCCGAGCTGGCGGAGATGCCGATGTGTTTGATCTTGCCTTCTCTAATTTACCGTATGGAGTAGCCAACTTGTCAGTGCGTTGTGCACAGATTAATGGACCGGGCGGAGGGGGGAGACGGACTGTTTCAGCTTGACCAGCTCCTGCATCGTCTTCTCGATGGGCGTCTTGCCGTCCACGCGGTGGATGTAGTACAGGTCAATGCAGTCCACGCCGAGCCGCTTCAGGCTGGTCTCGCACTGCTGGCGGCAGTACGCCGGGGAGCTGTCGACCAGCAACCCCGGTGTCCCGTCGTCCCGCACGCCGGGGCGCAGGCCGAACTTGGTGGCCAGGAAGATGTCGGCGCGCCGCTCCGGGTGCCGCGCGAACCACTTGCCCAGCAGGTCCTCGCTGTCGCCGTACATGTCGGCCGAGTCCCAGTTGGTGCAGCCCAGCTCCCACGCGCGGTCGAGCACTTTGAGCCGGTCTTCATCAGAACTGTCGGACAGGTTAGTTACCTAGGTAATCCACTGAGACGGGCGTGGTTTCCGTGACCTTACCCAACTGAGCCGTAGGCTGTGCTTAGTCCCATTAGGCCGAAGCCGATGGCCGTGATCTCGGGGCCGTTTTTGCCCAGCTTGCGGGTCGGGAGCTTCACGGGTGGTGCCATTGTTGTTCTCTCTTCTAATCGATCACTTGACAACCTGAATCGTATTTAGTCCAGAAGTGGCGAGAAGACATCATATTCCGAAGGCTTAAGTAGCACATGGGAATTAAGGGGCCCCGGGTAAGTATTTCCCCGCACGGCTCGTGTGGTTTCATTCATCGGATGCGGCCCGTTCCGGCCACTGATTAAGTTCCGGCAGAGCTCCGGGCTCAAATAAGTGGAATCCAAGACTTTACCACCGGGTCAGAGCTAAAGATAGTAGGGAGCCTGTGTTCAGTGTAGATCTCAAAGATGAGATTGAGTTCGTTTAGTTTATCCATGACTTGTGGATGAGGGTGATGTGCGAGGTTTGAGACTGGCATTATACTGAACGGCTCGATTGAGTGCGTGCCTAAGAGAGATGTCTGGTTCAACCCGGTCCTGGGCAGTGTCTGGGTGGTTCTTGTTCGTGGTTGTGAAGCCTAGACGGAAAGAAGAGGTCTGAGTCCCGTTTAATACACGAAAAGCTGTCGCAGATTGGCTCCAATGCGGTGGTGATTGATATGTTCTGAGCAGAGAAGCTTGCGTCCCTCTGAGGGCCCCAACTCCAATCTCGTGCCACCACAGGGCAGTATATGGGCAACATCGTTGAACCGACTTTCAACGGCGCCACAAAGTGGCCAAGTGGTCAATCTCGGTGCACCCACAACGCCACGGCGTCGTAGACCCTCATCTTCTGAGATGGCTTGGGTTCGATTCTCGTGTCCAGCTAAGTAAAATCCCTGGTGGGGGATTTTCGTAGCCACCAACCTTCCTTGGAAGTTTGGTGGTGAGCTTTGTGCATCCCATCCAATCCTCTGTGTCGTGCCATACTGCACTTCATGTCAAATCCACCCATAGGCCTCATGGTCTCACTCAACGGCCGTCCTCTCCCTCCCTCAGCAACTTCCTTGCCCGATCCGCTGCGATTTGGCACATAGCCTGGTTTTACCCACCGTGACATCAGCACAACATCCCACCTGAATAAACAAATCCCACAATACATCACCCAAAGGAGCCAGGTAGAAAAAGCTCACCTTGATACTCTCCCTCTCCTCCCCTGCAAAATCCCTCCTCCCAATCCGCCGCCTCATTTCATCCATCACCTCCTCCCTCCCGCGACCCCTCACCCACGTGACAAACCTCAACCCAGGATACTTTGCCTCATACTCGCGATTCAACCTCGCCAATACCTCCCCCTCTGGATCACTCTCTTGATTCAAGTGCCTCTGCTCGGCTGAACTAAGCCCGCTCAGCACTTCCTTCTTCTCCCCCAGCCGTGGATGGCTGCCCAGGATGGAATGCAACAACCTCCTTTTCTCTTTCTCTCCCTCTCCCCCTTCCCCTTCCCCTTCCGTGTCGGCTCCTGCTGCTGATGCTGCTGCTGCTGATGATGACGCTAAATCCATCAGCTGGACGCTCAGGGCCATGATGAGGTCGTTGTAGGAGGGATATGGCCTAGCGCGGAGAGTGGGTAACGCCAGGGCGTGCAGGGCAGGCGAGGGCTCAAAGAGGAGATCCAGCGTGGAGGTGAGGGCTGAGTCTGGGAGGGTGGGGAGGGTGGTGATAGGTGGGAGGGAGGGCGTCGTCATGGTTCTGGTTTTTTGTGCGGGGTTTGTAGAGGGAGGTGGTAGTCGACGGCCGGTCGATTTCGGAGTCCGGGGAATAAGATCAGAGGAACGATCTGAGGTGTCTGGAAAATGACCTGGATTTGGATGCAAGGTCAGGCAGGTAATTGAGGGCGGATGCGGGCACCTTATCAAGGTCACACGTGCGTGGGGGTCGCTGGCGGGCGTGGTGGGGTGCCGATAATCGTGCTCCGCTGCAACGGGCCGCGGCCGCGGTGGTCTTTGTAAGTTCCAGGCCAAGCGCGACGCCGACAGCACGGGTAGCCTCGACGGGTAGCTGCAGTACGCAAGGGTCAAGAGATGACTTCGATCTAGACTTGCACCCGGCCTCTTTCCTTCGTCCTGACTTGCTAAGTATCACGCTGAACTCTCAGCCCTGGAGGGGATGGATATGCAGAGTCCTGACGATGCGGAGGCTCCACTTGGGTTCCGATGCCTTAATAATCGGCCGGCGCCGAGCGAAGTCCGGCGATCGGTGCGGCCCGTCTCGCTGGAGCATTCCGCGCTAGTGTACTGGCCGTCGGCACCTCTCACGACGTGGTGTACATACAAGCACTCCTCGATCGGGGTATGTTCAACAACACCAGTTTTGACTAGCCCGCTATGCATGCTAAGGCACTTAACTCATGCGATGGTGTTCCGAACCCCAAGCAGTCGTCCACGCCGCCATCGCCAGCAACGCCCAAGAGTAGTAGTTACCTCGCCAGGCTAAATGAACAGAAATCCGATCGAAATGCGTATGAAAGCAACTTTGCCTCCTATCCGCGGACTGAGCTACCACTAGTAGAGGTAGTAGTGCCACACCACGCCGTGATATCTGCGTCGATATCCTGAAACTCCAAGTTGTGATAAGGTGCCTCCAATTGTGTAAAAATGCAATGCAATGTCGCCGCCCCACGCATGGAATCAATAGAACAGCACCTTCACACAGTACTGCTCCTAGCCGTCATCAGCAACGGGCGTTCCAAGGTATGCCATCCAGATCGTCCATATAATCCTCGAAGTGATCACCCCCACCCCCCTCCTCGTCCGAGTCCTCTCCGTCTGCCCCACCAAAGATGACGCTGAAATCGGCATACACCTCGTCTGACGGCTCGTCCTCGTACCGGCTCTCGTGCTCCGACGTCGGGAAGGCCACACCGCCGCCGCCGTCGTCGTCGCCGTCGAGCTCCTCAATATCCTCGAGCGGCACAAGCGGCCTCGTCACCCGCAGCTCCGGCGAGCGGAGCGGCCGCAGCTTGGGGCTGGGAATGCGCAGACAGGTGGTGGCACACGTCGGTGGCGGGCCTCCGGCCATCGGCACGTGGATACTACCGGGCTGGAGCCGGAGGCCGGGTGGTGATTGCAGGCTGCCAGGTGGTGGTGGTGGTGGTGGTGGTAGTGTTGGTGGCGGGCAGCCAGAGGAGGAGGGCTGTGACACTCCGCGTGGCCCGGGCGTCATTGGCGCTGCCACCGACGGCGTCGTCATTGTGATGAGATATCGCCCGCCTACGAACACCGAGTTGCCATGGCCCTGCTGGAACACAGCTGCTTTGGCCGCGAGGTCGGAAACCTGAACGTGGCCCCTCTCCACCACTTCGGCGCGGACCCGGCTTCGTAGGCTGTTGAGCACAGCGGCCCGCCGGAGCCAGGTCGACGGACTCGGTTGCTGGGGCTGTGGCAATGGAGAGTGAGGCTGCGTCGTCACGGTGCTGTTGAATCCTCGCCTCGCTGACATGATGGCGGCGAGCTTGATAAACCGTTTGTCGCCTGTTGCGACGGATTCCCGGTTGAGGATGTGGGTTGCTGGAAGAGAGAAAGGTTGGGAGAGCCGCGAGGTAATTAGGTGTCGTAACAGCCGGCGTTTCTTGCGGCTTAGGGAGTAGGTGCCGGGACCGTCAACGTCCGTGGCGGGCCGCCGACGCTTGAGGAACGACCCGGGGCGCGAGGGCGGCGCTGAGAATGGGAATGTCACGACATCCTCGCCGGAGGGGACGACCTGACGGAAACCCAGGGACGGGTGGAGAATCCTGGGAAAGAGGGAACGACCGATTTCGTTTGTTGCAGCGTCCGAAGTGCAACCCCCGGGTGAGCTGCGCCGGGAAGACTTCTCTGCCGTAGGCTCTGGCTCCCGTAATACTGACAGTGTCACTTCTGGGCGAGAGGAACTGTGACAGTCCGCTCTCCCCGCTTTCGAGATCTCTCGAAGAGTGTCGCTCAGCTCGCTGATCGCTGCCGTCTGCAACAGCGCCGCTTGCAGCTCGGCGCGATGGTCCTGCTGGAATCGAACGTCTGCGAAGTGCCATGGTCCGTACTGCTCCAGACCCTGAGAGATGGGCTCAAGTTGGAGCCCCATATCGGCCATGTCATGCCCTTCGAACTCAGACAGGCGTCCACGGGAATGATCCTACTGTTGATGAACCTTGTTCTCCTTATTACGGCGCATGTTCAGCCAGAGTCCAACGTGATTGGATCGCGGCCATGGGGGTGTGCGTTCAGGTCAAGAAGGCCTCGGGGCAACGACATCCAAGCAGGAGAGGGGGCCACTCAGCACGTCGGGAGCAGGATCCGAACCATGCCGAGGCGGTGTCTGATGGCTGCGTCCTCGAGCGAGCAAACGGGGAGGCCACTGTTTCCAACAAGCCGTGAAGATGCAAGGTTGGCTCGCTGGTCGCCGGAAGCCGCTCGACGAACTCGGGTTCGGGCCGCGGAGAGTAGAGAGGCTTGGTGTCACCCCAGTCTTCTATCGGCAGCCAACGCGGGGGTTCCAGGCAGTCGGGATCTGAGAGCGTGGAGAAAAGAGGTGTGATGAGGATCAGGCGCACTGTCAGCCCATCACGTATTTATCGGGACCTCAGGATCCAGCCCGTTGGTGTCGAGTGGGGAACGAAGGCGATCTTGCGGAAGCTGGGGCGAGCATGCCCCTCAGAGCCACTAGCAGAGCGGCTAGCTTTCAGCGGTGGACCCGCGATGCATCTCCCCAGTCAGATGCAAGGTTGCATGGCATGAAGTTCCCAATGAATGAGAAATTCCGGGGTACGAGGCGGGAACTTCTTGGGGCTGGGAGCGAGGGCTACTGCTGACTGGTTGACGGTTTGGTGGTACCACAGAAGACGACACAAAAGAAAACGACGACATGGTTGAGGCCCGTCAAAGTTAGGAGTTGTGACCTGGAAGTACCTAGGTACTTCGTAGACGCAGTGGCGCGCCGTATTGGGCGACAATTTGAAGTGTGGAAGTCTCTTAAAGGTTCAAGGAAGAGCCAGAATTCGGGTTCACAGCAGTACGGAGTACTGCCGATCCGAACGACTGGTCTCTGCCAGTGTTAGGTCTCCGTGAGAGTCTCCTGACCACGGGTGAGCAGAATTAGCGAATGGCTGGCAGCTGCCTGAACTAGCCCGAAAGGGCCACCGGCAGTGAAGCGGAGCAACAGCCAGTGGCCGAATTTCCATCCCGTAATCGGTCAACCAATCCATTTTACGGATACTGTTTAAGTTTTAGTTTACCTCGAGATGTCTCGTGCAGTGGTGCGCTTCTGAGTAGCGAAGGGACGAGTCCCTGCAAGGATGTGGGCTTGTGCTTGTTCCGTCCCGCAAGAATACCTTAGGAACGCACTAGCCTGAAGTCGTTTGGTTTGGCCCATGCACAAGCCTCGATATGTAACCTGCTCACTTCAGCACCTTCATTCCATTTCAGGTCATCTGCAACCCAAGTCTTTCCACAATACACTACATCGAGACAATGGTTGAATCGTGCATACCAGAGCTGCGAAGCCTGTGGATGCCACCTGTTGGTACCGTAGCGCTGGGTTTGAATCACGCAGAGAGCTCGGTTCAATTTCGACGTTTTCGCGCGGAAACTTCCGCTGAGTGGATCTGCGGGGAACCCTGGACAGGGCCCCACATCTGACATGAACAAGCCCGCGGAGTTCGCGGAAGCTTGGACCACATATTGACACGGCTGCAGTCCCCTGCATTCATCCATCTTGCCAAATTTGTTGGGCTTTCTGGATGATTTGACACAGAGGAGCATGAAATGACCCACAGACGAGCTATCAAAACGCTGCATCAAGTTCAGTCGCTGTCTTCCAAGGGCGCTGCGGTGTGCCAGTGTGGTGGCTCCCCCGTCTCGCCAAGCATTACCATTCAGGGCCGACCTCATTTGATAGCTAGGGAGGGATCACGCGGCGCTGGGCCACGCAGACCATGGCCGGGATCGCTCGAGCCATGTCAGACAATTGTCAGATGCCCACAATTGTCAGTTGCCCAACCACGGTACGAAAGAGCTCATCTGGCTAATAAACCTCGAGCCCTTTCTTTTTGCGGCGATTAAAACATCCCCCTCCCTTTACCTTTACCTTCCCACAAGCCAAACCTGCTCTTGGTGAACGCTGTCTTGTGTGCTGCTGCCCAGAAAGCCGAGCTGATTTCCCCTCCTACCGACACTCCCCTTCCTATCTTGCATGGTCGCGCATCCAAGGAGCGAACGGCCGAAGCCATTAAAAGCTAAGCTAGCCCGGTCAGCCAACCCGGCAATGCCAAACAACGACCCGAAATATGTACGCCCCCGGCCCTTAGACTCAAACCCGACTGATAGATCGACACAACACAAGACCACGTCGAGCCAAAAAAAAAAAAAAAAAAAAGCGCTGGAATGTGTAAGGCTCGGTGTGTATGCCTCCGAGCGTGACACGCATAATAAAGGGAAAACCGTAAAATAGCGTGTGTATGGCATCAAGTCGATACAAGAAATAAGAACAAGATTAGGATGATGAGTCGTATCGCGGCACCAATGGCATGCAAACATTTGAGTACCCCCCCCTTCTTCCGTGGGTTAAACAGCCAAACAGATGGCACAAGACATTTGCTCTCCCCAACAGATAGATCACTGCATCACCCGATTACTCAGACTAGAAGCAGAGCAGCAAAGCCAACAATGCCGGCGAACGCACTGGCCCCGAGCGTGCGCTCGCGGACGGCGCCACTGTTGCTGTTGGAACCAGCAGCATTGCCATCATTGCAGGACTGGGCGAACCCAGTGGCCGCGCACCCGGACACGGTACCGGCGCTCGAGCCACCAGACGACCCGGAGCTCGAGCCCGAGCCGGAGCCGGCATTCGTGTCGGCGTTGCCGGCGCCCGGGATCTGGCCGCCGGGAGCCGAGCCGCCGCCGGGGATGGCGTTGACCGACGACGCCGAAGCAGTGGCGCTGCCGGACTTGGTGGTCTCGCCCTTGTTCATGTCTGTGCCCGTCCCGAGGAAGCTCTTGAGGATGGTCGGCTTGTCGCTGTCGACGACGGTGTTGTTGGTGGCCGAGATGTCGTTGTAGTAGTAGGACTTGCCCTTGTTGGTGCCAGGCGCCGACTTCGCGTTGTAGCACTCGACCGTGATCTCGCCGAAGGTGGCGAAGTAGTAGCCGTAGTCCTTGATCTCCTGGGAATTCCAGTCGATCACGCCGCCGGCCCAGTCGATAGTGCCCTTGGCATTGCTCTCGAGACCGCCGGGCCAGATGGAGATCTGCACACGGGCGGGCGTCTGCGGGTAGTCCCACTGCTGCGCCGTCTCGTTCCACGTCTCCGCCCGTTTCTTGGTGCGGCCGAGCTTGCCATCCACGAGCCACTTGATCTCATCAGGCGTCCACTGGATCTCGTATTCATGGAACTCGTCGTATGTGTTGGACAACTCGGTAATGTTGAAGGACTGGTCATCTAAAGTCGGTCAGCATCAACAAAATTAAACCATGAAGTAGAACGCTGCTCACAGTTGGGAATGCCCTGGAAGTAGTAGTTGGTCTGGGCGGTGCTCAAGTCCACGCCGACAAACTCGTAGTCGATCTCGTCCTTGACGTCGCTGAGCAGGATGAAAGCCGTCACAACACCCCTGCCCCTCGACGTCTTGAGCTTCGCCTTGACGTTGCCATACCACAGGTACGTCGATGTGGCGAGGACAGTGCCGACGGACTTCGGCGGCATCGTGAGCAGGACGTTGCCATTGTAGACGACCGGCTCGCCCTGGCCCACCCAATCTGCTTCGCTAGGATCACCGAGATACTCGGCGATGTCCTTGTACCGGTCGAGGGAGTCCATCTTGTACGTCTTGGACTGGCACACCGGCTCCGGGACACACGAGTCGAGCGAGAAGGACATGCGCGGGTCGCAGCCGCCGAGACAGTAGGCGCCGACACCGCATTGGCCATATTCTGCGAAGTCCGGGTGTCAGCGACTCTGGTTGCCACGACAAGACCCCTTCTTGCGCTACACAGGCAGCTCCGAAGTTACTCACGAGAGCAGCAGGGTGCCTCCTTCGGGCACTTCTTATCCAAGGAACATGTCGGGATATCGGCGGCTAGAACGGCGGTTGCGCCGAGTAGGGCAGCGCCCAACGGCAGGAGAGACCGGACCATGGTCGTTCAGGCTCGAATCACGAAGGAAGTTATGTCCGAGGTCACCGTCGAAGGTGCTACAGCGACTGCCGTCCGTGGGGTTTATGGTGATACGACCCGATTAATACACCTTGCCGGATGCGGTTTCCCGCACGCGTGGTAAACGCAGGGCGCTGGAATGCAGAAGGTCGTGTTGGACAAATGTGTAACACGGCTCTGGTGAAGTCCTAGTTGATCAATCAACTGGCGCGTCCAATGTGAGCCCGCGATAGCTACCCGGCGAATGTTGCTCTGAGCGAGGGGTGTGATACAAACGATCGGAGTGGTGCAAGTTGTACGGATGAAGACAGGACAATAACTATTGTGCTGCAGATGCGCGGAAAACGAATGGACAAGCGACCTTGTTGGGCCCCTCTGTACGAACCGAAGGATCCTTCAAGGCTGCACGGCGTGGATGAGGTTAAAACGAAGGTTGCTCGGTGAGTGGGCTCCTGGCAAGGTCCCGATGCCGAAGTGCTGAGGGAGTGGAAAAGGAGGGAAAACCGCGGAGGAAGCGGCGGTTTCGCGAGCAGATCAATTTTAGCAGCTGCAGTTCCTGCAAGGGTGGGCAGGCGATCCATCCATGTCTGGTCGGTGCATGCATTGGACCACGGCTCTTATAAAGTTGCTAGGCTTAAAACAGGAAATTGCACTCCCCTGCGCCGTTACCCACTAACAGGTGGGTGGGACTCTTCGTGTTTGGCAGTCCGAAGAACAACTTGAAGGCCGTCGTTGATCATCAAAAAGGGATGCCAGTTGGCGTGATGTGGATCGAACGCTTCATATGCACGAGCAGAACAATCCGATCATGACATCGTTTGAAGCTCGGCACCAGCAACATCCCTATGTACCTAGGTAGTGTACTAGTAGTTCGAGTCATCCCAAGCCTCAGGCGTTGGCCTGGGGTTCGGATCGGATGGGCTTGCGAGTTCCTTGGGGCGGGGAAGTGATCGCTCCTGCTCTTTCTAGAACCGTGACGCCGCACTCCTGATTGGGTAGTTCATCATGCATCTCGCACCAATTGCTCTCACGTGCCGTCCAGCGGATGAAACAGCTTGTCTCGTATTCCCGTCGACCGTTGAGGCTGCCACTTTTCGGCCGTGAGTAAGCTGGTAAGGTACAATACAAGTACGTGTCATCTGTATCATAAGTACCTCAGGTTTCCGTTGAACGTGCAAAGAGCGGTTCAGAGATGGGTATGGAACATAGAAGTTGCTGGCTTTGCAAATAGCTGAACTTGCATAGCGTAGGGGAAGTACCTCAGCCTCGGGTACGCCAACCTCGCACTCTTCGACCACCGTACATAACGGTTAGGTATAGACGGTACCTACATGTGATGGCTACCTGACAGACCACGCACATCTCGGGCTTGGCGCGCCGCATAGTACCTTACTCAGTATAGTGGCGTTTGACCTCGTAGCCAGATCAACAACCACCGACACAGTACAGAGGCATGACAACATGACATGTAAACACGTTTTAATACCGCTAGTGAGACTCCCACGGGATGTTAACAATCTCCACTGTCACCAGAGCGCCAATGCTCCCGACTCTCGGCCACGCCTTCCATGGCCTCAAAAAGAAGTAAACAGCAAATTAGAGAGACCAGATCAACACTCTGTCCACCGACGTCGCAACCCGGAGTCTAAGAAAAATCCCCACTCCATCCTCAGAAAAAATGAAAAGCATGAAAAACAGAGAGTGAATAACTGTATAACAAGTTCTTATGCTCCAACCACAAACGAACCTTGCGAGTAGCTTACCCAGGCGAATGGGCGCCTGCGGCCAGATATTCCGGGCTGCCCCGAAATGGGTGAGCAGAACAAGTGTCGTTCTCTGGCCACGTAGATCCGCTACAAGTCTGTGGCGAGAAGAGGTCGTAGAAGCCTAAGCTCCGATGCACACAAGAATAAGATCCAGCCGACCAGACGAACCACAACCGCTGAGGTCAATGGTCGAGTTAGGTCCCGGAGAAGCGGGAAGAGGTGGGCCAGACGTCATGAACCACGCGTGGTGAGACTATCTGGTCTTCGCCGGCGGGAACAGATCTACACATAATCAGTTAACCTCGGACCTCGACGTGACTCCGACAATCTGCAGGTCCACTTACCAGGGAAATGCTCCTTCGCAAACTGCTCGCAGGCCTTGGCTGGCTTGCCGACCTTTTGCCCGATGGTCTTCCACTTGTTGTTCTCGTACTCCTTGATTGCTGAAAACAGCGCCGCTTTCTGGAAGGCGGTGTTAGCCCCTGAAAAACAATACGGACGAAGCCAGATCGGACGTGCCTCATCTTCAGCAAATTCAGCATAATGCATGTCCTTATACCAATGCTTCTTGACGCTGCCCTCGGTGCGGGTCGGGAAGGTCTGTGCGACTGTCAGCCAAAGCCACATCATACCGACAGAGCCTCTGAACCGCATGTACCTTGGCGATCTCAGCCCAGCTGTTGCCGGCGTCACGCATCTGCTTCAACCGAAGCTCTTCCGCGGGAGTCCAGGGAGTATTTGTCCGGCTCTTCTTTGCGGGAGGTTGGGTCGGGGTAGAGCTACCGTCCTCGACAGGAGCCTGCTGTGTCGGGGCAGCAGCAGATTGAGCCGGTGAAGGAGCGGGAACTTGAGCTGCCGCCTGCTGCTGTTGCTGCTGCGGATGTTGCGCATGTTGCGGGAGTTGAGAGTGGTGCGGCTGCTGGGGCTGCTGGTGATGATGCTGCTGGGGCTGCTGCTGGGGCTGTTGTTGATGAGGTTGCTGGGCAGGGGACTGCGTTACTTGGTGTGATGTAGTCGAACCAGGCTGGGCGGCTTGCTGGGTCGGTTGCTGTTGCTGCTGCTGAGCAGCCGTGGGACCCTGGAGATGTTGGGAAGCATGCTGGGGTGGGTGCTGAGGAGTATGTTGAGGTGGGTGGGAGGCATGGTGTGGAGGGTGTTGCGGAGCATGCTGGGCAGAAGCGGGAGCGGGAGCATGCTGGGGCTGATGCTGGGGAGGGTGTTGCGCGTGCTGTGGAGCTTGGGACGGCGGATGCGCACCGGGAGCCGGGCGTTTCCGTCTCCCGCTAGCCGGGGGTACCGGAGCCGGGACCTGCTGCTGGGGCGGTGGAGCCTGGCCCTGCTGGCTGTGAGCCATGGGCTGCTGCTGCTGCACAGGCGGGGCCGCATGGTGTTGCGCATGTTGAGGGTGCTGCTGCTGATGAGGGTGCTGGGGCTGCGACGTCGCCTGCGATGGCTGTGTGGGATAAGCCCGATAATCTACAGGCTGGTCCCGCCTGGTGATGTCGGGCTGCGGAGGAGCGTAAGGCGATTGACTGTACCAACCGGCATGGTTAGCAAACGGATTTGCCGGGGCTGGTGGCTGCAATGGCTGCTGCTGTTGCAGCGAGGGCATCGACGTCGTCTGCAGCGGACGCCATGATTGAGCATCGTTTGCCGTCCTCTGCTTCCTCATCACAGACGGGACGAAGCTACGTCGGGAGATCCCTGGGCGTAAAGCACCAGGACGACCGCGACAAGCAGGGCGACAGCAACGAGGTTTGGAGAGCGGTCGGCACGCACAACCGGTTATGGAGATGATGCCTTCGGTCTCGAATGGGTAGTACTGGCTTCTCCCCACGTGGTCGATCTACTCTGCTCCCATATTTGCAGGATAATGCCCGGGGAGGGAGTACATCGGGTACATAAACGGGGGGTTGGGGTGCGAAATGTGTGGTTGCGGCCGTGCCCAGATACGAGGGAGGTACAAGACGAGGTACTTACTGGAGGTCGTTCGACTGGCTGGTGGAGTTGGAGTAGAGGTACTCCGGCATGGGTGTAATAGTCCACTGATGCATGGTCTATAGGCGCAAGAGTTGTCAGCGATGCATTGCACTAACCGCCAGCCCGGCCGAGAAATGAAGAGGGGAAACGAAATGAAAATAAAGAAACCAATGAACGGAATACCGGTCTGGGTGAAGGCTTTAGGGCGCAGTGTATCGATTCCTCAAACCTAGGATTCGAGATGTCAAGGTGAAAGATTTTGGCACCCTCCACTAAGCTGAAGGTACCAGCATCCTTCGAGTCTGTTGTGACCACTGGACAGGTCCCCGTTTTTTCGTGAGCGGTTTGCTGCGACCAAAGCACAATGCGTGTCTCATGCGGCACGCGTCGAGGTCATGACAAAGCCGGTCGCGGGTAGGGGACAACAAATTGAAGCGCGACTGGTAAAGAAGTGAAAGAGGTACTTACGGAGCCGATTGATCTGTGAACAGCTGCAACGGGTTACAAGCTATGCTTGCTTCAAAGCAGTTGTAAGATCGAAGTACTCGCGAGTGACCGGTGCGCAGCGACTTGGGACCGACTCAAGACATGCGGGCACAAGTACCTCAACCGATGAAAAGTGTCAGGTGAATGGGGGGCTGGTGCTGGGGTGTGGAGTGAAGGAGCTGTGACCAGCCGAACCTTTTGGGCCTGGGGTGAATCGGGTTTTGTGCGAAGCGCAGGCGCGCGACAGCTGACAAAAAGCGGGGAACCGTGACTTCCTTGAGAAAAGCTTTTTGTCACTCGACCAGGGTGCTGCAAGCCACATGCCAGTGCGAACTAGCCCCCAACGCCCGGCGGCTACACAGTAGGTTTGTCAACAGGCCGTCACACAACACAGAATCTTAACCGTCGAGGCTGAGCCGTCTACCGATGGCGCTGAGCCTTGCGCTGTCGAAAAGCCCTCCGTTTGGCTTTGCTGCTTCCCGCTGGCTTGTCGAGTTGCGCAGCTTGGTGCAAACTGTAAAGGGGGCGGCGACTGCAAAGCACCCTGTAGCTTACACAGGCCCTTGGCGATGCTTTCTGTCAGCTTCGGTAGTGGCGCTAGCGAGCGACTTGTGATGGTCGTCGCAGATTGGACGGCAGCACATCACAGATTCCGGCGGAAGCGTCATGCAAACACGTACCCTTTCTGGTAAACCGGATGTACCCGTCTTAGACGACCACATTGGAGTAAACGAGACTTGTGGCTGAGAGAGTACTGTTGTACCGTGTACAGATACCCTGCTCTGAACGGCAGTTGTTATCACGCAAGAAATTCTTGGCGCGTTGCTCATCAGTGGTGCACCGTGCAAGTTCGCGACGAGACTGCATCACGTGACATTGCCGATCGTTGGGTCCAAGACTCATTATTCGGATCAACCCTCCTCCGTTATTAGCTATTACTAGTAACTACCACAATGTAACCCGTCTTGTCCCTCCCCTAATAAGCTCTTAACCACGTAATGGAGGAAAAAAAAGTAAAATAGAAAGAAAGGAAAAGCATAAACATAGTCGGGGAAGAAAAAAGTAAAAGAGAAAAGAAAGAAAAAGGATAAACATAGTAGAGAAAGAAAAAAGTAAAACAGAAAAGAAAGGAAAAGGATAAACATAGCAGAGGAAGAAAAAAGTAGAAGAAAGAAAGGAAAAGGATAAGAAACAAGTGGAAGACCGCAAAGTACGTAATCATAAGCAGCATCCATCAGGCGCACCATCCACCACCCAAGAGCCCGTCTTCCCCCTGTGCTAAGCTCTTAACCGCATAGTAGAGGAAGAAAAAGTAAAAGAGAAAGAAAGGAAAAGGATAAAGAACAAGTGGAAGACCGCAAAGTAAATAATCATAAACAGCATCCACCAGACGCACCATCCACCAGTTGGTGATGAGATTTGAAAAGTGTGACAATTAGTTGATGTAACTAGAAGGTTGTGCCAATTGCGATACATGATTCGGGAACCTTGGCTGAAGGGTGCCCATGTAATCGTTGATCGGTTTCTGATCGTCATGGCAGTATGCTTTTTAGCCTCCTCATTTCGGCCGTGAAGGTTCAAGGTATGTTCGACCCAGCGCATTGCCTGAATCTGATGGCATACCTTTATCTCAGCTTGACTAAGGATGTTGATTGAGATTCTAATAACCAACAGTCCGATCCTGCGTCTCACTAGTGCTGAGAGTCATAGTTCTTGACGACAGCTGAGATGGTGCCGTAGGAGTTGATGTCTCTAATCCTCCCCAGGTATAAGAAGATTGATTGAAAGATACGGCCCAACGCCTAGCGTTCCAAGACTCAAGGAGGAACTGACAGCATATTAGGCAGTGCCATGTGTTGCTAGTCTACCCATCTAGTGCTTGAATTACAGACGGCAAGACTTGAAATGTTGGGATTCATGAAGAGCTGCTCGCCATGTCATCACAGGAGAATAATGAAATGGTGACTGGAAGAAGTATGAACTTCAACTCACAACCTTGAGAAAGGCCCTTGAATCCTCACGTGCTGGCTGCCCTCAGTGTCGAAAGCTATTCCCAAGATGTCGAATGACCAACTTTTTGGTGCTGCCGATACTCGGAAGCACCGATTCATGGTGTACTGAAGACGGGTCAGTCGGTAAGGGGTATCTGATGTAATCCTCAGAGTGGTCCAGCGGACAGGTTCGTGCTCGAGTGGAGCTTTTTGGGTGGTGCTCACGGGTTCTCTATGCAGCGACGCCGCAACAGATCCCGCTCAAGTGATACGGCCAAAAGTAGATGGGATAAACGTACAAGGGCCGACTACAACGACCCTTCTTCCAGGAAGAGCGGACGACTTTCTAGAGGTACTGCTCTTTTCATTGCCATGGAACCTCGGGCGGAGTCGCCACAGCAATGCGCAAATCATAATGCTAGCAGGGAGGCTGGCCGCAGCAAGACTGCCTTATGCTCTCGAGAGACTGAAAGGCAAGAAGAACCTTCTTTCAGGTAAGGCGATTTGAGGCCTACACCTCGGCAGCTCAAGGTAGGTCGTAAAATGGAGGCACATGCGTGGCCGGTGAGACTAGGCCATAGGCAGCTTCCCCCTGGCGAATAGACGACCTGTGCGGCGCTTCCACCCGCGCGGTGAACTATGCCGTGCCGCTGCCGGTCACGATCAGATGGCTCGCTTGAGATCTATCACGCCCCAAGCACCCAAAGCAAAGATCGGTGGTGCCCACTGGATCGAAATACGAAATTGTACTCCTCGTTCCGGCCTCCCTGCGGTCTAGACGTCTGACGCGGCTACTGGCGAAGAAGATCAAGGAAACAGCGGCAAATCCCCGGAGGACTGTTGGGGGGTGGGGAGACTTTCTTGCCGTTAAGCTGTTCGCATAAGGCGGCTCTATCTTTTCATTCCCGTCAATCGTCCAGTCGCCCACGGTGCCTCAGAATGTCGTCTGTCCTATCCTTGGAGGATCGGGCGCGATCTACCCAAACCAAACAGACGAAGGTGTCGTCGGCGTCAGCGAGTTCCGGGTTCAACGGTCTGCATCCCAGTGTCTAGTAAACTATTGCAACGTCAACAGGTTACAGCTCAAGTGACGAGATGCTTACCGAGGCGGGCCTCGATCATCCGATGTTCAAAGATAAGGTTTGGTTGCATCAGCCTTGTTGGTCACGCAACTTTCATTTCAGATTAGTTCCGATCAGTACATTATTGGCTACAGTAGTAAAGCCTCGCCGTGGAATATGGTCAGGTTGTGGTCTGCAAGTGCGGTCCGCGAGGCACAGCATCGTCCGGGCAGTCTTTTGGCCTGGCGGTTTGTCGATGTTGTTTGCGGGGGCGTCTTGGGCCTGTGTGGGGAAGCCCGATTTGGCAAGGTCTGACACACGGCTGAGGATGCGCCAACGGTTAAGCGAGTTTGACCCGAGGCCGGAACGGCCATTGCCTTGCGGCAGGAGCCTGTCCTGGGACATATCCCTTGCGATAGCAGCTTTGCATTCTAACGCGCCACTGGAGATTCACACTGCCCGGTACCGCCGGCGGCTCGATCGACCGAAGGCTTCATCGCCCGATTCCTGGTGCCAGGGGCAGCCAACGCCGCACCCCGGCGAAGGAACACGGCCCGCGAATGTCATCATCACCTGTGGGTGGCGGTTTATGACCTATGAAGAAGCTGTGCTGTGTGCCTTTGCGGCTGAGCGTATCGGGACAACATGCGCGGCGACACCTATGGGAGAGCGCGAGGAGCCGCCGGCCTCACGGCGACCGCCACGCCGTCACCGTAAGTTGCGCCGGGTCTCTGGGGCCGGGTCCAGAATGCGTGCAGATGGGCTCCATGGTGTCAATCACGACAATTGGGTAGAAACAATGTCGTGTTTCAATCGGAGACATGTCAAACCAAACAAACGGCCCCGGGGAGTTGACGTTTGGGATCTTGCAAGTTGCAAGCAAATGGTGGAGGTGGATATTGAAGTGGAGCCCGGAAAGGAAACTTTAAGCAGCGGGCCCAGATGTGGGGTAGCACAGAGCCGCAGACCTCGACTCTGCCAATGATGGGCGCTCTCGAAGCAGGGCTAGCCCCTGACGCTTGGCAGCCACCTTGTGTCAAACGTCAGACACAGACCTCCTTTGCGCAACCGAATGGAAACAACTTGGAACCCGCAAACGACGGCTATACCTTGATGCAACTAGATCGCTGACTCGACTGTACGTGGTGCGTGTTTCAAAGCGAAAATTGCCCGACAATGCGTATCTCGAAGTCGCTCGCTCCTCGCCACGTCCTCGCATCTTCGATCTGCGATCTCCTCCATCCTGTGGCTTGCCCTTGGTCGGCCCAGAGGCGGCCAAGTTCTGAGTGGATTCTCGCGCTCTGCTCGACCGCCGTCCTCCAACTCGACAAGCAGCCCTATGATATCGCCAAAACGGGTTTGCGCGGTCTACACGATGGGCATTGGTGCACAGTGGAACACGGCTAGAAACATTGGGATCCCAGTCGAAACACCCAATGCTGGCTGTGTTTGTCAGCCCCAATCCCTTCCTGAGTCAGCTCTCGATTGAGCACATTGCTATCCGGGGCGAAAGCAGGGAGATCGTATTACTCTGAACGGCATGGCATCGCTCCTGACCACAGGCGCTGCTTGTGCCACGGCGGGAGATGGCCAGAAGTTTGTTCTGTACAAGCTGGGTAAACAGCATGACTTGTGCGAGCACCCACACAGCCCGGAAACCTCAACATCCGGGCGTCTGATGTCTTGGCTCCAGATTCGACAAGGGCCGAGGCCGTTGGCTGAAGCGCGCACGTCCCGTCTCCGTTGCTTGGGACGGGTCTGATTGCTGGGCTGCTTTCCAAAGTCTCTCTTTGCTCACTACACCGAGCAATACGAACGCCCGCAATCGTGCTTCCTCATCCGGCATGTCTGCCTCTCCATCTGCCTCCCCATGAACGGTTGACCTCGGTTGGCCTGGTCTGGCCTGACAACGGGGGCCGTTCCGCGGGCCACCGCAGAGGTCTCCCCTGCGTAACCCTCCTCCACCAAGTGTAACCACCATCCTGGTCCCGTCCCTCCCCAACGTCTCCACAAAGGTCTGTAACAGGCCGCAGACTTGGGGACTCCCTCCCCCCTGGTCCGCTTGCCGGGCTGGACAAGCCTCAGCCGGACGTCATGCAGCAATAGCATGCATTATTATTCCTTCCATTGCTCTCCTCCCCCCGTCAAGACCCTTTTCGTTCTTTCTATCTTCCTTACCCACGGAGGGCTCATTGTGGATAGTCTCATCCATCACTACGCTGTTGCGTGTGTCCCTTTCTTTTCCATTTCTCTTCTCGCGGCTAACGTTGTCACTCATTCATCGTTACCAACTAGCTTGGCTGCCTACATTCTTTTTCCAGAGAGAAATACTTTCCATTCTTAGACGGTATAATCTGGTTTATTATACTCTTCTTCTTCGGCTGGCCAAACCCTCGTATCAAGGACCTCTCGAAACATCTTGCCTTGTTTCGTGCCCCTGGACTGGTTTTGCTACGACGAGCCATCAGCCTTCGGGAAGCGTTCGGGTTATCAACACTGGGTATCCCGTACCTCACCAGCACGAGAAGAATTCGATTCTTGAAGCAGCTAGTTCTGCTTGCTCTTTTTTGACGAACACCATCTTTGTACGAATCTCGATTCTTGGGACATACCGCCTGGCACGACAGCTGGGTTGAGCGGCAAACTTTCAGAGATTGGATCATGATGTCTTCAGCGATGCAGATGGCAGGGCAGCACGTCCCATACATTCCCACATCGGATACCATGAATCGCCACGAATACGGCATTACAAAGAACAGAAAGACGGCGGCGTCTACCGGAGGTGGCCGAGCGTGGAGTGAGGACGAGGTACGCAGACCAGCGAAGCGCCCCTGATGGGTGTTTCTCGACTCCGGAAGGAAGTGGAAGCGCTAACAATGTTCTTATAGGAGGCTTATCTACTCCAGACGCGTCTTCAGAAGATGCCATACAAGCACATTGCTGCTCATCTGAAAAAGACAGAGCTTGCATGCCGCCTCCACTATCACCAACTCAGCCATGGTAGCAACCGCCGCAAGCGTACCACTTCCATGTCGTCCGGTTCATCGGCCAGCGGGCACTCGCCAGTTCTTCATACCTCGATACCGTCGCCGATCCATGAGCACGGCGGCGCACCCAGCCGTTCCGTCTCACCTCCCGAATCTGCAGGCTCCTATGACTCGAGGAGCCCCGGTGGTATCCAACTACCGAGCATCATGTCGGCAGCTGCCTCCACGAACACGTCACCGCGCCTCCCCACCATTCTTCCGAAGCCGGCCTCTATGACCCTTGCCCTGGCCTCGTCTCTCGGGGCTTCCGGCTCGACTAACACCGCTTCTCCGACCGCACCCCGCGGCTACCCTGCGCCTTTCTACGGGGCCGCTTCCGGTTCTGCGCCACTGCCCGCCGCCCGCGGCTCAAACGGCAGCGCTCATCAGCACGGCCCGGGTCGCCTCCGGCTAGACTGCTCTGCCCTCCCACCGGCGCCCTCGGCCGGAGGACTGCCTGCCCCACCCGGCTTCATGGCCAGCCACCCCGTCGACATGGCCCGCCTGACAGCCGTGTACAACGCGCACCGCGCATCCTTCTGGGCCGCCGTCGCCGCGGACTACGGGCCCGGAGCGAACCCGCTCGTGCTGGAGCAGGCCTGGCGGGGCACTGCACCGGGCAATACTCCGAGCTCGTCATCGGGTCTTGTCGGCATCGCGGCGCACACGCCTATTACGCCTGTCGGGAGCCCGGAGGATCAGGTGTATGGCGCTGCCCAGGGGAGTCATCCGAAGCCGGATAAGACGCGGATTAGTGCCATCTTGGGGATCGAGGCGGACCCGAGGAGCCCGAGTGAGAGGGAGATGGTGAGGAGGTTGGAGGAGGATCGTGGGGTGGGGGTCGTCGGTGCCTGATCATACTGTACTGCAGTAGGTAAGATCTGGTGGGGGTGGTGTGGTGATTAAGGGACATTTCCTCTCTTCTCTCTCTCTTCGCTTCGCTTCTCGTCGATCCTTTGGTGGTGCTTCTTTAGCTTGACTGGTTTGGCTTTTGGGGTATTGGTATGGGTTGGCGGCTCCGACCCTACCAAGCCTCATGAATCTATAAGAGGGTCAAAGGGGGGTGAGAGGGGGTCATGTTGATGTTGCTTTCTGTGTTGCTGTCCTTTCATGATTCTTTGCATTTTTTTTTCGTTGGCCCTGGTTCTGTCTACACTCGGCTGTATGCAATGATGGATGAAATCATGACATCAACGCAATGTGAGCAATGACGACGACAACGGCAACGGATGAACACAGCTGGGCATGGATAGGGTTGGCCGTGCCCTTTATTCTTCTTTTCATTCCTGGTGTTGTTTGTATCACAAGACAAGGTCTCGATGAGGAGAAGAGGGTCATCCGGTCTGTTGTTGTATTCCCGATAAGGTTTCAATGGATCGGGAGGGGGCGTCTCGCTGGATGGTGGGAGTAAAACATGATGTTCACGGAGGGAATGGGCTATGTAGTAGTATGTGGTTCTGGGTAGGTACTTAGTAGGGAGGGAGGAAGCGTGCTAGGATTTGGCTAAGGTGCCTTAGCAAATATATCATGGACGTTTCCTGCGGTTAACTGGACTTCTGTTGGAGTCTGTTGTTAGCAGGAGGTGCATTGTGTTCGAAGATGCGTCGTGGAGCAGATGACGGAGCAGATGACGCAGCCTCCCTGCTGCTCTCTTTCTTGAGGAGTGCACATCTTCCGGTAATAAGGGCGGAAACAGATGGGGAAGATGCAGCTCGGCTTTTGTCGTGCACCACGAATAGCCAAGTCGACATGCATGGCATCAGCGTTACAGCGGGATGAGTTGCTCGCTCTTTGCCGGAAGCCGTCAAGGTGCGTCCGAGCTTGGCTTTCGCCCAATACTTCGAATACCTCCGTGCTACTGTTCGTTGTCACAAATATTCCTTTTTTCCTGTCTCTAACCAACGCGTGAATACCTTAGTAATAAAGTTCAAATACCCATTGTCCACGGGTTGTGTCTCCCGGTCTCACCCGGTACCTGCTGTTGCTGTGCCGCCGCTCGGCTCCCGTTTTCTGGGCCCCGCTTGCGATAACCGGATGCATCTCCATGCTCATCCGGCACTAATAAGATGTAAACCGATATCAAGGCAGGTTCTTGGACTTGCATGGCGTTCGCGCAGTTCACTTATCCATTCAGTTCTCCGTCTAGTAGCAAGGGCTCATTCTCGATCTCCACAGCACAGCTTATGCCCGACAGAACCGCTGTCTTGTCCTCTCTGAATCCACTGATAACGGGGTAACTAACTGTTTTGTTGAAACATCCATCATACATACGCATTGGTGCATGCGTCGGATGTCACTCCTGCACGCCAAGCTTCGCTTTCATGCCCACCACGTGTGACGCGGGATAGGCTTCATCACTTCCGCCGCTTCTTGCATTCTCATCAACCTTCGTTGTTATGCAGGGCAGCAGCAGCAGCAGCACCAGCAGCAGCGTGGTGTTGGCTGGGCGCTCTCGCGTCATGCTGCAGGTTCACTGCCGAACGCCGGCCACTCGGCGGATTTCCACTCGTTCGCGTCGAGAGTCGATAACTGCATCTGCGATTAACTATGGCGCTTGTGGACTTTGCCTTGTCTTCAGCCCATTGGATCTGCCATCTGTCTCTTCTGGATTACCGCCCATGATGCTTGATGCCTGATATCCCACCATGCCGTTGTCCCTAGCACAAGGGCAAAGTTAGATACACGCTAACTAACCTGATCGGACCGTTACCGGCGACAGCCCACTGTGCTCGCCCGAAGTGGGACTTCCAGGGATGGCCGGTCAGTCCGGTCTTTCTAGCGGACTCCACAAAACGGGCAGCCAATCCTCGGCGACGCAATGTGTGGTGGTGACAGCGGTCAAGGTTTGTGTTGGTCGTTGTCACTGGTCGGATGGTGTTATCCACCAAAAGATGGACCCGAGCACTTGGGATTGGGAAGAGCTCCTCATCCGGAGCTTGATTGTGCTCATGGAACTTCTGTACGTAGTAGTCATCCCTGGGCAAGCACTGTAAGACCTCACTCAACCTGAGCCTGTGCGGTGAACCAAAGGAAGCAGGAGCTCAACCACTCGAACACGGTTGTGAAGGACGACTCTGTGCTTTTTGGGCGTTCGCCGGGACTTCGTTCTCCAGCCGGGTTTCCCCGGTGTATACCCAGCACCGACCTTAAGCAACTTGGACACCGACTTTTGAGCTTTTCTGTTCACCTCACCATCATCGAGCCTCAAATCTTGACAACACATTGCGACTTGAACATCGCCAACATGGCGCCTCACGCGGAGAGCGCCCAGGACGGCCATGGCAACGGCCATGGTGACCGGAACATGCCCAAGCCTGAGGAGTATATCCAATTCGAGCACTTCCCGGCCGGCGGTCCTCTCAATCGTTGGTCCCACTTCATGACGCGGGAGCATGACTTCCCTGGTGCCCAGGTAAGCACCTCTCTTATCCTCGCAGGGTAGGGTAGGGCAGGGCCAAGGTTCCTACTAAGGGTCCTTGACATTGGAGCTTCCTTGGAAGCATCCGGCAACGTTTTTACCTTGGGAGATGGCTCAGACATCGGGACACAAAGGATGGTTCTCGGTGGTGATACTGGATTCTGACCCAAAGTGGCGAAGCTAACGTGGACGATGCCTCTGTCACTAGGCTATGCTTTATGCTGCTGGTGTCCCCAACAGGGACATGATGAAGAACGCACCCCACGTGGGGATTGCGACTGTTTGGTGGGAGGGCAACCCGTGCAAGTGAGTACTACTAGTAACTCATCTTATCTGGCCAGCTTGTCAGGTCTGTCATGAGCCTGTGTTTTGCTGACTTAAGAGCACATTAGCACGCATTGTGAGCGATGATGGTCCTTCAGAGTTGTTGTCTTCAAAGAGAGCATTGACTGAGACAGAGAGAACAGTGCTCGAGCTGGGAAACATCGTCAAGAAGTCGGTTGAGCAGCAGAACATGCTGGCCTGGCAGTACAACACCATTGGTGTCTCGGACGGTATCACCATGGGCAGCGAGGGTGCGTTGACCCTTTACCCCTGACCTCTGACCCCCCTGCGCCACACGTAAAACAATTAGCATTACTCACACTCCCTCCTCACCAGGCATGCGCTTCTCACTTCAATCCCGCGAGATCATCGCGGACAGCATCGAGACGGTCACCTGCGCGCAGCGGCACGACGCCAACATCAGCCTTCCCGGCTGCGACAAGAACATGCCGGGCGTGGTGATGGCGGCGGCGCGCCACAACCGGCCCTTCCTGATGATCTACGGCGGCACGATCCGCAAGGGCCACTCGAGCCTGCTCGACAAGGAGATCAACATCTCGACGTGCTACGAGGCCTCGGGCGCCTACACGTACGGCCGGCTGCAGGCCGCGTGCAAGCACGCCTCGGGCGCCGACGCCACGCCCAGCGACGTCATGGAGGACATCGAGCGCCACGCCTGCCCCGGCGCGGGCGCCTGCGGGGGGATGTACACGGCCAACACCATGGCGGTGGCCATCGAGGCCATGGGGCTGTCCCTGCCGGGGTCGTCGTCCTACCCGGCCACGTCGCCGGAGAAGCGGCGCGAGTGCGAGCGCGCGGCCGAGGCGATCCGCACGTGCATGGAGCGGGACCTCCGCCCGCGGGATCTCATGACGCGCGCCGCATTCGAGAACGCGCTGGTGGTGACCATCGTGCTGGGCGGCAGCACCAACGCGGTGCTGCACTTCCTGGCCATGGCCAACAGCGCCGACGTGCCCCTGACGCTGGACGACATCGACCGCGCGTCCAACCGCACCCCCTTCCTGGCCGACCTCGCGCCCTCCGGGAAGTACTACATGGAAGACCTGTACTCGATCGGCGGCACCCCGGCCGTGCTGAAGATGCTCATCGGCCACGGTCTCATCGACGGGAGCATCATGACCGTGACGGGCAAAACCCTCGCGCAGAACGTAGCCGACTGGCCGTCGCTCCCGGAAGGCCAAACCATCCTGCGCCCGCTGTCCAACCCGATCAAACCAACGGGCCACATCCGCATTCTGCGCGGCAACTTGGCCCCCGGCGGCGCAGTGGCTAAGATCACAGGCAAGGAAGGCCTCTCCTTCACGGGCAAGGCGCGGGTGTTCAACAAGGAGCACGAGCTGGACTCGGCGCTCGCGGCGGGCGCCATCCGGCCCGATGATGGCAATCTGGTGCTGATCGTGCGGTACGAGGGCCCCAAGGGCGGACCGGGCATGCCCGAGCAGCTGAAGGCCAGCGCAGCGATCATGGGGGCCGGGCTGACCAACGTGGCGCTGGTGACGGACGGGCGGTACAGCGGGGCTAGCCACGGCTTCATCGTCGGGCATGTCGTGCCCGAGGCTGCCGTGGGTGGGCCGATTGCGCTGGTCCGAGACGGGGATGTGATCACCATCGACGCGGTGGCGAACCGGATTGATGTGGTTGAGACTACTACTACTAGTACTATTGGGGGGGCTAATACTAGTAGTAATAACAAGGCCACGACTGCCGAGGCGGTGGAGAAGGAGCTGGAGCGCCGGCGCAAGGAGGAGTGGGCGCCGCCCAAGATGATGCCGCAGCGGGGCGTCCTGGCCAAGTACGCGCGGCTGGTGGGGGATGCGAGCCACGGTGCTGTGACAGATGTGGGTGCGTCGGCGTGGTGAAGATGACGGAATCTTTCTTTCTCCTCTCCTTTTGCACCGTCTGGGGTCCCCGATAGAATGGTAGAGCCCTCGCAATGGCATATGATGATACATGGGACTGAGACGGCACCGTAGACGTGGGATGCCGGATGGCTGTGAGTGAGTATGTTGAGCTCAGGAACACCTCGGTCACCAAATACAGTGAAGTAATGTCAGTGTGCATTGATGATCCTTCTATATTACCTAGATGGGAACGATAATGACGCCGAGAAGGCAACCCTGAAGCTCACCAGCTGACCTTTTCTGGAGGCAAGGAGGTAGCCGGGTACGGGAAACTGGACGGACGGAGGGAGGGTCTTAACTTCGCCTGCGGGAGGAACGGGCAAGGGCTACGAGACGAGATGTTGGATGTCCGGTGAGCAGACTCGGCGTAACCCGCGCTCGGGCAGGATGGTTGTGCAGGGGTCGTCGGAGATAGACATCGTCGGAACCTTCTATATACCGGTTACGCAAAACTGTCGCCGGAGAGAAGGAGCGAGCGAACTCTTCCCGTGTTCCAAGCCGTGCCTCTAGTTCATCGGATCGTTGGCGAAGGCAAAGATGCAGGCCTCAAGACCCAGTGGCCCGTTGCGAGTCCCGTCCTGTCCATATCCATCCGCTTCATAGCACACAACAGCAGCTTCAGCACGTTGCTCTTCCCTCTCTGGTCCGCCAGCTTGAGCAGGCGATCCAGCAGGTCCATCTCCCAATACAAGCGCACCATCTCCTCGGCAATAAGCGTAGACGCGAAACCACCATCATCACCATCATCCTCCTCCTTCCCACAACAACCAGTATCCATCGCCGCAGGGCAATCAGCAAAGTTCCTGCTAGCCAGCTTGAGGAGATGCGACAAATCACGGTCGATGACGACACCCGGGTCCGCCTCGAGCAGCAGCCGGACCAGCGTCCGGTGGCTGTTCCGCGCTGCGTACCGGAGCGCCGTGTGGCCCGCACGGTCCTTCACGTCCGGCCGTGCGCCCCGCCGCAGCAGCAGCCTCACCGTGTCTTCAAACCCGGCTTCCACAGCCACCATCAGCGGGGTCACGCCCTCCCTGTCAGCCTTCTCGAAGCTCCGGCGCAGACGCACCCACCCGGAGGGCGAGTCAAAGAGCGCGCCGAGCATGCGCATTGTGGCGTCGTCGTCATCTGTGGTGGTATGGGAGTCGCTCCCCACGGGTGGTTTCTGGTGCAGGTGGTGGTTCTTGTATGCTAGCATCTCGCTGCAGTTCGAGTGGCTCGGGCCGCGGACGGCAAAGAAGAGAACCGACCGGTCCTTGTCCGTCATGGCGTCCAGGTTGGCTCCGTAGGCTAGTAGAAGCCGTGCCAACTCGACGTTTCGTTGATATGCCGCGTAGTGCAGCGGTGTCATGCCGCCACGGGCTGCGCAGTTGACGTTGGCACCGTCTTCAAGCAGGGCTCTGGCCAGCTCGACATCGCTAGAAAGCACAGCATCGTGTAGTGGCGTATGGTCCAAGGCTGTGTCATTGGCCTCGGGGATTGTGCTGGTCGGATGGGGCGGCCGCGTGTGGTGGTCGTAGGCGCTGGACATTCTCGGCATCGTGTGGGTCACGACGACGGCGTGATTGCTTGAAATGCATGGTCCATGCGGTTCAAAGCCTGCGACTACCGGGTGGTGTATCGGGTGCCGTAGCAGCAGTGGCATAGGGCTATAATAAGCGTATGTCCCGTCACTCGAGGCTTGATATCCGGAGCGTGGTGTGGCGGTAGAAGCCGGCCAGGGCGGTAGGAAGAATGCGGAATCCATATCGGCTCGTGAGTCGTGCGAATCTTCTGGCCCGTGATGAGCGGAGAAGTTATTAGGAATGAACTGGGCACCTATGTGAACGGGGCCTGCTGATGCTCCGCTATCTGGGTGCGTGTGGTTAGAAGGCCAGGACATCGGTATTGCCACTGGGCTGTCAATATCACGGTATTGAGGCGAGTCTTGCATAGCTGCCGGGCTCGCGTCGCTCATTGTCTGGGTGGCGTAAGGCTGAGGCGCTGGTGGCAGGGGGTCGCTGGATTTGTCGGGCTCCGGTGTTGTATACATGATGTCTGGCGGAGTTGTCGCTATTCAACGTAAGTCGCATGGCCCAGGTCGGTGGTTGAGGCTGGGCACGTACCCTCATGATCCGCCAACTGAGCCGCTGCTCCATCCCCTATCAACTTGTGACGCTTGGCGAACCGCCGGAGCTTCCCGGGATCCACGAGCTGGCCATGACGGAAGAAGTGTGTCTCCTTGTTGGCGAGGCGACGTCGCTCGGCGATCTTGAGCATAGCGATCGACTCCCGTGTCTTGAGGTTCTTCTCCAAACCCCAAGCCTTGAGGTACTTCTTGTACATCTTCTTCCTGCAGCGCGCTTAGCCGATGGACATGAAGAGGTAGTGATGGAAAGGGGACCCACGTTGCAACGAAACCGTGCAGGTACTGCATGGTCTCCATGACCTCTGGAAGCTCCTTCCGTTGCTTCCAATACAAATCCTCGATCTGCTTCCGGTGCCCTGCCCAGTCAAGATGGCTGTCAGGCTGTGTGGGCATGGCGCTCCAACAAGCGAGGGTGCAGCCTTTTGGTGACCAACACAAGAGCCACTGCGAGATTCAGGAGTAGGACCAGAGACATGACAGGAGTTTGGGAGGAAGACGAGGGGACATGGAGCTGACGGGATTGCCGTCGGGGAATAAATAAGCGGCGGACCGATGAAGAATAGATACCCGTGGTTTCTGGATTGGGAAGCTGGTGTGCCAGCTCATCTGTCTCGGGAGATGCGATATACCTGATGCTATCTCCGCTTCCCTCATTTCCGTCCGGGGTCGTGGAAGACGAGTGCGGCCCCGTCCTGAAGTTGTGACGGTGCGCACATGGGAGAGCCCCAGAGAATCGAAACAGGAGCGCAGCACGGAAAAGCGTCACATGGCATGCCAAGTCAGATAACATGGGCGAGCGAGTCTACTCAATGGCGACCTGAAGTCCGTGTAACTTGCACTGCAAGCCGCGACCGGGGAACCGTGAGGACGGGCCCGGGACGGACTTGTCGAAGCGCTACGCTTCATCCCTCACCGCCGGAGTTGGAAACTCAGCAGCGGTGGCTGCTCCAGGTGCTACAGCATCTGAAGGACTGGCCGGGGAGAGTTCCGGGGCCATGAAGGGGGGTGGCGGAGGCCAAGCACTGGACGAGCTCGTTGAGTCCCGCACCTCGCCGGGAAGGGAACAGTGGCGTAATTGAGAATGTTGTTGGCCCAACTAGGATACAGAGCTATTCGGTCGTGCGTTGACCGAGACTGATCAACGCTGTCAAGCATCGAATCCTGAAATAAGCCTTCTCGACACAGGTTGGCATGCATGCATGCCGTGCCGATTAGGAATCTGGCTTTATCTGACTTGCTGGTGACCCGACTTGTTGGGACATCGAGGGACCAGGGAGTCCCTGCGCAACAAGGGGACAGAATGCACATGGCTTCGAGTCGGCGGGTTCGGTACCACGTAGCTGCAGCACAGTGAACGTGAGGTGCTTTGTGGGGATTGTGAAACGTCGCGGAAGCCATCCGCAGCGGTTGCTCGACTGACCGGTGCAGGTAACTGTTAGCTTGACGGGCGGGCTAGGTGCCCAGTTTCCATGTCTTCCCTTCCGGACGACAGGAACAGCCAGAGGGAAATAGATGGCCGGCTCTCCGGCAGAAGCATGGTCTCTGCTGCCCTGTTTATCGACGGAGGCTTGTTTCACTCGGTAGGCAACAAAAGGTCCCAGCTAAACCTCAGCGTGGTCGACGGCTGACCAGAAATGCGGGAGAAGCCAACAATGGCCCGTCGGCAAGGCTGAAGCTGCCGGGACACGCATCCGCTGAGGTCGGCGTGCGGGAAGGGACAACTGGGTTTGGCCAGGAATTTAGTGTAGAGCTGGGGCATGAGGGGAAGGTGCCCTGGACCAAGCTGCAGTCGAGGTTGGACAGTCCGTTCCTGCCCGGATGCGTCCCGGTTCGTCACCTCAAAGTCGACTTAGTGACGCTGCATAGAGAGTACAATATTACAATTGTACAAACTGCAGTGAACAGAACAAACCGTTTCTGGAAGTCGCATTCCTCCTTGGCATTGCGACGATTTTCATGGCGGAATCGTCTAGTATGCTGTACTAGATGATGTTGGCAAGTCCCAGGTGCTCTGCCAATTCCAATCTGTTCTCTGATGCGCAACGATGTTCCGTGGGATGCCCAGGACTCGGGAGGTTTGAGCCCGAAGCATCAAGGTCGAACGAGCATGGACCTTTACACTTATAACCCTAACCCGCTGATTGTTGCATGAAGTGCCAAGCAAAACTACTGGCATGCTCAACAACCGACGTCCGTAGTAGTGCCAGCACTGCTACGATTTGGGGCACCAAGTTTATCAGTCGTACAGCTTTACCCGCAGCACTCCCAGTTCTCCTGTTGAGGAGAGAGTGCCACAAGACCTACTGCTTCACAAGCACGGCAACTATCACTCGGCCGACCGGGGCATTCTGTCGGCTTGTGTCGAGCCTCTCTCGCACAACCTCACAACGCCCCCCACAAACAAAACAGCCCCTAACTGCATATGCAGTCCAAAACATGTCCCGAAAAATCACCGCCAACAACCTGCAGTACACCACGACCCTGCCGCCCTTCCTCGCCCGCCTGCGCGGCCAGCACACCTCCGAAACCGACCGCGACGCGCCCGACCCGATCCTCGCAGCGAGGCGTCGGCCCGCCAAACCGCGCTCCGGCAGCGCCGAGGCCGAGGACGCGCCGCTGGTGGTCGACGAGTACGGCAACACCGTGGTGGACATCACCGTCGGTGTCGACGGAACAGTCAAGGAGAAATCGGAACAGGCAGGATCCGCGGGAGATGCGCAGAACAAGGACGGGGATACATCCAGCAGTGTAGCAGCAGCAGAGGGCGCGGCGGGGGAGCAACTGCCGGGCGTCATTCAAGCTGGCGCGCAGCGCAAGAAGCGCAAGATTGGCAGAGTCATTGGTGGTGCAGATGCCGATGAGGGCGAGTCTGAGGAAACGGGCTGGAAAGAGAAGGAGGGAGCAAAGACGAGCAAGCCCGCAACAGCTACAGCTCGGGAACCACAAGAGAGCGGCGATTCTGCCCCCGCTCCCAAGGCGAAGACCAAGAAAAAGGCTAAGAAGATCAAGCTCAGCTTTGGTGACGAGGAGGGCTGAAGCAACCTTCTTTCAGTTAACACCTAACTAGGTTGGCACCTTGGGTACCTAACTACTCTACTCGGCCGACGTTTGTAAGCTTCGTGCCCAGAGCAACGCTGCTTAGAGAGTGGGGCACAGTTGAATCAGGAGCGCCCGCTACCTGGGCCTACTCCGGACAGAACAGGCCTGATCCTCGAGCTGGTCCTTGGAAACGTCTTTGGAGCGCTCCATTGGAGCATAGGGCGCGTTCGCGCGGCCCCGAAGGAAACCCGGTACGGGGAGCTTCGATGAAGCCTGATTCGTCGCAGGATCAGCGAGTGCAACCTAGAGAAGCGTGAAGCATCCGTCCAGCTTCCAACATGAGTGAGGCGTTGGTTGGGAGGCACCTCCTAAGCCGGAGAGGAGATACGCCGTCATGCCCCTCAAGAGTGTGCTCTACTTTGCTTATTTGGGAAGCTGTCAGGTCAGATAGCGTCTGAGACAAAAGAAAATAGTGACTCTATACAAGCTCGCCCCGCCTGTCTGGATATTCTACAAGGCCAGCCGCCCTGACTTGCCCTCTTCCTCTCTGCGATCCCGGCCTCCCAATGCGTGAATTACCAGTACTGGGGCTTGACGTAGTCGGCGAAGGTCTTGGGCTCCTCCCAGCCGTGGTGATGGCCGTGATCGTGGTGATCGTCCTGAGGGCCGACATACTCCATCTTGTAGACGCTGCCGCACTCGGGGCACCGCTCAACGGGACGCTCGCGGGTCATCTGCATGTGAGGTTAGAAAGGGCAACTGACCATCTCCATTGTGAAGAAGCCTGGCGCGGGGCCGTGTACTAACCGCAAGCCAGATGACGTTGTGGGAGTCGGCGGGGACACCGGTGCAGCCGGCATACTGCTCCTCGCCCGCGGAGCGAACCATGATGGGGTTCTCGAGTGTGCCTGGCGCCAATCAGCGTTCCTAACATCCCATGTTTCCCGGAATATCCACATGCTTACCCTTCCGCGAGGCGTCCAGCGGCCGCATGTCGAAGATATCAACGCCCTCCATCTTGCCGAGGATTTCGAGACGCTCAAGACCGGTGGCCTGCTCAAGGTCGGTGGGCACGGTGCCGGGCTTGGCGCCGGGGCCGATCAGGTCGTCCTCTGTCCTGATGTCTGTTCCGAACACAACGTCAGCATCGCGTTTCCATCTGCCATGTGTATTCCAGCACAACTCCTCCCCCCGTCCGTATAACTGCCCCAACATCGTTGCCATTCCAAGCTCCAGATGCCCAATCATCTGACGTCAGAAGTCACCCCCTTCATGCCATGACGCAACAGAAATAACCGTACCCTTGAGAGTCTTGATCTTGGGCTGGTCGGGAACGGCATTGCCTACAGATCGCACAACCGTCAGCTTCTCTGAGATGCCGCTTCGGCTGGAGGCCCAATTGGCTTGGCGAGAAGGGTGTCGTCGTTGGGGCAAGTGGTGCGCGACATTTTGGAGCTCTCTCGGCCCAGTGGGTATTTTTTCTCGGGCCTCCGTCGGCGTTCAGGCAGGCAACTTACGGCGCACGGCGGTGGTAGCGATGCTGCGACGGAGCAGCGGGGAGACGGCGGCGCGGCGCGCGACGGCCACGGCAGAGCGCTGCAGGAACATGGTGTCGTCGAGGTGGTGGCGGGTCAATTGGTCGGAGTGTTTGGGAAGGTGAAGCCGGTTCGCGGGTTTGAGAAATGGTCTGATTCACTCGGGCGGCACCACACCACCCGAGCTGGAAGGTCCTTGCTGTTTTGGGTTAGTTACCTAGTTGCGGTTGTTGGCGGGTCCGCGTGACTTGGCACGTGGTGCCTTCTTCGCCAACCGCCAGAATATGAGCGAGATGACCTCTGGTAGTGTTTTGCAGGAAGGATTGGAGCATGTGTTCCCGATTTTATCTCACTATAGTCATCAATATTTGACAAAACAATTCATTTGTCGCACATGCCAGGCTACCTTGCGTATCGCGAAGGATGCTTCGTCCACCATTACCAATCGAACCCTAACCCGGCCTCGAGGCTCGATCCCTTTTCCGCGCGGGTGACCAGTCCATCGCCACTGGATCAACAGCAATAGCATACCTAACAATCATCTCAAACCTTCGTAGGAAGGGGGAAACTAAGTCTCTTGTCCGGGCAACACCCATCAGCCCGTCTATCCATCTATTGTCTACCGTCTATGGCTTCCCGTCTCTTCGACATGATGTCGGCATCACGGTACTTCGCAACATCAAAAATTACTATCCGCACCCTTACGACACATTATACCCCTTCACAGCTTACTACTCCCCATCTCCAAGCCCTGGACCAACCCATCCTGATACTCCGTCGCAACATGCACTCCCCTCGGACTCCAGATCTTGCACTCCACAACCCCTCTCCCCGCCGCCGCCCTCGGAAAGCACGCCTCCTGCACCCACCACCCATCCTCCTCGCGCATGACCGCCTGCTCGGCATTGACATGCACCACAAAGCTATAGCTGAGACTCGCGGCCCTCGCGAGCGAGTATCCAAACCCAACATGGTTTCCCGTCATGAGCAAGCCATTCTTGTCCGCGACGAACGCGTGCGCCACAATATGCGCGTTGGCGTCCCACAACAGTCCCTCCCCGCCCGAGGAGGAGGAGCAGGGTAAGGGGCGGAGAAGCTTGTACAAGATCAGCTCGCGGCGCTCGTGCACGGGCCTGTCGGCGTTGTACGCCGTCATGTCGACCTTGCGCATGGTCGCGACGGGGAAGCGGCCTGCTTGGTCGGCACCCGCGAGTTCTACCATGCCGGTGATGTCGACGGGTGGGGATGGTGGCCAGTCCTCCGGCTTCCTGGAGGAGAGGATGGGGGCGAAGCGGGTTTGCGGCGGGTCTTCCTGCATGGAGACGCCGGCGCTGTCGGGCTCGGGAAGCTTGAGGGAGCAGATGGCGGTGAAGCACGGCGGGGAGAGGGGCAGGGAGGCGTCGGCTGGCGGGAAGTGGTCGCCTTGCGGGTTGGTGCTGGGCTCGGAGGGCTGGCGCGCGGTGACGGAAAGGGTGCTGAAGCTGCGGGAGGTGGTGATGGGCGTTACCGTGTAGAGGAAGGGGCGGTCCGAGATGCCCCGGCGGGTGAAGAAGCCGTGGATTGTCTGCCGCCCGGGGTTAGATGACGGATTATGTCGACCGCAAGTGAGGACTAATGGTTCAGGCTCTCTTGGTCGGTGATGGGAATGGATGACGGTGAGCGCATCGTCATCTCTGAAGAGATAGGTTGGAATGACAGCAGCGCTGGTACAATACGTACATGAAGATCTAGCCTCTCACCCTGCTTTGCCCCCCTCTCATCCTCCAGTTCCCTCCAGGCTCGGGCCACGGCCAACGCTGCCTGGGCATACACATGGCCGCCGAACGCTGCGTTGTGCCTGGGGAGCAATAGTTCGTCCCCCGTGAAGTCGGAGCCCGGTAGGTGGGCGGCTCTCCTCCCCATGAAGCGGCGAGCTTCCCCTTCCGGGGTCAAGTTGACCACATCCAGTACCTCCTGCAGCGGCAGCGGAGGGTCATTGTGGGGGGAAGGCATGATAGATTTATTACCCCCGGTTCTAAGGTGGGAAGATCGGATATGCCTCGTTCGGGTCTGCTCATGGGTTGTTGAAGCTAAATTCGGCACCTCACGGCGCGAGGTATCAGGCAATTGCTGCGCTGGCGCTCGAACCCTGCGCAATTCGAAGTCACAATTACTTGAAAGTTCAGCGCAGGAGAAAAATGGCATCTGCCTGGTTCACTTCATCCGCCCCGCGCGACCACGGTAGGCACGCAAGCTGAGGTTGAGCAGCGGCTGTGTTGACATGTCGAAGCCCTCCCCTGTCGACCGGGACCCACTTCGGCAACCCGGTCCCCGTCCGTCGGATGCCGAGGCATCTCCACGTGTTAGAACACGGCACGGCGTAACGTTAGAACAAGACGTACTTGGTTTTACTACAGCCGGTCGCTCAGCATTGAAATCAATACGTCGCCCTCGTGAGAGCTCTCCGAAGCTCATATGACCTGAAGCAGCGGATGAACTCAAAGGCTATCTGTCCGGCCACCGAAGTTGTGAGTTGCCGAGCAACCTACAAAAGTCGCAGACTCGCAAGACTCCAGTTTGTGGACGCTGTCAATGCAAGTCGATGGATCTGCGTGGCAAGAATATATATGTCCTTCATACGGAGATGTCCGGTATCCCTCGCCGCACGCCCGGAGCCAGGTTTAACATATCCAATCAACATGAAATCTTCGTTTCCCAGATTGAGCACTCCGAGAGGGATGGTCACTTCGCAAGGCCAGTCAACGAACCCCACCTTTCCACCAAACAACCAAATCCCCAGGTCTACTGTGCGAGTAATAAATTTTTACGATGAAAGTGCTCGGCGGTAACTAAACCTTATTATCGAGCTGGCGGCAGTTGGTCGATCTCGGACTCTATAACAGGTTGACGAGTCGGGCCCCTGAAGCGAGTAGTCCCTCTATGCGAGCGGTAAATCATTGATGGCCTAAAACAGTTTACCAATACATGATAAAGCGCGGCGATAGGATAGGCGTTATTACCAACCTCGTGGTGAGAGGGAGGGACGACCTGGCTACCTCAGAGACATTCACCACAGCCTCGAGCCACCATGGCGCAGCTTACTAAACATGGAAGCCAACAGATGAACCGTTGAGAGGGCCTACGCATGTACGCAGTGACGCATATTCGGTGTCCGACCCAATGAGATCGACCGGATACAGCATACGCCACCAGCATCCGGCGTAACCATCAGCGTAACCCTGACCGACAGTTGTGTTGGGTGTCGACAGCACAAAAGCGATCGGGACAATGAGAAAGGAAGGTCATGGGAAGTGATTGCTCAAAGAAGGCGATGATGAGTTAGTTGCTTTGAAAATGCGTAGATAGTGGATGATTCGTGGCCGTATATCCTGGGTGTTTCCAGGTTCCATCCGGGCTTGAAAACAGCCGGACCGACCACAATCGCACGTATGGCTGATAAGGTATCGCAATACCAGAAGCAGTCGGTGGACACAGAGCCAGACATCATCTTTTACGTTCGAGAGCAGGCCCCTGTTCGTACCAGAGATGGAGCTAGACGGGCTGGGCATTCGGATACCGCATATCCAAGGACTTTCTCTCCTTTCTGTGGGTGGTACAGTACCTCCATCTCCCCGCTGCCCTGTTCCCCCTCTTGATCCACAGAGTTGTTCTGTCATCAATCCTCTTGTTCGGCCCATAGGGAAGACATCACATCTGCTCTCTTGCTTCGATACAAAGCATGAACAGGCACGCTGCTCCAGACCCTCAGGGCACGGCCATTATCGCAGTCTTCGCGGTCTGTCCAGGCTAGCCGGGGCAAGATGGCATACCAAGCTCTTCTTTGTTGAGAATTCTCCTTGATATCGACCCCGTGACCTCCAAGAAGCCCAACAAAAAGAAGAACAATAGGGATTAGGGAGGCCGTGGCACTGACGGTGGGACGAAGTCGGTTCGGCGAGGTAGGTACGTTTGTTAGTTCGTGATGAAGAACAAGATGCTATTTCCGGCATGGTTTATTCAAATATACCCCTGAACGATTGTTTGATGGAGGGAACAGGCTGTCGCCATGGCCATGGACTGTTCGTGGCTCGCTCGATATATAAACACTGCGTCCGACACTCTCTCCGTCACAACTCCTCTTACCTAACCATCAAGACTTTCAATAATCAAGTTGTTGTCTCAGACAGAGTAAGTCAGAACTCACCGCAAGATGTCATCTAGTATCTCATCACCGTCTTCGCAGTACGACCCGGCATACAACACCCTCGGCTTCGACATCCTCGCGGTGCTGAGCCTCATCCGGCTCAAGACCCCGGACTGCGACGCCTGCCGGCAGACCCTAATTGGAACGGCCCAGCAGGCATTCAGCACGATTCTGGCGATGCCCACATCCACATCCACCGCCACCACCACCAGCAGCACTACCGCCGACTCTACCATCTTCAGCGCGAGGGTCGAGCCCAACGACACGACGGGGCTCATCAAATTCATCACCACAGCCAACCCGGTCCCCATCAGCGTCGCCGACGCGCTACTCGTCCGCAACGCCGTCAACCCGGACCGGACGCGCGAGATGATCGACCGAGTCTTCGACGCGCTGCTCGTGCCCGGCCAGCACGACACCTTCTTTGGCCAGCTGGCGCACGCGCAGCTCTGGCTGGTTCTGGACGGCACCTACACCGTGGCAGACGCAGACGCCGCCATGCGAGGTGAGGGGGAGGGGGAGGAGGAGCAGCAGCAGCAGCAACGATCGCTGGGCGAGTTCGCGCGCTCGCACATGGCCTTGCTCGGCGCGCTTGCGCGGGCGCAGGGTGGTGAGCTGGACCCGCTTCCCTTGGCGACTGATATCTGCACGGCGTGCCTCGGTTTTCAGGAGGACGATGCCCTGGATAACAACATGACGGGGTTTCCCTGGGGCGGGGAGCTCAGCCTGCAGACGCTGGTGGTCTGTCGGTGGTGGATGCAGCACCACATGGACAAGTCCGTGGCTAACGTAGTGTCGGATTGGTTGTTTTTGAATACGTTCCGGTTCGAGTGGCCCGAGGGAGTTGGTTCCGAAGGGAAGGGAGCTGGTCCCTGACTGGTTCGCCGTGCTGGACGGTCTGGAGAGACTGCCGGCTTTCAAGGCGCGGTTGAGGGAGCTGGCCCGTTCCGACGAGCAGTATAAGTAGCTCCAGCGGAAGGTGGAGGGAATGGTAAAGGAGTGGAAGGAGGGAGCAGACACGAGGGCTGCTGCCGTCGCTTTGATGATGCCGACCAATACCGAGTTGGCGCGCTGGGTGCGCGGCGAGGTCGGCAGCCACGAGCAGGCGGCTTGCGCCTGGTTGATGCTGCAGGCCTTGACAAACCAGCTCATGAATATTTCGGTGTGATAACCTCATAGGGGGTGCATTTTGGAGACGGTGAGTGGACGGACAGAAAGAGCTTCTTCCTCAGATTGCTAGATATACTTGAGACTGTTAGATCAAGATTGGAACAATAAACGCACAGTATGACTTACTAAAGAGTAGTAGAACAATACGCCATATGAGAACCCTTGCCACATTGAAAACAGCCTGCCCGTATATCTCTTTACTCGGCCTATAGGAAGGACGCGCCTGAATATACAATGTGAAGCAGCCAAGGGGCCAGCGCCGACCATGAACGCACAAAGGCGCGTGTGTTCTGTTGAGTAGTAACGAAGAACAAAACAACAATCGCATTATTCTCATACCGGAGAATAACAGAGGTATATGTAACGGGTAGGAGAGCTCAAGGTAACAACGCCGGGCAAGGCGAGATTAGGAAGCGGGCATTCCTCCATGCTCTCATCATCACCTTTGCCAAGTCTCTCTCCTCTTCCCTTTTCCCCCCCGAGCAACACGTCTACTGATGCCCGCTTGCTGACATAACCAACTAGTGCATCAATCCGGAGATGCGAGCAGTACAGCATCGCCTCATCTTCTTTCTTCCTTCACTTCATGGTGTACAAAGTCCCGAAAAAAAGGCATGCTTGCTGTGTTGATTAGGTCAAACCTAGGGGGGGAGGCCATGGGCTGCCATCTGGAGAGTGGCAACTGCGAGGGAAAAGGGAATTGTTGCCGGTCTTCGAAGGTTGCTCTTTCACTTTAGAAATGCGATGTCTACCTTAGCCAAAGGGTGTGGGGAAGTTTATTTATTCGGTATTATAGTAAGCTTCTGCTGGAGTTCTAGAAAGGGCTGAAACAGACTACCACACGTGATTACGGTACAATATAATACCTAACATGTGAGTACTACCTGGGTTAGGGTTACACCTGCCCCTCCTCTCCATGTACCGTCCATTTCATTTTCAACTGATTCAGGCTCTGAAATACAATTCAGATTCTTTAGTAACAGGCTGAAGGGTGAAGAAAGATTTAATATAGCAACGCTATGAGTGACACATATCGCCACCCCTCAACTGACTTAATATATCTGCATTGACCATATCGTTGCTCCGGAGCACAGCGACCCTTCATTTCCCCGATCCACGGATCCAGCAGAAGGCGGAAGCGGGCAACGGCCCACTTTTCTGTCCGATTTGCAGCTGAGCACACCCGTGTCGGGTAGCAGACCGTGCAGACTTCGCCACGCGACAGGGGCAGTCAATCGTTGCTGAGACGTTCAACTGGGCACCACGGAGGTCGACGACATTATTGAACGTCCATTTCGCGAACTGCGCGCTCAACACTCGTTTGCTACCCAGGCGCGCCAGGACCAACGCCATCTGGACCGGTGTCCTCCTGCGTACGACATCCCCACCACACCCAAACCGCTTCTGCCATTCGTCTAGCGACAAACGCCACCCGTTGCACGACAACAGAACTTTCGATGCTATGTTCGAGAGCTCAGAACCGACTCTCCTTGAATAACTGCCCCAACTTCTGAACGCATGCTGCGCACACCGGAAGATCCAGCCCATGCACGGAGGTTTTCTCAACACACGACGCAATTAGGCCGCATCCAGCCCAATGGATCTCCTGCGCCGCGCCGGGAAGTTCATCCCGACAAGGGGTCTTCAACTTCCCCTTGCAGATGAGAAGGGGAAACTGCGGCCAAGAAGAACTTTAGCCTCTCGCTTCGCATACCTCAGGCGACCGCTGAGGTTACGGGGGAACTCGACCGTCTCGATACCGCTGGGATTGGTCGTTCTGTTCCCATGCATCGTCGTCATCCTTATCCTGGTGCTGTTTGTCAGGCACCCCGCGGCACGGGGGCCGGTAATGCCCCCCGGTGCGCCGCCAAAAATAAGGTGAGTCGTCAACTGTCACACACATGCCGGCCTCTTCTCGTCGCAACCGTTCTTGCTGACAACGGGGCCATCATGCAGAAAAATCAGCGAAAAGTACGACAAGGTGTTCGTCACCGGCTGTCTCGAGCCCGATACGACTCAGAAGCGCGCTAACGCCGTCTTCGTCGTGCTCGCGAGAAACAAAGAGCTGGATGGCGTGGTCCAGTCCCTCAAGTCGATCGAGCGCCACTTCAACCGGTGGTACCACTACCCCTACGTCTTCCTTAACGATGGGGACTTCAACCAGACGTTTATGGACACCGTCAAGAACTACACATCGAGCGAGGTCAAGTTTGGCAAGGTCGGGCCAGATATGTGGGGGTTTCCCGACTGGGTCGACCCCAAGGTTGCCAAGGAGGGCATCGCCAAGCAGGGAGACAATGCTATTATGTACGGCGGCATGGAAAGCTACCATCACATGTGCCGCTTCTACTCGGGGTATGTCGCTCACATGCCCTCACCCCTCAGGCAGGCACCAGACTGACTGGGGCGCACAGGTTCTTCTACAAGCACCCACTCCTTGCTGACTACGACTGGTACTGGCGTCTGGAGCCGGAGATCAAGTACTTTTGTGACATCACCTAGTAAGATCCTCCAAGGTACCCAACAGCTCTGGTACGGGCGCCTGTGGCTGACAGTATGCAGTGACCCCTTCATCGAGATGATCAAGCACAACAAGACGTACGGTTTCACCATCGCTGTCAAGGAGCTGCGCGAGACGGTCCCCAACATCTTCCGCTACGCTTCGGCGTACAAGCGCCTGAACAACCTGACGTCGCAGGGCCTGTGGGAGATGTTTGTCGAGCCGCAGCCAGACAAAGAGGAGAAGAAGGACGGCGCTAAGGACAAGCCGCCTGCGCCCGAAGATGAACCCGCACGCCCGCCCGAGATCGACATGGAAGCCATGGAGGGCGAGAAGTACAACATGTGCCATTTCTGGTCCAACTTCGAGATCGCCCGCCTCGACTTCTTCCGGAGCAAGGAGTATAACGACTTCTTCGAGATGATGGACCGCAGCGGTGGCTTCTGGATGGAGCGGGTGCGTGCTTCTTTTCTTACCCTTCCCCCTTTCTCCTCTCCTCTCCTCTCGTTGCATGTTGCAACAGAGTCTGACAAGCAAAACAGTGGGGCGACGCGCCAATCCATTCGCTCGCGGCCGGCGCCCTCCTCGCGCCGCGCGACATCCACTACTTCCGCGACTTTGGCTACCGCCACACCACGATCCAGCACTGCCCGGCCAACGCGCCCTATCCGCAGCTGCCGCGCGAGCCGTACCTCGAAAAGACGACGCTCGACGAGAAGAAGCGCATCGAGGAGGACCAGTACTGGGACGAGATCGACCCGCCCATGGAGAACGGCGTGGGATGCCGCTGCCGGTGCGATACAGACATCGTGGATGTCGAGGGCAAGGAGGGGAGTTGTCTGGCGGAATGGGTCGATGTCGCCGGCGGTTGGGCTAGTCCGTGATTTTTAAAAGTACTAGTAACAAGCTCCTGAAGGGGGGAGTGGGGGGTATACTGGTTAGGGTACGAAGTAATTTATGCATGATATTTTCTTTTCCTGTCAACTTTGGGGCCAGGCCATCCGCCGTCTCTCTAAGAGTCTTTGATGCCAAGAACAACCCATCGAAGGGAGATCCTCCCTGTTGACAAATTCACCGTTTTTGATCGCATGACTGACGCCCGCACAATTGCCGGCAACGCGTCATACGGTATATGCCGGGAGAACTGGGGTCGGGGGTCGGGGGTCGGGGGGATAGGGGGAGGGGAGAGCCCGGGATGCCCAGTTTCTCGGCTCAATGTGCCCAGCTCGCACTGTCCGGCATATGACCTCTTTTATCCCATTCAACTGCCATTTAATATCCGTTTTACAGTCCATATCGAGACATAGTTGATCTGCACTGCAGACCTCCCCTTTAAGTCATGGTGTTCTCGATCATTGGCTATATCTCTCAACTGTCCACACCTGCACTCCAGACGCTACGTGGTGTCCCAGAGTGAGAGCCGTCATATATAGACTGATGTAGATGATGGAATGTCTCCAATTGGCTGTGCGATGGTGTCTAATATCACAGGAGGGATGCCGTAGTACCTGCGGCAGATAGATGATGATCACTGGGGGAATGATTGAAAAGAGAATGGTGAGATAGAAACATAAAGCCTGACGGTCTTTGAGCGGGATGAGGGATGTGATTCTGCCCCCTTTTCTCTGGATTTCCCCCCTCCAAGTTACAGCCCCCTCAGCGTTCGCCGCACTCCCGACGATGCGCGGAATTTACAGCGTAGTCAGCCTGTCCCTGCTCCTGGGAGCCTGGGCTGGGCCAGTCCAGAAAAGATGGGGCTTCAAACCGTAAGAACAAGACTACTCAGACAACCTTACGGTACTCTCCTGTGACTCCTCGCTGATGCCTCCCAAGCATCCGCAATCCAGCATACCCCCTCGACATAGTCGACAAGCTCGAGGAGTCCATCATGCCCAACGTCGAAGCGTGGATGGCCAAGCGGGCGGGCAAGACGAACAACTGCACGCTGGAGAATGCCTCGATCAGAAGGGAGTGGTACACAACTCCCCTCCGCCACGAGTCTATTTTTTCTTTCTATCTCACAAGCAGGGTTGGCTGATGACGAACATAATGAAAATAATAATAATATGACAATTCCAGGAGCGACCTCTCGGTCGACGAGCGCAAGGAATACATTCGCGCCGTGCTCTGCCTCCAGTCGAAGCCGCCCAAGGCGCCCAAGGACAAGGCGCCCGGCTCGCTGAGCCGGTTCGACGACTTTGTCGCCACGCACATGACCATGGCCGGCATGCTGCACAGCCCGACCAACCTCTTTGCCGCGCACCGGTATTTCATCCATGTGTATGAGAAGGCGCTGCGTGAGGAGTGCGGGTACAAGGGGTCCCAGCCGGTAAATCTGTCTTAGTCCCTGCCCCCCCTTCCCGGCCCCCTTTCTTTTCTCCTGGGGGCCCGCTTTCTTTTTCTTTCTACACCGTGAAATAAGGCAGTACTTACAATAAGTCCCGCACTCCACAGTACATGAACTACGACCGCTACGCCGACGACCCGGTCCACTCGCCGCTCTTCGACGGCAGCGAGTCCAGCATGGGCGGCAACGGCGCGCCGAGCGACTACCCGGGCGTGCCGCAGCCGTTTCCGCGGCCGTACGACAAGATCCCCAGCGCGGGCGGCGGCGGGTGCGTCACCGAGGGCCCCTTCAAGGACATGGTGGTCTCGCTGGGGCCCAAGTCGACCATTGTCAGGGGCGTGCCGGCCAACCCGCGTGCCGCCGACGGACTGGGATCGAACCCGCGCTGTCTCCGCCGCGACGTCAACAAGTTCTCGGCGGCCGGGGCTAAGGCGAATTATACCCACTTCACGATCGTGAACAATACGGATATTGATGGGTTTTATAATCGGTATTTGGGCCAGCCGTTCTTGAAGGGCGATCCTCATCCGTGGGGGTGCGTTTTGGGTCCTTTTCCTTTCTTACCACTTTACACTCTACACCATGACCTTGGGTTACTTACTGACCTCTACCTGTACTAGATTCACAACGCAGGGCATTTCACCATAGGCGGCGACCCAGGCGGCGTACGTTCTCTTCCCCTCCTTTTTCCTCTCCTTCCCCTTTTACCTCCCCTCGCTTGCCTCCAACCACCCTTCCTTAATCCTCACACCATACCTCATGAATGAATGAAAGGATAAGTACCAATCAGAAATTACAGGACTTCTACTGCTCCCCCGGCGACCCCGTTTTCTACTTCCACCACGGCATGCTCGACCGCGTCTGGTGGATCTGGCAGATGCAGGATCCCGAGCACCGCATCGACGCCGTGCCGGGCCAGGCCGCCATGCCCATGCCACCGCACGAAGGGCATGGGGGTATGAAACCGCGGGCCGCCCCAAACGTGAGCGATCTGGTCGTCGATCTCGGCTGGACGGCGCCGCCTGTCAAGCTGATGGATTTGAACGAGCAGCTTGGGGGGCTTGGCGGGGAGCTGTGTTATATTTATGTTTGAGGGCATAGGTACAGGGAGAGCTCTCCCCCATCTGGTTTGAGAGCGGGTGTTGGTTATGGATCTGTGGTGTGACACGGAGGGAGACAGTATGGATTCTTTGGATGTTCCATTGGGAGAAATAGTGGTTACTACTACTACTAGGTCTGGTGCGCTCCCAGGTTGGATCAGAGTCATAGTCATTGGGTCATGTATGCAACACTTCAAGGTCACGTTGCTTTTTTCATTTTATGTTCTAGTGCTTGCAGGATATATGGTAGCTACTAACTTTCACCCGCCCGAAATAGATAGCCACGAATGTAGCACTTGCAACCTACCTTACCTTACCTAGCCTATCGAGGAATCTGTCTGTATCAGACGGCGAACCTAGTCATATAGGAAGAATACCACTTCACTCGGCAGCGGAAAAAAAATCATGAACATCTCCCTCCAGATCGTCCTCAGGACTGCACCCGAGAGGCACCTCTCCAAGCGCCAGAAGCGGGTGTCGAGAGCGGAGCTCGAGAAAGAGGCACGGACGACCATGGGCAGGAACAGGGCAAACCCCACCAGCCTGCAGAGCGTAAAATGACCCTGTCCCAGTAGGAGGAGATGGCGGCGTGAAGGAGGGATAATAAGAGGACGGAGACAACGGCAACGGATAGGCTGTGTCGCGGGTTAGACTTGACCCAGTGCTTGACACCGGTGAAAAGGGACGATGCTGAGTCCTTCAGAGAAACAAGGCTGTGCTTGAGGACGCGCAGATAGTCAAGCACCGCGTTCTTAGCTATTTCCAGTTCAGCCGCCAGCGACACTTGTCCCTGGGCGAGCAGAGGAATCTGAGTGCTTCCTCGAGCCGAAATCAGAGAAGTCCGAGTGCTAATAGTCGCTAGAACCAAAGCTGATGGAGAGCGACGATGGAACCGTTGCGTCCACATGTGTGTCGTCGTCATCGTCGACGACATAATAATAGTAGGCATCCTCGCAAACGCATCCTCCGGGCCCGTCCAGTACCGCATAACCGTCCTGGCAGACTGCAGCTTCTCAACAACAACCTCCCCCCAACACAGCTTCGGGACACCATACCAGTCCGGCATCCCCTGGTCTCGGTGGTACACGCAGCGCAGCAGCGGGTCGGTCAGGGTCTCGTACGCCTCCCGGCAGCCGAGCAGGTCATTCCGCGCCTTGACAAGGTCGTGGTGTCCGGTCCGCCGCGCGCGGTCGACCATCCTGTAGTAGGCGGCGGTGATGTCGTTGGGCGAGGAGTCGGTGGTGACGCCGAGCAGGGTGTAGGGCGTTTGTTGTTGTTGTTGTTGTTGTTGTTGTTGTTGTTGTTGTTGTTGCCTGGCCGGGTCGATGGGGCTCACGACGAAGTGGAAGAAGAGAAACCAGCCCAGCATGCCGCCGCCCAGCGCCAGGGACCAGTCGCCGCCGGCGGAGAGCCCGTACTCGCAGGCCGAGAGCAGGGAGTCTGCCGTGAGCGGTGACAGGACGGCGAGCATCATAAAGGCTGCTGCTTCTGCTGCGGAAAGGAGCGTTCAATACGGTGTGTAAGTGGGAGGTGTTTGGGAAAGGAGGCTGACCTCCGCGAAGTAAGCTTGACAAAACTGATAGCCAGCGTCGGGGAGAGCGATGAACCGGTAGTATTGAGCTCAAAGGCAGCCAGTGAGTTAACAGCAGACCTCAGCTGTAAACAGAGCACCTTTTATATCCGACCGTTGCACGCCTTGCCCTCCATTCAGACAAAGGCATTGTTTCATACTTGGCTTCCAGTGACACAACTGCTCCGCTCCCTTTGTTAGGAGCAACAATGTTGTTTCTTCATTGTTCGCTTTGTTCTAGGAAATATCAGTAAGGGCATTCGAGATTCTGAGTTGTCAACCCAATCCTTCGTGATGGTTCTGGCCCTTGTGCCAGCACCGGCCGGTGTATGTACCTGCATGAGGCATTGCCTCCGATATATCCGAGCGCCTGCTTAGGTGCAGCAATCTACGCGAGGGATGCATACTGAAAACCAGCTGAATGCCGGCCCAAACCCCGGGGGTTTCGTATAATCATAGTGACGGCGGGAATACAGTACCTTGGCTAGATAAGCTTGAGGTTACCCTCAGAGAAGGGAAGATATTTAACTTTCCAGTCAAGCTGCTGTTCCAGGGCTTCCGTGAAGATCGGAGCAGAAAGTCCTGCAGGCAATTCCTAACTGGTTTCGTATAGTTATCAGCGACACCATTGTTGCATTGTACGGAATATATGGAATACTTGACGCCCATCACACAACGCCCGGCCATTGTCATCTTTTTAAAGCCGCCCCTGCATATACACCACCGGACTCTCCCGTTGCGGCAAAGTCAATGCCCGGTGTTCACCCAATGCCCTCCTGTGGCGCGGTGTTGCACAATACCACCGGGCTCGGGGATTGTGCAGGAGTTACACATGGGGGCCAAAGTCGCACGATTTCCTGATTCCAGAATCCCAGATCTCCGGATAGGCATACTGCATCGGGGCATTTGGGCGCGCTGACTGCATAACCAGGCGGCCCCGGCCCCGAGCCCCCTGATCGAGAATTCTGATGGGATTTGACCCCTTGGCAGCACCCCTCCTCATGGTTTGTTGCACAAGTTACAGCGGGAACGGGGCCGGCGTTGATTAATGCTGGATTCAGCATTCGCCAATTCGCGCCGCACGCGTTGTATCATTTGTATGTGGCGTGTAAGTTAACTATTGTACCCACCTTGTACGAAATGTCTTCCCAGATCCCTTTGTCCTCTGCGCTTCTGCACTTGTTTCCCTCCATGTGAAATCTACAATGGTATAGCGGGACCTGAATTCCACGCCTGATGCTGCAATCTCGACCTTGTTGGCCGTGAAATACTACTAATCCTAATACCCTCCATCATCCCATGGAGCCTCGTCATCATCACGGTGGCCTCGAGGGGCAGCCGGGGCTCGAAGTAGTGTACCAAGGCCACTTGGAGGTGGCATACGATCAGTCGCTGCCCGAGGTCCGCCCAGACGAATACACCAGCGACGGCAAGATCGTCTCCCCGCTCATAACCAAGTATCCGGGCCACTCCCACCCCGGAACGTACTCGACCGAGTCGACGCATGCGAAAGATGCGTCTCAAGAGTTGTCCAAGCCCAAAGAAGGATGGCGGAAGAGGAAACGGCTATGGCTTGTCCTGGCTGGCATCGGCACTGTCGCTGTCATCCTCATCGTCGTTCTGGGCGCCGTTTTCGGGAGCAGAGCCGGCAGGGCGTCATCAAAAGATCCCGCATCGCAAACGACTAGCAGTAGTGATGCAAACAACACCAACAATCCCAACAACACAGCATCCGGCTCCAACACCACAACCACCACCACGAAGCCGCAGTCGATACGCCAGGGCTCGAGCCTGAGCGTGACCGGCTGGCGGAAACCGGACGGCAACGTCGAGACGTACCTCTTCTACCAGGACCCGCAGGACGGTCTGCGCTACTCCAGGTGCGACACCAGCCATCGCACCACCACCACAGGCGGCGAGGCTAACGATTCCACCTGCTGGGAGCCGCCCGTCCGCTTCAACTCGTACGCCAGACCCAACACGCCCCTCGCAGCATCGACCATCCTCTGGGGCGACCAATACCAGCCCCAAACCGTACTCTTCTACTCGGGCTTCAAGACGCGCCTGCTGGGCGTCAACTTCAACGACCAGTTCTCGCCCAACACCTCCGACTCCAGCATCAACAACCGGCAACAGCCGCAGCAAGCATCCGACACACAAAACCAAAATAATCAAAATCATATCTTCACCATCCTCGACGGCGCGCTGGCGTCCTACTGGCCCTGGACGCTGTACCAGGACGCGTCGGGCGCGCTCTTCCACGTGCGCAACCTGCTCGGCGGCAACTTCGCCCCCTCCGACACGGCCTGGGACAACAACCCGACCAACATCACGGCCGCCGTGGCCGGCTCCGCGCTGGCCGTCGTGCCGCTGTCGGCCAACTTCAGCCGCATCGCCGTCAAGGGCGGCTACGCCGTGTTTTATTATCAGTCTTCTTCTCAGGATAAGGATAAGGATAAAGACGGTGGGAGGTTAGCGGTGGGCATCACGGATCTCGACTCGCCCGAGCTGGCGGCCGATTACCCGCTCTCGTGGCCGACCGAGATCCCCGCAATCGTGCTGCCCAGGGCCGCGCCCATGGCGGGCTTCTCGGTCGCGAGGCCCGGGGATGCGCTGCAGCGCGTTGATACCTACCTGCTGTATCGGGACGACAAGAATGATGTGAATGTGCTGTATACGAGTGCGGATGGGGAGGAGGACGGGGGGAGGGTGCAGTGGAAGACTGCGCGGCCCGATGCGTTGAAGGGGGTGGACCCGGACACGGATATCGCGTGTTTGACGATGGCTACGTCGTTTCATAACGCTGCTGAGGTTGAGGTGCATTTGGAGGAGGCGTCGGATGCGACGAGGTGTTATTTCCAGCGCGGAGGTGTCGTGGTGGAGGTCAAGTTGGATACTAGTAGTAGTAGTAGTAGTAAGGCGGATTGGATTGTTGTGGGGAATGTGCCGATTCCCTGATCGAGTCGGGAGATGCAAGGATGACTTGAACTTCGGGTGTATTACTTCGTTCTTTCGTGGCCTGGGTGGGAGATTTCGTTATCTGGCTCTGGCGTTTGGATATAAGATCCTACATTCCATATGTATATGAACCGCAAGGATGTAATGCGACGTTTACTTGATGGTCAAAACCACCATAGCTTGCAAGTTGCTATAGTACCCTTTGAAGACTTCACAGCAGTAGCGAGGTGATCGTGCTAGCAACGTTGCGCGGAGGTGGCATTTCAATACTCTTTGCTTCTTTAGCCGACGGGTGGCTACACGGCTGCCATCTCACTCAATCATACCTTAAATAAGTGTCGACGGTGGGAAAGTAAGATCTTTAAAGCTCCAGGAGGCAACAACACAACGGAATCCCTTCATCACATCGCTCCCCATATCGTTCTCCCCTTTCCATCACCGACCACAACCAAAGACAATTCACAAACAGACACCAACAATCACGGCAACAACAACAATAGCAATTCCCCAACATGCATCTCCTCCCCATCCTCCTCTCACTAGTCTTATCTCTTCCCTTCTTCACAACCGCCCTCTCCCTACTACTACCACCACTACTCAACACTACCAACACCACCACCACCTCCCTCCTCCTCCTCCCCTGGCAAATCCCCTCGCTCTCAACGCACTCGCCCTCAGGCTACCCGGCCAGCCACCCGTACTCGCGCCTGCGCTTCACCGTGCACGACCCCAACACCATCGTGCTGGGCGGCCCCACCCGCTTCGGCGACGCCGCCTTCCCGCCCTCCACGGCCAACTGCACCGTCCGGTGGCTGCCCTACGGGAGTGACGATGACGACGACCCGGTCACGTCGGGCCAGACATATGACTGTTGTGACGAGGACCCGGATACCATGGCGGGGAAGTGGACTTTTCAGGTTCTGAGTGCGACGACTGCGACTGGTACTGGTACTGGTAGTGGGGATAATAATAGTAGTAGTAGTAATAAGGGAGGGTCCACGTCCACAACGGATTTTAGGTTGCGGGTGATGCTCTCCGAGGCGGTGGTCTTGGGAACGGGCGGGGTCGTGAATCTCAGGTTTGAGGGCGAGGCTGCGTTTCGGTTGGGCAGGGAGGACGGGAATATGGAGGGGGCCTGTGGCGGGAGTGGGGTGTGTAATTGGGCTTTGAAGGAGGAGGATACGCCTGTGGTGGTTAGGCAGAGGTTGGTGGCGGTGGAGTGCGTTGCCGGGAGGTGTGAGGAGGATGAGTGATCGGGGCCTCATTAAAGAGGAGGAAGAAGAAGAAGAGGAAGAAGAAGAGGAAGAAGAAGAAGAAGAAGAGAGCTGTGACTTGATGTCGACCCCAGATAAAAAGACCGCTTCTGATGATACCACAAGCGGTAGCTGTATTGCATCATTGCAAGCAGAAAGCCTATGAGGTCCCTTTGACTCCTGAGTTGTCTCATCCCGTGTAAGGAGTCCAAGTTGTAAGTCCCCAGTCTGTAGTGCCAGGGGTAACGCATCCTCAATACAACAAATTCTACCGAGATTAGAATCTGTACATCAACAACAATCAGTCACCCATCTCCTCATGCTTCTTTCCCTCGCTCTTTGCTACCGGTTTACCAGTCTTGGGTTCGTTCTTCGAACCAGGCTGATTCTCATATCCACCGCCCTGTGCCTCGTACTCTTTGGCGAGCTTCATTCCCTTCCAAGCCGACCACTGCCCCTTTCCATCCCCGGATTTGTTGGGCTCTTGCTGGATCTCTGCAGACATGCGAGTTACTCCTGAGGTACTGAAGACGAAGTATGCTTCATCGAGCAAATGGCCGATTGTCATACCTTCCTTGAGCTGCTCCCGCAGCTCCGGATCGGTGGGCTTGCCCTTACTGCTTGGCATTTTTCCTTTGTTGGAACGGGAGTCAGAGCAGACTCCCTGTCGATGGCGGGTCAACGTCTCGAGTGCTTTACTTCGAGCTGTTTTGACCCGAGATTTAGGCGAGACCGAGAGAAAGCAGAAACGACGTTTCATAAACTACAATTAGAGCACCGAGAACTTTACGCATAGATGTTGATTGAAATAGGACCGCAGGGGAACGAGTGGGTCGCCTTGGTTGAGTCGATGACATAGCGAGCGGTTAGCCTCTGATTACATCATGGAGGTCTGGAACACTGTTTGTTGCTACTACTAGCGCTCGTTGCTTCTTTCTGTCTTGAGCTCACTAACTATCAATTACTAGTAAAGGAATGCATGGGAACGCCGCCGGAGCGTATTTCTTTTGTCATCCCTACGGCTGTTCAAGGTCACCACGGTGCAACCTCTGGCCTTCAGGGAGAAGGCCTTCCTGATCGAATAAGAAATAGATCGGAAACTTGAAGAGGATGAGGACCGAGCCCACGACACCCAACATTGAGACGGGAAGAGACATGGGGACTATAAGGCCAACCACCAGTCGCCGTCGGCGAGCTCTGGGTGGTGTAAGTTCTTCACACGCACCTTCGTCGCACAGCGGCAGGGAGCGTTACGGGAGACACAGTCCGACGGACTGATATCCCCGGAGTCAGCAGTCCTGCCGCCGGAACCACGTAGATATCTTGTCCTACAATCATTGTAAGCCGTGATAGTGATAGCACGGCTGGTGATAGCACGCCGAAGACTGGCCTTCTGTCCGCCGTAGTAGATTGGAGCTAGACAGTGAACCTCAGCTCCAGCATCACCGACAGCTGCTTGCTCTATCACTACGACGGGTGCAACAATGCCCGCTTTGTCAGCACAGTGACCTCATGTCCTTCGTCTGTCCACAGTAGTCCCTAACCCACTTTCCATCACCGAAGGGCGGACCCCGCATCTTTGCATCCTTAGGGCCCCGCTCGCGATGATGACTCAATCTTGAAGCTGACGACGTACATACCACATTAGGAATTGGGATTGTCAAGAGCGACTTCCCCAATCACAAAAGGTTGCTTTCCATTATAGTCATCAGAGGCGATAACTGCTACAGTGAACGGTCAAGGCATCACCTCGTTTGAGTCAAGACAGAACCCTGGTACGGTCAACACCAAGACATCACGTCACCATGGTGGGCTTAGACACAGTGAAGCTCGACTTCACCACCCTCGACGTCTTCACGGGCACCCGCTTCCTGGGCAACCCGCTCGCGGTGGTCTTCGTGCCCCCCGCCCTACGGGAGCGGCTCGACCAGGCGACCAAGCAGCGCATCGCGCGGGAGTTCAACCTGTCGGAGACGGTGTTCCTGCACATGCTAGAGAACGAGCCGAACCGTGACTACACGGCGCGCGAGATCGACATCTTCACCATCGACGAGGAGCTGCCCTTCGCGGGCCACCCAACCATCGGCTCCGCCTACCTGGTGCTACATCAGCTCGGGTGGAGCCACGTCAACACGCTGCTGACCAAGGCCGGGCCGATCCACATCGAGGCGCTCGGCCATGGCGGCGCCGCCGTCCGCGCGGCGATCCCCCACGCCGTGCACATCCACCAGCAAACCCTGGGCAAGCTGCTCGAGTCACCCTCCACCGCCGGTGAGGCGGCCAGCGCCATCAAGAACGGCCTCTCGGCCGACTCTGAGATCCGCGAAGCCGAGCTGGCCGCGCCCGCGGTGAGCATCGTCAAGGGCATGACCTTCCTGCTGGTGCGCCTCCCGAGCCTGGCGCACCTTGCGCGGGCACTGGAGGCGAAGAACCGGCTGGACTTCTCCCAGATCCCGGATCTGCTGGACCGGGGGGAGTGGCACAAGAGCTTTGTCGCGCGGTATTACTACGTCCCGATGGGCAGCAGCCCGTCGGATGCGGAGGACGGGAGCAAGAACTTTGAGCTGCGGACGCGCATGGTCGAGCTAGGGTTCGAGGACCCGGCCACGGGGAGCGCGGCGTCCACGTTGGCTAGTTACCTGGCCATCAGGGAGAAGGCGGAGAAGGGCGCGCAGTTTGCCATCACGCAGGGCGTGGAGATGGGGCGGCGGAGTGAGATTGCTGTTGATGTGGTTGCGAAGACGGAGGCGGGGTCCAGTGAGGTGCAGATTAAGGAGGTTTACTTGGGTGGTACGGCGGTTGTGGTCATGAGTGGACGCATATCGGTGTGAGTGAGGGCGGTTTTCCAGATGAATGGCTTTGCTCATGTTGAGTGTCCGGGTTGGTGACGGCACGCGAAGTTGAAGCTCACCTACATTATGCTGACTCGGTGAGATCAGGCAACAGTCGTGATAATACCGGGGCTTCTTGAGGGAAGGAGGGAATGGAATCAATTAGGAGGAGTCGTAGTAAGAAATAATGAGCCGAGTATTCCTTGCAACGTTCTCATATCGTTGGTGCTGTTGTTGTCGAGTACTCGCTCATGAATGTGTCGGTCAAAGGAGGAGCGAGGAGCAGGGGCTCGGACCAAGTGGGGCAAGGTGATAACGATATAGAGGTCTCGCAGATTCTGATTGGCTGTAACAACGCAGAAGCTGGATTGGCGGCTGGCTCGTGCACCGGCTTGGATGCGCGACGAGGCTGCCGATCTTGCATCAAAAAGTTGGCAGCTGTAGACCACCCATACGCGCCCTTCCGCACCGTCCTGAAGGATCTAGCCTACACAACATCATCTTTTTTCTAGAGAAGCTGTGCAATACATTCAGGATGTTGTGCGCACGTAAGTTAGCCCATTGGCTCGTTGAGCGATACTCGTACATACTAACAATCGGTAGTTTCGGGCGAGGTTCCGGAGGAGCCTGTGGTGTCCAAGAAGACAGGTCCGTCGCAAGTTACAGCTAGCTCGGGTGTAGTGCCATTGTTACTGACCTGCGGCCAGGAACCGTGTTTGAGAAGCGCCTGATCCTCAAGTACATCGAAGAGAACGGAAAGGAGCCCGGCACCGACGACGAGCTCGACCCCGAAGACCTGCTCCCGGTCAAGACAAGTCACGTTGTCCGACCACGACCGCCACAGTTCACGTCTCTTCCGTCGATGCTCAAGGCCTTCCAAGACGAGTGGGACGCCCTGGTGCTGGAGACATACAACACGAGGGAACAGCTGGCTCGGACGAGGGAGGAGCTGGCCACCGCCCTCTATCAGCATGACGCCGCCGTGCGGGTCATTGCGCGCCTGACCAAGGAGCGGGACGAGGCGCGAGACGCCTTGTCCAAGGTCACCGTCGCCCCAACCGCATCGGCTGGAGCCGCTAATGGCGATGCCATGGCGGTGGATAACGAGGGCCTCCCGGAGAGCTTGGTGGAGCACGTGCACGAACTGCAACAACAGTATGTCGTTTGGCCTTCCACAAGCATGATCCCCCATTGACCGTTCTGCAGATTGATGAAGGGTCGCAAGAAGCGCCCCATTCCCGAGGGATGGGCCAGCTCGGACGAAGTCGCTGCCTTGCAACAAGCGGCTTACACAGATCTGGCCGTCTCGCAAGCGTCGTCCCTCGATGTCGAGACCGAGTCCGACTACGCGGTCGTGGGTGGCCTGGACGGCAAGGCCGACATCTACTCGATTCAGGCAAATAATGTGGAAAGATCACTCGATATTGGCGAGCCAGTTACCGCCACCGTTTGGACAGGGAGTAAGGTTATATTGGCGACCTCTAAGGGATCCGTCAAGGTGTTTGACAGTGGCAACGAAACGGCGTCCTTCCAGGTCCATGCAGGCGCTGTGACTGGTCTGGCCGTACACCCTGGCGGACGGATCTTGGCATCAATTGGTGTGGACAAGAGCTTTGTCTTCTACGATCTCGAGTCCTTGGAAAAGGTCTCGCGGGTATACACGGATGCTGGTATGTCCCTGTCTAGCACTCAGTTCTGCCCATTGCTAACCCCTTACCAGCGCTTACTGCTTGCGCATTCCACCCCGATGGCAACCTCTTCAGCGCCGGGTCACAGACGGGCGACATCAAGATATTCAAGACCGACACGGGCGAACAAGCCGAAACCTTCAACCTCGGGACCCCGGTCCAGACCGTCGTCTTTTCCGAGAACGGGTTTTTGTTCGCTGCGTCTGGGAAGGGCCAGTCCACGACCACCGTTTTTGATCTCCGGAAGTCGGGCCCCGCGGCCCAGGTCAAGGAACTGCAGACCGGTGACGCCCAGGCCTTAGCATGGGATTACACCGGCCAGTACCTTGCCACGGCCGGGTCAACTGGTGTGACGGTGCAGATGTATCAGAAGAGCTCCAAGTCGTGGTCCGAGCCGTTCAGAACCAGCGCGCCCGCTGTTGCCCTTCGGTGGGGTGCTCAGGCCAAATCACTCGTCGCGGTGAGCAGGGAGGGCGTTGTGTCGGTGCTTCGGCCCAAGGAGGAATGATCAAGGGGAAGAGGGGTTTAGAACGGCTTGTCTCATAGTGATCTGTGGTGTGTGTGTGCTGGCTTCTGGCGCCTGAAAATTTGATACCTCCATTGGAAGACTAATCGAATCTTTTTGCACATGCGGTGAACCGAACTTCGCGAGGCACTGTTTCGCAGGCAGGAACATTTGTTGGTTACACCAAGAGGCCGGGACGGTGAAAGGCTAAACAGACTGTGCTTGTTTGTACTCTCCCTGGCGATGCCCATTCCAAAATACTAGCGAAACCCATTCTAACTTTTCAAGTCCTGACGCTCGCGTGGTAGTAAGAAACAGGACCAGTGCGTTGCTTTGAAAGCCAGTGGCAAAATCTGGGGAAGTAGAAGGAAACGGCTGGATGGGAGAGGCAGGGCAAAGAACACAGTTGGGCCCAGACGCCAGTTCACTAAGTGTACCGTGCATAGCTCCCTTTGTGCAGATTCACAGTCGCAACGCCGCCTGCTGAGTAAATTTGCGGCTCCGAACATTTGTCCTAGTAAGCAATGCAGGGCGAAGTCGGCGAATCCCGTAAACACCGAACGTCCCAAGCCAACAAACAGCACTCGAGTCGCCTCCCTAACCGAAAATTTGCTCCTTCAAGAACCCGCAGGCGTACACGACACGTCTGCATCGACCTTTCTCACCTTTTCCCTCCAGCTCCGCCACGACGTCCACAGCATTCTAACCCCGCTCCCGCGAAAGTCGCTCGGCCTGGTAGTGCAAAGAGGCACTGCTCTTGTATCACATTCCGCCGACGAGGCAGGTTTACGACCGCCTGCTGCCTGCCGGCGGTTCGTCGCGCTTCGACTTCGATTTCTCCGCCCAGGGCGCCCAGAGGCCAACGGCCGCTGGGAGCAATCGCCACGAAACGGCGCAGACGAGCTAAATGGATTTGCATAACGCCACCAGCGTTCTGGAAGATCTGCCTTCCGATGCTTTCGATCTCGACGATTTCGAGCAACCCCGGTCAGTGAGCGATTATTCAAGCTGGCCCGCGGAATCATCGCCGGATCCGTGGGAGCAACAGGAGGAAGACGTCGAGTATTCCGAGGACGAGCTTGACCAAGACTTCGAGGAGCACGACGAGGAAGACGAGGAATCTAGCGCACACGGAGAGGCCGTGTACAACGACGAGGAGGAGGACATCGACATTGATTACGAGCCGTTTGCAGCTGAGGGGGAGGACGGCGACGAAATACGCTCTCTAGAAGACCACTTTTGGGGCGAGGAAGGCTTATTCGACCAGGGCGCTGAAAACGGCAGTCAACGTTCCTCCAGCCTCTCGCCAATTCCCGGCTTCGCAGCTTTTCTCGCAGAACTACAAGCTCACCAAAACGCCGACCGACTTTCTGAAGCGCCGTCCGAATCGCTTTTCGTGGACGACGGTCCGGATCTTCTCCCGCCCATCGACTCGATTATTTCCAGTGTTAGGCGCACAATGTCAGAGATACAGCAAGGCCGTAGGAACCAGCTGTTGCGGTCTCTTGAGCAGAGTCGGTCGTCTGCAAACTCGCTGGGAAGACTTGGAGCACTGGGACGGTCGCGGGAAGGCAACCGACAGGATCACCGGCATCATCCATACAACATGCCTCGGGAAGCAGCTAGAGAGCACTACAGGATGGATGACCAGGAAAACAACCGAAACAATCGCCAGGCGCACGATGAATTGGTCGCAATGGTAGTGCGCCCGGTTCGCTCGAGGATCTCCCGACGTCGAAGCCAGGCACAGCCAGAGGTTATCGATCTGACAGCCGAGCCCGATTCACCTGTGTTAACGCGGGCTCCTGATCCTCCCCAAGGGCGCGTTCCAAATGCGTCGAGCGCGTCACAAAGCTCTGCAAGAAACCCGCGTCGGCAGTTGTCCCTCAGCCAGCGCACGCCTTCTCTTTCCCGCAGTGATGCAAGCCTTATCGGGAACAATCCAAATTTCATTGACCTGACGGGCGATGATCCGCCACCCCCGCCACCTCTTCCCCAGCAACTTCCACGACGCGATTGGAATCATCCCGATCATCGCGCCCACCCTCAGCGTCGCCAGCATATCGCTTCATCCCGCTCCCCGGCTATCGACCTAGTCAACGACAGCGACAACGACGATCTTCGTCGCAGTTTCGTTGGCTTTGTGCGTAGGGCCCAAAATTTCAACATTTTCCAGCGGTTCATTCCCCACGGGCTCGATGTCCTCCAGATTGGTGGCCACGGTCTCAATATGGACAACCCGCTTGCAGACAACATTCCCAATCTTAACTACCGTGCAAATGGCAACAACGTAGGCCTCGGCGCGTCGAAGCCAGATCATGTGCCTCCCTCGCCAGCACGCGAAGGCTTCACTCGCAACACTGGACCTGATACTGTGGTGGTCTGCCCCGGCTGTGGCGGGGAATTGAAGTATGACCCCGACTCGGGCGCTGAGGATGCGTTGTCCCCGCGCCCGAATAAGAAGGCGAGGACGAAGAAGGATCAGGAAGAGCACTACTTCTGGGCACTCAAGGATTGCGGACATGTGAGTTCACAGCTCGGCAGCCTGCTGTGCCTGTGCTTTTGCTAACTCGTGCGCCTTTCCTCACAGGTGTACTGCAAAGAATGCTACGAGAGCCGCGGCCTCAAAGCTGGCCGAAAGGGCCACGAAGCGCACTTTCGTCGTGACGCCGAGAACAATCGCAAGGTCTTCTGTGCGGTTGAGGGCTGTTCCACCGAGGCTAACAACAAGCTGAACTGGGTCGGCCTTTTCCTGTGAGCCGGGTTTCACGCTGACCGCCGTTCTATATCATGATATCCTCTCTTCTCTCCATCAGCACATGGCTGCCGTACCAGCAGCGTCGGTGTGGCCAGTTCAGCATGCGGACATTGGTCACGCTCAGGATGCTAGACCGGCCGCTCGTTGAGCAGGTCACACAGCAACGCCCTGCGAGATTCCTCTTTATATCTGCTTTTCTTTTCCCTCATGGGCGGTAATCGGATCCTAACACCGGTACATATCTGAACGCGGTACATCCACGCGTCAATGGAGCAGTGGCACTGGTCTTGATTGGCATGATTGGAGCGGTCCAGCTGAGTCAGTTTGGTCAATAAGGCCCAACAGCATAGCGAATGGATTGCCAAAGCATGGAAAGGTGGCTGGGATAGATCACGGTGTTTTTCCGGCATGCTGTTGCCCGGCATTCTGTGTGTTTTTGACTTTCTGTACAAACTACTTACACCGTTTCTCTCCTCCCCTTCCATCCCCGTTTCTTCTGTCTCTGCCGGTCGAGAGGGGGGATACTTTACTCCTCTCAATCTTTGGCGCCTTCAACATGTCATTGCTTTCACGCATGACCAGCTTGGTGGATCGGGTTGGCTTGGGACAAGCGTTCTATAAGTGGGGTGGGAGCAGGGACAGGAAACCAAGGACAAGGACAAGGACAACAGCAGATGGCGGCATTTCGTGGTGCGTTCGGTGTTTATAGCGTTTCCTCCCTGGACAGGATAGTGACATCAGCTGCCACATGCCGGGGCTGAATGGTTTTCCCTTGGTTCAGCGACGAGGACTAATTCTCCACATTATCAGGCCACAATTTTCCATCCTCTTCGGGTGTTGTTGTGCTGCGCTTGGGTGCCGTGATTTTGGTTATCCCATCTTGGTGGCATCTCCCCACTGCTTTGTATTCAGAGGTCATGCAGTTACTGGTGGTTAGTAGGACCCCATAATAAGAACTGGATTGCGTTCCAGGATGTCATGAGTGGGAGCTTGCCTGTCTTTCGCACTGCCGCCTGGCGCATAACCTTCATTATCATCCAAACCATCTCCTCATATCCATTCCAACCCGATCAGATATTGGGTATACTAGTAGTTACGTGCAGGTTGCCAACCCCTCGAGACCTCGCTATCACCAGCTCCGTCACTCAGCCATAGACACTAAGCAAGAATATACCCCCTCCTGCCCCGCCTTTCAACCATCTTCAGATCCCTGCCCCGCCCCCTCTCCCGTTCCCGCTCCCTCAGGTTCGGCAGCGTGATATACTGCTCCGGATCTTGCGGCAGCAGCTGCTTAAAGATGGGCTGCGACCCGACCGACCGCTTCAGCAGCTTGGTCTCCATCAGCTGGTGCAGCCGCTTGGTGGTCAGAAAGGCCTGCTGCTGCTGCTGCCCGCCTCCTACACCGCCGCCATTACTACTACTATTAGTACCGTTCAGCCCTCCTCCTCCCCCAGTCTCAGCAGCATCAGCATCCACCAGGCCCACTACCGTCGCCGATCTGGAAGCGGATCGAGAAATGGAGCGAGAGCGAGAGTGCGGTGGCGGGGTGGCGGTAGCAGTAGCAGTATCAGGGGGCGCCCATTCATCCAGCACCTCGCACATGGCAGCCGTCATGTCGTCGCTGGTGCTGGACTCAAACCCGCACGCGGCAAACAGGTGCTTGGTGTAGCCCTCGGTGCCCGGCGGCGGCTGCCAGTCGATGTGGCGGAGGTTGGCGCCGCCGGCGGCGCAGCAGTCGAGGATGAGCAGCACGTCGCAGGCCGCGGAGAGGATGGTGGATCGGATGGAATCCCATTTCAGGGATGCGACTGGGCGGTAGCGTTCGCTGTGTGGGACTGAGTTAGTTTATAGTTATAGTTTTAAGCACTAGTACCGTAGGGAACGGGAAGGATTTGGTTGAGGAATGGTAGGGGAGGAGAGAGGCGGAAGAAGGGGATGGGCTGGAGGAGAGGGAGACGAACTATTTCTTCAGGAGCTCTTGGTATCTCTCCCGGCGGCCGTGGGTAGCACAGGCATCGCCGCTGAGAAGTGCTGCGTAGAGCTCGGCCGCGGCGGCTTGGGACCATCCAGGGTTGTCCGGGTGGTCGTGGCTGAGGTTGCCAGCTGCGTCAGTACTAGTAGGCACAGGGCGGAGAAAGTTGGCCATGGGGGAGAGGGGTGCACACCTGCTAAAGACCAGCTCGTTGTCATCGTCCAAAGCCCCGTGGCCGTGGTAGTAGATGATCAGCAGCGTGTCGTCGGCTGCGTAGCGGCAGAATTGTTTTAGCTTGGCCTTCAGGCTCTCGACGGACCGGTGCATCGGGATGAGGAACTCGTGCACCGTGTATCCGTAGCTCTCGAAAGTATCTCGCAAGCGGGCTGTCTCCTCCTCCAGTGAGACGTAATCGGAAGATGGCGGAGCTGTGTAGTCCTCTGTCCGGAGGTCGTGGAAGGACCACGTCAGGATGAGCGCGTGGACCTGGTTGTACTGCGGTCTGACGCCGCGATATTTACTGATGTTGTCAGATACTCCCTCCTTAACAGAATTCAAAAAACTCGGCTTCTCATCCACAGCTGAACAAAAGCACTTACGAAGCAGCCCTTACCCTCCCCCCAGTCCCGGGACTACCCCCGTCCCTCCCATTCATCAGCGTCCCATCATAGCGCTCAAAACTCTCACTCCTCCCCTTTCGCGCCGGCACTCTCGGGCTCCCCACCCCACCCAACCTCAGCCTCAAATCATCCTCATTCCCATAAGGTGGCACAACGGGAACAACCTGATACCCCCTCTCATACCTCTCCCTCTCCCTCTCCCTCTCCCTCTCGAGCGAAGGCGACCTCGTCCCAGGTCTCGAACTAACAAGCGGCCACCCAGCCCCGGCAAGCCCCACGCGCGGACTGGACAGGCTGAGCCGTGGGTGGCGGTAGTACCCCCCTGGCGGGTCAGGCACGACCGTGGCACTGTCCCACCCTCCGCCATGCGCATGCGCAACTAGGCGGTCCGATTCTTCATCAGAATCGCCCGCCGAGAGGCGCGACAGGGAGAGAGACCTCGCGCGGGGATGATGGTGGTGGTGATGGTGGGAGTCCCGGTGGTTGTGCTGTCGGGCGTAGGTCCCCGGGGCCGGAGGAGGAGGAGGAGGAGCTGGCGGTGGTGAGCGGTCGGACAGACGGAGGCGCTGCTTGAGGGTTTCCGTCTCGTAGTCCACCAGCCCCGTGGAGAGGGAGGGCTTGAGGGGGTTGGCTCGGTAGCTTCCGTCGCGGTGCCGGACTCTGACTCGGTTGCGGTCGGTGTCTCTACTATCCCTGTCGCGGGCGGCCCTGGGCCTGGGACGAAACTCCAGATCGCCGTAGCCGATCACGCTCACGCTGGCCGAGGGTCTGCGACTGCGGCCGCCGAGGGTAACGCGCGAATACCGGTCGGCTTCATCATTGTCTTCGTCGTCATCGTTGTCTACGCCGATGAAGACTGTCCTGGTGTCCCACGGGTTGGAGGCGCCGCCGTACCCGTAGCTGAAGTCGTGGTGATGGCGGCTGAAGCGGCTCATCTCAGTCGGGGCTTCTTTTCGGGACTCACGCAATTTCAAACCCTGGTCGCTCAGTCACCTTACGGTAGAGCAAATCTGATTAAAAAAGTCTAACTGAGTTTATGTCCTCGGTGAGGTTTCAGGAGGGAGGGGCTGAACACAATGCGGGGAGCCAAGGAACACCGCAGGATGCCAAATCTGTTCGTGCGACGGGGTGGTTGGAAGCAAAAAGTGTCGAAAAGGATCTCAATTAGGCCTCCAATTCCAGGGCTGACGCAGCGGTTGAACTAGCTGAGGAGGACACGCATTCGCCGCCTTGAATTCCAATTTTCCGTTCAGGTCAGACGACAGGGGTTTTATTAGGCCCTGTGCGCCTGGTTCCAAGCTACGAGGGGGCTGCATTGTGCATTGCCGCCATGCGCGTCTGCGTCGAGGACCGTTTGTGCCCAATGGCAATGCTTGGCACCGAAACAGGGCGAGGCAGACTTCAACGGGAATGGGGCGGCCGCTTCTTGGCAGGGAGGACGAAACCCATCTGACTTCCTGAGCGGAATTCTAAAGGTTAGTAAGTAGTTTAATCTGACCACTACTCACTGTACTAAATATTGTTCCAGGGTCCGTCTGACTATCTCTGCTGGTGGTCTTCCTCTTCATTCACATCCTGCTCCTCTTTGTACTCGACTCGGGTACATAGGACCGCAATAACGCCGACTAGAAACGCGGCGCAGGATATCTCTATGAAAGGTCAGACGCCAGCCCTTTTTGTCTTGAGTGCTGCATGGGTATTTCGGTCCCAATGGATAAAACTCACCTAGAACCTTTTCAATAGAACCAACAAAGATACTAATGACCTTAGATTGCAGTTCGGGGCTTAAACCGCGGATACTCTCAAGGCTTTTGACCGCCCGCTGAATGATCTGTAGACTGTATCAGCTTACATTGTGGGAGCAATAGATATGAAGGGGGGATCACTCGCCTTTGCTGTATCGGGACCGTCGCCGAGACGAGACTGCAAGCCGGACCGGATGAACCTCTGCGTCAAAGACAGAGTCACGCCCATGCCCACATCGCTTGCCAGAGCGGTTACGACATTGAAGATGGCCAGGAGTGATGGCCGATCTAAGCATGCTGGTATCAGCCAGTGGCCGGGACGATAGAAGCCAGAATTTAACTGGTCTCGGGGGGGCGGAGCTTACCTTGTGGCCCGGTGGTAGATAGTAGCGACACAACGAGGCAGTTCTCGATCACTCCGATGCTGAGACCGAAGATAAAAAGGTAGGATGCACATTCGGGACGCTCGAGTGCTAGGCGGGTAAGATTGTCAGCGCTAGTGTTATGTGCAGCAAACAGAAAGAGAGTAACACGAAACTTACGGACAAGACCGGCGGCTATAGCCTTGTATAAGACGAAATAGATCACAACAACCCACTGAAGCATCCTCCACGGCGCTCGGTACTGCTTGATTGCGAAGCCTGAGAGAACGGAGCCAATGGGTCTCGCAAAGACGATGCAAGAGAGGGCCCAGTCCCCAAAGGACGAAGGATGGTGGAACGAACGCGCTTCGATATAGAGTGCGAGGTTATAGAGGAGCTAGCTGTCCGTTAGAAGCACTGAACAGCAGCCTTTCTGGCTGGCGTTGACTCACCGCGCTGAAAGAAAAGACAAGGCAAAACACGCACATCATCAAGGCGATGACGGCGCGGTTCTTGAAAAGCGCAACACGGATAAAAGGCGTCACGCCGCTCCGAGTTTGCGACCAGTAGCATGCTGCGACAGCAAGGGGGGTGCAGGCCAGCAGGGTGACGACGACTGGGTGCGTCCATGGTAGGATACTGCCCCCCGTGTTTAGCGCGAAGAGTGGCAGTGCGATGGTTGTGAAGACCAAGGCCGGGCCCAAGGCATCAAAGCCATCGCTGCTCCTCGTTGCATTCATGCTCTCTTGCGACTTGGCAGGGAGATGGAGTGTAACGAAGACAAGGCCAAATCCTACTGCCATGACTAGGAACTCGACGCGAAAGACCCTGGTCGAAGTCCGGTCAGCCTTGTGTTGCATGGATGCTGCTTCGTTTGAGATGTATGTCGATGGTAAAGCCAACTCACCAATGCCAGCCAAGCTTGTCAGCCAGGGAAGAACCAACCGGACCACCCGTCACGTCGCCGACGGCCTGGACACAGACTATCAGACTGCGCCAAAGTGCAAAGTCTTGTAGTGGGACGATGTCTACCCGGAGGAGTTAGTTCCTGATGGGGCATCATCGTCACAAGGAAGAGTGATGTTAGCAGCCACGCACCGGTCAGCATGATGGCGACAAGGAGCGGGAACCCAGCAGAGCCAGACCCGACTACCAGGCGTGACAGCGTCAGCTGCCAGAGCCGGCTGCTTAGCGAGCTGCGTAAAGATGGAGGTTAAGTCAACATCCAATCTCCAACAGACAGTCCTGGATGACGCGACCACGTGGCCAACTCACCAAAGGAGGAGGCCAACTGCAGTCAGAAATGCCGCCAGCAGTGCAGCACGCCGGCGTCCTAACAAGTCACCGAGGCGCGAATACTGTACTAGTAGGTAAGCCTTCCACTCTGCTCGGTGAATTAGCTCTGCCACGACGTACAAAGGGGTTGCTGGCTGTTTCCATGATGGACCCGAGCAAGATGACCCAGACAGCATTGTCCAGCTCGTGGAGATCAGAGGCTACCACGTAGAACAAGTTAGCGAGCTACTTTACCACTTGCGACCTTATATTGTAGAGCACTGACCAATGCGCTTGCTATAGTTTGTCGATAGGAAGAGCATGTCAAAGTCGATGGTGAAGAGACTACAAATATTTTCGCCCGTATGTTGTCAGCCTACGCCCTGGCTTACCCCGAACTAAGCGAATCTCTATCAACCCCCCAATTGAGTTGGTGCAACTACATCAATCTAATCCAATAGCAGTCGCACATTACTTACCAGAGCAGAATCCCCGGCCCAGCAGCCCAAAGCAGCTTCCTCCTGCTCGCGCTCAACGTCTGCGCCTCCGGTTCGACCAAGTCAGGATCTATCGGTGCCGCTAGCAGCGGATCTGTCACGCGCGGTCTAGGGGACCTGGTGCCGTGCAAAGTCAGAGAGTTGGCCCTTTCGGGACTGGCGTCCGTGTCAGTGTCCATCTCGCTGCCCTCCGTTGTTGGTGTTCTTGGTCTTGGGCCGTTCTATTCAGCGACGGAGCGGTGAGGTCCAGAACGGCGTTTCATGTAAACGGCTGACGTTCCAGCAGTACTAGTGCCTAAGTCCGTGACTTTCCAGTTTGGTCTGGTGCCCTCAGAAGGGACAGAGGTTGTAGGTGTCTTAGATATCTGGAGCGTCAAAAGCTCGATGGAGTTGATTTTGGTTTCTGAATTGTCACGGAACATGAATAAAATCGAGAAGTGGGGCGATGTGGATGTGTCAACCTGGAATGTCACACTGCAGGTCTTGGAACTTGCAAGGAAGGAAGGTGCGACGGGGATGTCTTACCTGATTGGACGTCCATCAAAATGATCTGGCGGTTCGATGACCTCTCCTCTTCCCAACGAAAGGCCGTTCAAGTCAGCTGGTCTGGCTTTGTTGCCTCGGTCTGACGCGCATCAGTTTAACCAAGCAATCTCTTCTGGTCGACTCGCATTGGTAGTTCCACCTTCAACTTACCTAGGTGCCTAGCTAAGGCTGGGCTAGGTAATGGTCCTAGCACCAGCACGGTAGCCGGTATACCGGTTCCATGTTGCCCTGCGCAGGCTGATGGTCACTGAAAGGCTGCAGAAGCACTCTTGAGTGAGAGTCTCCATGCTAGTTGGCTCCGCTCTGGGTGGATGATACCCATGGTACTCCGAACACACGACGAGAAGTCCTCAGAGCAGAAGCTGATAACCTACGTATCTAGGTAGGTAGATAATATTAGCTTCACGTGATAGAGGTTACACAAGGGCTGTGACGTTTAAGGGTTTAAAGAGGGGAAGCCTCAGCCGCACTTTGATTCTCCCAACTCTCGTACAGCTCACCCTTTTGTTAACGCCAGTTGAGGTGGGAGATGTGTTCTAGTGCTCGACCTCCAGCCATGGAGCAGAAATGTCCTCCTCTAAAAGATTGGAAGAACGTCCCACAAAAGACTCCGAGGGATCAACAACCGCCAGCGACAGCACCTGCGCACGATGCGTCCAATTCGGCGCGGTATAAACTGATCGTGCTCTGGGACGAGCATGTGGGAAAGACCGCTTTATCTGAGATGGTATGTCTCTATCAACGCGTCACTCGTTACGCTTCACTAGCTGATTAGCGAGTACTGCGAAAGTTGTTTCACCTAGGATTTGACGTGGGACATGATGATTCGTATAGCGGACAGTCGTTTACCGTGGATGGCGTGACTTACGACTTCGAGCCTGAGGTGCTCGGCACGTCTAGCCAGGATGACCACAGCGATGTTCTTCCTTGCCGGATTCCAGATCGAGCGGCATTCCTACTTGTCTATTTCACTTCATCTCATATTTCGTTATTCCGCCTCCGCAGGCTTTACGGGAGGATCCGGCTATCTGACAGATATGTGAAAGGCGCGACTAATCATAGTATATTCCTGATCGGCATGCGCGACGGAATCCACAGAGTATCCTCGGCCGAAGGGCTTAAGCTTGCACTTAGGCTTGGCGTCGACTCCTTCATCGTGTGCGATGGAAGTTACTCTGGGGTCAAGAGCTCCTTTCTGGACTTCATAAAAGTCCTTCACTCACGGGACGAGAATAGCCATCACGGGTATGACTCGATGCCGGGGCCCTATTGGAAGCGGGGTCCCTACGGGAAGAAGCTGGTTAGTCCTACGGATGAAGGTATCGTGTCAGGCGACCAAGACGGGCTCTCCATGCGCCTTGCTGGTGCTGCTCGGGCGAACGACATCCAAGGCGTCAGGCGGCTGCTCGATGCGGGCGCCGAAGTCAATTCCCAACGGATACTCTATGGCGAGACACAGCATGTGGTTTATGATAAAGGGTACCCCAAGTTAACCAAGACTCTGCTGAATCGGTTTCGCCGTGTCGGGAGAGTCAGGTCCATCACGGCACATGTTTGTGGCTTGTCTGCGCTACATGAAGCCGCAGCTGGGGGGCACCTTGAGATGGTCAAGTTTCTTCTCCAGAAAGGTGCCAATTCCAACCTGGACAGCGCACTCCATGGGACACCATTGCAAGCGGCGGCGTCAAGGGGTCACATCAGAGTTGTTGAATACTTGTTGCAGGAAGGGGCGGATCCTAACATGAAGGCCGGTCCGTTCGCCTATCCCCTTCATGCTGGGGCGTGGTTTGGATCCAAGGAAGTTGTCCTTGCCCTAGACAACGGCGGCGCAGACATCTCGGCTGTGGATGATGACCGGTGCACAGCACTCCACCTCGCGGCGGCCACCGGCAGAGACGAGGCCCTGATGGTATTGATCGACCGCGGCGGAGACATCTCGGCTGTGGATAATGACGGGCGCACAGCACTCCACCTCGCGGCGGCCACCGGCGAAATCCAGGCCCTGAGGTTCTTGATCGACTGGGGCGCAGACATCTCGGCTCTGGATAATGACGGGTGCACAGCACTCCACCTCGCGGCGGCCACCGGCGGAATCCAGGCCCTGGAGGTATTGATCGACCGCGGCGGCGACATCTCGGCTGTGGATAATGACGGGCGCACAGCACTCCACCTCGCGGCGGCCACCGGCGAAATCCAGGCCCTGAGGTTCTTGATCGACTGGGGCGCAGACATCTCGGCTCTGGATAATGACGGGTGCACAGCACTCCACCTCGCGGCGGCCACCGGCGGAATCCAGGCCCTGAAGGTATTGATCGACCGCGGCGGCGACATCTCGGCTGTGGATAATGACGGGCGCACAGCACTCCACCTCGCGGCGGCCACCGGCGGAATCGAGGCCCTGAAGGTATTGATCGACCGCGGCGCAGAGTCACTTGTCAACGCCACGACCAAAAATGGGGAGACCCCAGTCTACCTTGCGGAGAAAGGGGGACACTCCGGCGCTGTCGAGGTTTTGGTAAAGTTTGGGGCAAGGAAGTTTGTTCGACGTTCACTTACCCTTAAGTGGCTGAAAGATCAGGAGAACTCGAACAAAGGGAGCGAACATAGAGATACGGATATTCAGTTTCCCAGTGGGTCACCAGATTCCGACACGGATGGAGGCTTCGTTGATTCCGACCCGCTAGTGGTAGGTGCGGTCACACTGGCACTGTCGATTCCCTTCAGTCGCCACCGCCAATTAGAAAGGCTAGGTTTGAACGCTAATCGTCACGTTTACGAAGATCCCCCATCCCCTAGACGCCGAGGTTGAAGCTAGCACCACCACTCAGAGTGCCTTAGCCAACCGTTTGATCAAGTCAATGCTCACATGGGCGAAGCGTCGCTGCCGCCCGGGGCTCAGACCTGGACATCGTCGTCTTGAGTGGACCTGCGTAAGTCTTTTCCGTTGCTCGGAGAACCGAGCCCATGAAACGCTCAGCTGATACATTTGCGAATGGAGGATTGCGGAGATGACCTGTATGCGGACTTCTCAGCTGCCGACCCAGAGGCCATAGCCAGACTCCAAAAGGAGTTAAGTCCACCCAGAGCCGGCCCAAGCAACGCTCCAGTGCCTGTCCAAACGACGCCGCAACTACCCTCCTTGACACCCACGGGCCCTGCAGCCTCTGCAGGTCTTGCAGACACTTCGCCAAGTTTGCGTAGCCTCCCGACAGGCCCAGATCGGATGACTCGCCCTGGGAATTCGGGCGAAATCGGCATGGCTCCTAATCTCAGAGCTACTGCGATGGCCGAACCCCTTCGTCCGAAATTCCTGGAAGTCTGCGTAAACACGGGAGAGTTCGAAAAACGGCTGACCGAAGTCAACATGTTGGCCGTGAACAGCGACACCAAGTTATTCCAAGACATCAAAGAGGAATACCAGAGCGTTCGCAGTTTCCGCGCCAGATATTTCCTCCTGAAGCCCGTGGACGTCCACTTTGTGCGGTTCAGTCTCGAGAACGGGTACCGTGTAGGCATCCACGACAAGCCTCAGTCTATACCTGACCAGAGGGAAATGAAAGACCACGGCTATGGTTATGACCCATGTCCGATGATGCCGATGCCACCTGTTCCAGCCAACATCTTTTTGCATCACCTGCTTAAGCCCGAGGGACACCCCAGACGCGTCTGGTGTGGGCGACTGCCCCAGAAACTGGACAGGAGCATTCACCAGTCCACGAGAGACGGAGACACCTTGGCTTTTGGCTGGGGTGTACACATCATCGAGGGACCCCACAAGTTCAATATCCTCCTGACGATGCTCATCATTCTGTTGAGTACTACGGTTGTTTCCGTAACATGGGCGGGTGTCCGAGAGGATGTGCAGGGCGGGTTTGGCATCGGCGCATTTCTCATCGGAGCCCAGACTTTGATTCTCATGATGGTCCTCGCTAAATGGGCCGAGACATGACCAAATCAGCGAATGAAACAACTAAGCCTATGGACTCTCTCTCTATTGACCGGCCCTGCGGTCCCTACCCAACAAAGCCGTCACACTCTCTACGCTCACAGTCAAGCCACCCCAGCCATTCCCGTCGAACGTATCCCCGCCCACCACCATCAACAAATCCGGCCTCTTCTCCAGCACGTGAAGCGCCCTGCTATACGCCGCCGGGTGCCCAGACTGCCTTATCTCCCACGCGTCGGGATCCCCGCCCTTGGTGTTCACATACACCTGGCTGTTATCGGCATCCGACACCACGATGGTCCCGTTCGGCCCCCCCACCGGCGACCACACCACGTAGGGCGAGGCATTCGGCGCCATCTGCTGATCATCAAGGGTGACGACGATGCCGGCGTCGGTCGCCCTGGCTTCCGCGCTGTCAAAAGTCAGCGGCGAGGACGAGAGCCGGTAGTGCACCGGGTAGTGGGCGCCGTGCGAGGACGAGTTGCCGACGGGCAGCTCGTACGTGACGATCCACTTGTCGAGGGGCGGGATATAGGCCACCACGGTCATCCCCGGCCGCGCGAGGTACTCGCTGTAGGCTACGTCGTTGACCACGGGGCCCCAGGTCAGCAGGTTGGAGGAGCGCTGGTGCGCGAGCTTCTGCCCGTGCAGGGGGTCGCGCTGGTCGGAGTAGTACACGATGAGTTGCTTGTCGTAGGTGCTATGGTATTGTTAGTAGGGGTCAGTGAACGTAAGGAGGGGAGTTTATTCATTTCAAGGTATTGACCACCTTAGTACCAGTAGTTACTTACAGGAGGAACGGCTCCCAGACAGGCGTGGCACCATTGGTGGTGTTCGGCGGCCCGCCCTCAGCGACATGGCTCACGAACTGCCAGGTCCGGGCCTTGTCGGTGCTGGCATACAGGTCGATGCGCGTGCCCGTGGCGCTCCAGCTGTTGCCCGACGCGAGGATGGTCCCCGGCTTGAAGCGGCCCAGCGGCTCGCGCAGCTCAAGCAGCGCCGGCTGCGCGCTCATGCCCCAGCCGTTGACCTGGTCTGTTATGTTGGAGATCCAGGTCCAGCTGGCGCCGCCGTCCTTGCTCTCCCACACGGGAAAGCCCTGGTACGGCCCGCCGCCGAAAAGGTTGCCGCCCGCGACGGTCGACGTCACGAGGAGAGTGCCGTCTCGGAGCTCGGCGACCCGCGCATACAGGGCGCGCGCTCCCTTGGGCGGGCTGTAGATGGTTCGGTTGAAGAAGGTGTGAGGCTTGGGCCTGGGCGGCGGTGGCGGTGGCGATGGTGTCAAGGCCGCGCTGCCTTGGATCGCCAGACCCAGGAGGGCTATGAGTAAGGAACGCATGGTTGCCTGCTACCTGGTAACTCAGATTCCAGTCCGTGATAGAGAAGGGGCGGGGGTGCTTTTGACAGCAGTAGGACTTACACGCCCCAGCTGGCATTCGCGCTCCTATTTGTAAGATTCCATGCCGTTAGTCTTGTGGCCGTCTCTCACCTCAGTAGCCGAACTCCGTAGCCGGCCTGCTGAGAATCCCCCTCAAGGTCAATCCTTTGGCACATGACGTGTATTGAGACCTCCATCATCCATGGAACCGAAAGACGACCAGCAAGCTGAAAAAAACGGATGAACTCCTGCGCTGCAGCAGATCAAGAAGCGCCCCAATGGGCGGCCCCAGTCCCCGATCGCCGTTCGTTGTCCCATCTGCGGGCCCGATATCCGAACTACCTACTGTCCGCAGCCGCCGGTTGTCCCACTCCTCAGTTCCAACCTACTAGCTAGAGCCGACGTGGGCCCGCTACGCTACGGCTACTAGTAGGTAAGTAAGGTAATGATGCGAGACCCGGCTGACAGGAGCGGGCGGGGACACACAAACATGCGCCGGGTAAATACATACATGCTGGTAGCCTAAAAGCAGCGTACCTATTTTCGGTCCGGGAACGGGAAGGGCCTCCAGGGAGGTATTGTACTAAGGCCATTGTTGTTACGAGACTACCTTATGTAAGGGATCCAGGCAGGGACTCCAGCTCCAGGACACGGCGGGGATTCAATGCCACTCTCTATCTATGGATGGCTGCATGTCCATGGCAAGGGTAACAGGCGCCTTGACATTACCTGGACGGGTTGAGTAAACATCAACATATCGACTGCTCACAGAATCCGGTATTGATGTCTCATTTCCTACATAAGGTGTCCATGAAATTCGTATTCATAATCATGCAAGGGGTACTTAGTGACTGTACCGTCGGGATGCCATCTCGCCAGCCGGGGTGTTAGGGATCCACACGGTTGTGGTACAGATGATATGTCCCACCGCCAAAAGCCCAAAAGCCATTATTCACTATTGGGGCACTTTGCCCATCTCAAGATCCAACAAGTCCATCACGTCGAGTCCAAGCTCCCCGTAATCTGTCTCTTGAGACGCCGTGACACGGGCTGTCGGCTGACTGGTACCGGCTGTTCTGAGCTGACCGCTTGCTGCGTGGCTATTCTGTGCCAGCGGAAGACACTGCTCTCGTGGTCGAGTTTGTGGGTTGTGTTCGCTCCTTGATGCCGAGCGATGCGGTGGCTCAGGCCCCTTCTCCTGTCGACTCGCTTTCTGCTGGGCCTCGCGCTCGGCGCGCCGCTTCCTCTCCTCCTCTTCATGTGCCTTGCGGCTTTGGTCCATGGCTAAAAGCAGCTCCACACCCGAGCCGCTCGAGCCAAAGAACCGAGGCTTCTCGTGTGATGGTGGATGTTGTGGTACGATGTCAGACTCTCGGTCAGGCACGGGAGAGTTGTTTTGTTGTACTCTCCAGCCTTGAGAAACCGGGTCTGCTTTAGCCTCATTGTTGGCGTCGTTTTCCTGCAGTGGCTTGGAACTGCGGGGAGGGGCGGGGTGTTGCTTCGCGTTCGCCGGCACCGGGTGCTTTGTCCGGAGGTGCGGGGTGGGATGTCGAAATGATGAAGCTTGAAAGCCGGAACACGATAGCGGTGATGGCTGGGGTCTGAAATGGTCCTTCCTGAAAGCCGGTGGTCTGGTAGATGATGGTGACGACTGCATGTTGGGTTGATTCTTCTTGAAGACTGGTGGTCCCTTAGAAACCAGTCTGGCCGATGTTTTGCTCGGTATCGGTGAAGGCTCGTCCAAATCTCGAAGGTCCTGGGAGGAAAGAAGCAGGTCTTGAGTGCATATAAATGGAAGGTCGGGCGTAGGCGTTTCGGGGGGCTTCAATGTGGTAGGCCGTGGCGGTGGTGGCACTGTCGGTATTTTGACAGCGGTCTGCGCAGCAGTCCGGGTAAACTGCCTCGGGTGGGATACCGGAGGTTGTCTGGGAAGAGGATTCGGCGACTTCGCGGGGTTTATCGTACCCTTCCGTACTCCGGGATGAGTGTCTCCAACCCTCCCACCGTTGCCATCTCTGCCCTTGTCGGCATCCTCCTGTTTATCCTTGCTTGACACCCCCTCTTTGGCCCCATCTGCCTCTTGCTTCCCAGTTAGCGCTGGGGGTGCGCCTGCAATGGCAGTTCGTAAGGGTGTTGCCGCTTCCTCTAATTCTCGGGCTTCTTGGGATGGCGTTGGGAAGAGGTCGTCGATATGTGAAATAACGAAGAGTTGTGTGCTTGTTGGTAGTGAGATCGAGTCTTCTTGCAGATTTTGCCTTGCTTGTCGGCTTGACGGCTGCTTCGGGCTCCTAGTGTTTATAGAACGAAGATGTGCTATTGATGTCTCCGGTCCAGGCCGCTTAAACACAGGGGTATTGGACTGGGTCTGATGGGAAGTTGCTGGTGTAGGCTTGGATGGCGGAGCAAGGTTGGGTATGCTGGCTTGAGCTGGATGTGAGTGGTTCTTGGAATTCGTGATCTCTTGGAGTGGCTTTCGAGGGGAGGGAGGCGGTAGTTGTTGATGCTCCGGAGATACTAGTAGTTGCCGTGACGGAGAACGACGGGCCGCACACTGCCCCTCTACCGCTAAACCGCCATTGTTTTCTTGTAAGCCATCTCCATTCAAGCGCACTCTCTTGCTCTTGCCCGTATCATCTTGTGCTTTCCCGGGTGGCACATTCTCGTCCAACCCGTCCTCGGTGCTCGATCGGTCGTCATTGGCCTCTTCTTGCACGACGGGCAGCCCCACCTTGACGCCAGCCGAATCTCGCTTGTTACCAACGCCGTTTCCCCTGACAAATCGCGCAATCGTGTCCTGACTGGGTCGCACGTCGACGAGCGGCAATCCCCTTCGCTTCTTCTCCTGGAGCACCTGCTGTTCCTTCTCCTTTTTCTTCTCCCGCAGGGCACGGGCCCTAGAAGCCTGCTTCTCCTTGTCGAGATCGCGCCGAATACGCTCCTGCTCTTCACGCTCCAAACGTCGCTGTTCGGCCTTGGAGAGGCGCGGCCCGCGGTTGGCCTGCTTGTACAGCTTCTGGGCCTGTTTCGATGTCATCGGCGGCTTGCTCTGCGGTCCGCTGGCCGGGCGTGACATGAGGCCCTGCATGCCCAGCGGATTGGGCACCAGCGTGAAGGTGTGTTGTCGGGGCGCCATGGCGATGGCATTGCTTCTCTCGGCGGCCGGTTCGCAGCTTCTGGCCTGATCGGAAACAGGGACGGATCATGCTTGGTTGAAGCTTTGACGCGCTGGTGGGGCGGGCACCGAGATGGATGCACCGAGGCGCGGGGCAGCAACTCTAACCCCGGTCGCTCACAACACGTGGTCACATGCTCTTCAGTAAATAGCACTAAATAAACACGCAACACAGGGACGACTCTCTTGCAACTATCGAACCCATAACAGGTACTTGTGTCTTTTCGAACATTGTCTATGACTGTGCTGACAGATAATCTAGATGACTCCAACTGGTTGAATTTCATTCGTCGTATGGTATTGCCTCAGTGGTTACGACATGTTTGTCCTTTGAGGAATCCTTGAACCCCAACAGCGCGAGGTTGGGTGGCGACGGCTGGGGAGTACTCGGCTGTTGAAGCATGGACCGAAGGACGAGATGTTGCGTTTCGTCCGCACGAAGATCCACCTCCACAAAATACACAGGCTGCCCCTTCACCGTTTCCCTGACCGCCCGCACAGTCAGTGGCTGCACCAGCGACTCGCAGTATGTGTCGCCTGGCGTCGCCGCATTGATGCTCACCGAGAGCGACTTTTCTGACAACCGGCACGCCAACACCATATCGGCCTGAAGCCCTGGATGTCTTCCATAGACTTTCCCAACCAGACTGACTCGGCAGCTGAACTGCCTCACGCCCCGCGTCAGAAACAGGCCGCGCTGCCCGTCCCAGTGACCCTCGGGCTCCATCGACCCCGTTGAGAACGGTGTTATGCCCAGGCCCGCCAGCGTATCTAGCGCCCGAGATAAGTTGATGGCGTTCCGGATGCTCGTTCTCAGCAATAAAGACTGCGAGGTCGACACCGTCTTGGTGACGTAAAAGACACGGTGCTTATCGTTCGCCGGACTGGGCGTCTCGGCCAGCTTGTCTGGCTTTACCCGCGTGTATACGTCACAGCCATGCTGCTGAAGGAATATCCCCAGATTCTCGGTCCGGTTACGTCGGTGGCACTGCAGCTTCATGACATAGATCCCGTCCTCGCCGAGCCGCAGCCCGCCGTTCAGGTTCGGAGTCACCCTTAGGCCCTTGCTCGTCATGACGCACTCGTCGTTGTGCATCGGGTCGACCCACGCCTCAATATCTCCACAGCCACCAAACTCGTTGGGAGAAGGGGCGAGGATGCCCCAGTACGTCTGCCCGTGCGCAAGCTTCGGCTCCAGGCGCCAGGCGAAAAGGGTCAGGTCGTTGGACTCCTTGATGATCTCCTCCTGCAGCCGGATGAAGGCCTTCTCGCCTTCGCCGTAGAGCAGCGGGATGTTCACCCCAAAGATGCCGAGCAGGCAGTAGGCCCTGTCTTCTTCGCGTTTTGTCTCGCGCGTAGCCGCCCACGACATCCGCTGCGCGACGGGGACGATGTGCAGCTGGTCAGCGTCGTCAAGCACTTCAGCGCGGATGCGTGTGATGTTGGACAGAAGGACGCTGATGGAAGACTTGTCGCCTTCGAACTGCCAGTTGCGGTTGTAGAACTCTACGCGGCGCGGCGCGATGAGCTCCTGGAGCGTCCAGCCGCGCGTAAACCACCGGCAGTGCGCAAACCTAGCGACTTGCTGGGCGGGATGGTCATCTTTGCCGAGAGACAAATGAACTCCCCCATCCCCGGTATCGCTACCACGCTCGTCGCGGTCGTTCTCCGTTATTTCCGACTCATGGTCGGCCATCGTGCCACCCCGGGCCGCAGCACCGTCCTCATCCTGATGTCCCTCCGAGTCCCCGTTCTCCCGAGTCGAGGACGGCTCCAAATCGGCCAGGTACGCAAAACAGGCCTGTGCCCGCTGATACCACCGAAACATGGAGTTGATGGCCTCCGTCAGCTCGCTGCTGCTGGTCTTGTCAATGCAGCATGTGTCCACCCACGCCCACTCGATCCCCCTCGCGCACGCCAGCGAGCATGTCTGCTGGATCTTGCCGAACCCCTTGCCCTTGCGCAGAACCAGCTCTTCGTGCGGTACGGCGTTGATGTCCTGGAACGTGACCTCCCCCTCGTCTTCCCAGGTGTGCGAGAGGATCGCGTAGGGAGGTGTAGACGCGCCGCCATGAAACTCCGCGAGCGTGAGGGTGCGCGTGTTTAGGAGTCGCATGCTGGCGATCCGGTGTTCTACACCTTCGGGAGCCCCAAAAGTTCGGATGATATTCAGAGTCGATGAAGGCAAGGTGTGACGGGTAAGTATGTTCGATCGATACTGTCCATACACTCACTGCATCTGACTCTTGAGCCGACTTCGCCGCAAACGTGCATCATGCATTATCACTGCCTACCACGATCCAACCCTAATCGTCTCCTGCAGATTCGGTGTAACAATGTCCAGTTCTCAGACCAGAGCTGAACACTGGGAGATTTACAGTACAGCAGAGACCAAGCACAGAAATAGCTGTCACAAGTTGCAGACTGGATCCTGCCTAGGTACCTGGTAATTAAGAAGCGGTTGCATGCTGTTGTTTTGGGAGGGTTTCGAATCAGGGGGTAGGCAGCTTCGCCACTTCTCTGTCCAAGTTCAATGTGATTCGATTCACTTTGCATCAGACCACTTCATGTCATCACAGAAGCAGTTAGTAGTCAGGCAAGTGTCAATCGAGACCGGTAGTAATCATGTTCTCTTAAAGCAGTGTGGTATCATTCTAATAACAAACTCGCCCTGCGCCTGGTTACTCCTCGCGTCCCTATCAATGCTGTACAGTTACAAGAAGATGATGATCAATGAAGAAACCCTCGTTTAAAGGCACAGACCATCTTGTTGCGGTCGAGAATGTCGATGACCTCAGCCACCATCCTGCCAATGGCTCCAGCAAGCCGATCCCAGCCCTTCTTTATCACCCTAGAGGTTCCCTTCCGGATTCCCGCGAACATCCTCCGCGGCAGGGAACGGTAGTTATTAAAACGTACTCTCTTAGCCCGGTTGTCCCTAGCGGATGCGGATGGTGCCGGGGACGCACCAAGTTGCCACCGCCGGTTGCGCTCTCCGAACCACTCATGATTTGCGATCTGGTCCAGAGTCGCCCGCTGCTCGGGATGCCACTTGAATATCCGCATGAGGAGGTCATACAGTTGGGCACTTTCTGTCTCGTCCAGCATGTAGTCAGCTTCGTCTTCATCGTCTTCATCCCCGTCCTCTGCCGCGCAGTCGTTGCCGGGCAGGACACGAGGGTTGGCGGCAGCTCGGGCAGCGATTCTTTTGGCATCTTGTTCGCCGATGAACATCCGGTTTGGATGGTGCATCCGGTATTGCAGGAAGTGTGCGGGCCGCCCTTCGAGGAGTCTTTGGCGTTGGAGCTCCTCGTGCCTCTTCGTATTGACCGTAGCGAAGACTGACTCGTCCTTCCAGCCATCGTCCTCGAGTGCTTCACGGGGCCCATTCTGGCAGTTGGCGAACTTGCCGTTCCAGCTCTTCCAGACGGTCCGGTACGGGTTTGGCATGGGCCCCATGGTGGACTCCAGCTTTTGCACGGCCTCTACCAAGCAGTCTCGTTTGTTGGCGACGGCGGGGAAGCCGAAACGGACCCGGGCAATGGCAACGCCGAGAGCCCAGATGTCGGTGTGGAATCCCAAAGAGTCGTACAGCTTAAAGAGCTCCTCTGGCGCTGCCGACTCCAAGGGGATTCCGGTGCCTTGATCGGTTGGGGGCTTAGCAGCGCAGTACGAGACGCCGAAATCAATGACGGCGATCTCGGTCGAGCAGGCCCCGGAACCGTAGGAAACATAGGCAGGCTCGACGAGGTAGTCAGGGACGCCGGGTTCGTGCTCGGCCCCATGTCCGTCGTCTATGCGCCTGACCGGAACAAACTCGGGTTCGCCCAGCATCCCCATGATTGCCTCTTCCTCCCATTCATCAACGCCGTCGGCGAGCCGCAAGAGGATATTGGCGGTTCGGAAGTCGCCGTGGCAGAGATTGAGAGAGTGAATGAACCTCATCGCCTCAACCAGCTGGAAGCAGATATCTTTCATGAGCCAGGTAACGTGTCCGTAGACGCCAAATATTTCTGTCAGGTCCGGCCCGAGGAAGGGCAGGACGAAGCAGAGATGACGTCCGTTTGGCCCGTTGATGTAGAAGTATTCGAGTGCAAGCTGGATATGGTTGGCCGCAAGCACGTTCGCGTCAAGGCCGGCGAAAGTAGTTTCGAGGGCCTTGAGGTCAGCGCAATCGAGCGTGGAGACTTTCGCTTGCATGATCTTGACGGCGCGCCACTTCTTGGAGAACTTGTCGTGGCATAGCCAGACCGTCCCATATCCGCCGAAGCCGAGCTTGTGCACTACGCGAAACCGGTCGTCATCGCCTAGGTAATCTCCGATCTCAACGGGGTGGTAACCGCCCTTCACGTACTTGCCAAGGTCCTCCACCTCGGAGTCGTGAGGAACATCAAGTTCGTATCTGAGCAGGACCGCATCTTCTTCGTAGGGGTCGGTTGTCGTCGTGGTGATGTTGCGTGGCGGCGAGTCGCTGTTGAAGTTTCGCGGGGAGGCCGTAGAGACGCTGCTGTTGGGACTGAGAATCGTTTGGCTCGTGATGCTCTCCATCTTGACGGTCGGTGATGCAGGAAAAATCGCGCGAAGAGATTCAGTTGATGTTGTTAGCGCGTTGTGGTTATGGGTCGAGGTTTCTGGCAAGGTAAATGAAAAGTCAGAAGGAAGCAACGAAGGTTGGGTACTCCTGCCCGGTTTTGAATACCGTCGGAAAATCCTCGTTGCTCTACTTTTTTTGTTAAGGTGGGTTTGCGAACAAGTCGGTTGGGTGGGAAAACAACCAGATTAAATCACTTGCCGACACACCTGTTCATGCTGCTCTCAGTTGTGTGCGTCAGTGGGTTCGGAACAAGGACGGGAGGCGAATAAAGAACCGGGTTATTAATGATGGCCGTGGCAGGTAACAAAGAGCCTTTACTACGAGTATGTCGCGGTTTGCCGCATGAGATCCGTACAACGCTGCTGTTGAACCTTAAGCTTCCCCGCGGGTGACTGTTTCCAGAATTGCAGGCAGTAATACTCCATAATCACAGGTAATCTGGCAGTCATACCGTGACACTTATATTGTCACCGTGTGGTACTTCTATGTACTATGCATGTACAATGCAGCTGTATGTCACAATGACTTCAAGATAGTAACCAATGCTGACCTTTGTCTGTTCTCAGTCTCAGAAGAGAGATCCCTTGTGTGTAAAATCCATCAAATACAATTGACCTGAGCCAGAACAGGGTTGGTGTTCACCTGAATGTCTCTTTGTCCTATGCAAGGTTGGCCTACCATTCATTGCAATGCCTGTGCCAGTGTATCCACGAACAATGGTTAGTTCAAGCCATTATTCCAGCCTATCTGTATTGCATTGTTCGAGGGGAACAATACATCTATTTCGATATTGATATTCATCCAAAGAACATGCCAACTATTCACGAATAGTGGTACTGGGAGCGTCTTCTGAACCCCTATTTGAACAAGCCTACTTCTAAGATGATACTCTCAAGAAGAGATAGAAGTCCTGTATTCAGTCTACCCTCGGTCACGGCCTTCTACCCTCTCACTCATGGCCACGAAAAGGTTCTCTCTGGTATTTGCTGACCCGGCTAACTCTCAACAACGTCGCCATCCCTCTGAACGACACAAGCCTTATCCAATCCCATCTCAACAACATAAGAGTGGATCCGAGTCGACAATGACCACCCGCAACGGTAGATATCGCGGCGGTCAGGTAAGGGGTAGGGCCAAGCCTTACCACCCCGACATGAATCTCTGGGGCAGAGGCAAAGACCCATTGGGTAAGAAGAAGCAGCACAACCCTTTTAAGAACAGCCATTGGAAGAAAGGCCAGCAGAAGCAGCAGCAGCAGCAGGTATGGTACGAAAGGGGCAGCGGTACGGTGAGCGACCCGTATGTAGCGTGGCTGTTTGACTGCTGCATGGAAGACGACCTCAGCGAGATCGCGATGCTTGATCAGACGAGCATCGTCCACAAGGTTGCGAGGGCAAACGGCTTCAGCTGCGCCCTGATTCGCAAGGGATCACACGACAAACAGTGTGTATACGACAACTTCGGGACAAGAATAACAACGACGGCGCCCAACGGCAACATCGTGGCCGAGTTGGTGGATTGTGATCCCCACATTACCCTGTATATGGGTTGGGATTGCCATACGGCCATGGTCAGTGGTCATATTTATGTTATGGAGGTGGCGGACCTCCAAGCCGGTAGGGTGGTCGTGAAACAAATTGACAACCCAGACACCCAACGAAGGATCGTCCACAAAGGATATGACAGGGTTGCTGAGGAGTTTTGGCTGTTGGGGGGTGTCTATGAAAAGCGGTAGGAGACCAACTGGGGATGTCGTTCAGTGCACACTCCCTGTGACACGTTGGGGAGTACTGTTATTACTAACGCAATCCACCTGCGGCATGTCAGATGACGAAGATATGTTGATGACCATGTAGTATTATACATTGCATAGAGAACCAAGTGACATGAATCTGACACTCTGTGGTGACAATTCACTCTTCTGCCGAAGTTTACGAGAAGAGAAGATCCGGTGACGGAACAGGCCCCTGAGGATCCTTCCCGACCGGATGAGATCAAATGATCTTCCAGAGCCGCACTGGGTTGTATATACTTAGCGGGTGCCTTGTCCTCCGCCACCCCGCCGGTAGGCGGTACTAAACGAGAAGCTGAGTTGCAGCTCTTGCACATACACTGATACAGGGAATTCCAGGCCACATGTACAAAAGTCAGTCAGCCCCAATTTGTTGGTACAACCGGAGTGTAGGCAGTACCCTTATATTTTACAGACCTAGACAATGTTCCAAACCTCATCAGGACTAGGACTGGCTTGGAGGTATTCTGTTTCCATGCCAGATGACGTCCATGTCCTCCGTCGCCGGCCGTTGTTTGTCACTTTAAAAAATAGCTGGGCTCGGTTGCTCTAGCATATTAAAAGGAACACGTACCATCCAACCAACTGCATAATTTCACAAGAGCAGGACACTGCCAACAGAAATCGCCGCAAATAAGTGGTGCGTGGAAGCTGATGGAGCTTCCACAGTCATGAGAATTCGCCGCTATTCTTCATCCAAGCTACCGCATGGATACCTGATGCTGTGAGCATATGTCCGGGCACTACGGGGAGAAAGAAGGCCGTACACCAACAACCGCCCTGACGATATCGTTTGGCTAAGCTGTCTTAAGAGGCTGGAACTGAAGAGAAAGATAACATAACGAAAGGAAAAGGAAGGAGGAAGGAACACAAAATGATGAACAAGACGAACAAGACAAGAGCCAGAGGAATTTTGTTGCATCTGCTATACACTAATACAACACTAGCTGACAACGATGTATGGTATGCGGCTCCCATTTCCGCCGCAAGAAGCGCGTGTCGTACAGTTGGAAGTCGCACAGACTTTCCGGAAGAACCGACAGGTTGGTTTCGAGCCCTGCTTTGCGAAGTACAGTATTGTATTGTACATAATGCAAACCGAATCCTCCAAACCCGTCTCCAGGCTGCTGGGTCCGAGGCACAACAGGAGGTTCGGATGTCGAGTCTAGACCGGACGAATTGCCGATAAGCGTACCTAGGTAGTATTTACACCTTGAGACGGGCCCGAAGCCACCCTTCTGCATAAGAACGTCATCCCAGGATCAGGCCACGGGAAGCATATTTGAGGGTTTGGGTGATACTTATATTGTAGCACCTACAGAGAGGTCGTGTTGCCGTATCAGAAATGTTCCCAGTTGTTGTTGCATATAACACAGCAAACTTCGACCCTCAGATTCGCAAATAACTCCCGGAATGGTTAGTCTGGTTGCTTTCCGCTGTTTGATAACTGGGGATTTTGCCCGCATCCACCGTTTAAGGCTTCCATGGGGATTCGGGCTCCACAACGACGGGAAGCCCCTGTCAGAGATAAGTTGCTTTCTGGTGATGAGATGAACTGATGGCCGTTTCAACATCAACATGACGCGGTGGCTTTTGCAAGGGATGTCTTTCTCGGGTTCATGATGGAAATCAGACGATCGCGTCACTTCAGCTGAACCACAGTCTCCAACAAGCGAGCCTATCATGTCAATCGATTGCTACACCCGTACGGATACGCATGCAGCTGTCTCCCTTGTTGGCAGAGTTGGGTTCTTGTTCAAAGCAAGGGAAAGGGATGTGGAAAAGTTGCCGCATCTCGACCTCAGCTGAGATTTCCTGAAACCCCTGCAAGCCGAGAGCAATGGCCGCGAAAGGTCATAAGTTAGATCGAGTCGGATTGGTCCGGAAGCCAACAGGAAGGAGATCCGGAGTCCTGGACGGCTTTTGTTAGTGGCTGCGCTAACCACCTATGCTCGGCCGGTAAAACTTGGCCTTAACAAGTGCCCGGCGACAAGACCCGTTCGCAAGCCCGCCAACCACGGCACAAGGGCTTGCTCGGCAAGACTTTCCACGAGATTTGATGAGCAGAGGGCTTCGACAGAAGACCATTCGATTCAGTGTAAGCGTGCGGAGGAAATCCTTCGAAAAGATAGTGCCGACTTGGTTCGGTGATCTAGTATAGTTATTCCCCAGTGCTCTTCACAAATCGGTTGGTTGTGTCCATTCGCTCGGGTTCTGATCAACGTTACCACCGTAGGCAGAAGTTGACAAAAGGCTTAACTCCGGCGGAAATCGATCGAAATCGCAAAGATTTGCTCTCCGAGCTCCACGATCGACGGCAGCGCTGGAAGGTGGGTTGGGTTGAACAGGCCCCGCGCGGAAGGTGTGATGGACTGACCGAATTGGGACGATTTGGGATCGAACCCCCGACCTGCCACTTTCCCTCTTTGCCTCTAGCCAAGCAGACCCTGACTGCCTGACCTGCCCGAGGCGTCGACCGACGTTATCAACTTCTGTGGTTAGACCCTCCGCGGACAGCATGCTATTCATGCAGCAGCGGCATCCGCGGTGGACAAATGCAGGATGCCAATCGATCGATGCTCGTAATCATCCCCCTTGGTCTGGGCGAAGAGGGCATGCGATTTTGCAATAGTGGTGCATTGCGAAATTTGCTCGGGCACCGGATGTGCGAGTGATTGGGCGGCGCATGGAGACACCGGCCCGCCGCGAGGGTTGCATCGAGCTTTTTGGAGGCTTTTTGGCGCCATCAAGCTCATCGATGGATCGGACCGCGGCCGGTCCCGGAGCGGCGTGTTTGCTCACCTCGGCAGCCCCCCACGCAGTAGCCCGGTGCGAGAGCGACATTGTTCATAAGAGCAAAAAGGGTTGGTTGCCCGGGCTTTAATGAGACGCCCTCCGATACGACCCGTGGCGCATACGATACGACGACCAACATGGGAGGTCCGGAAAAGAAACCAATCCTCATCATCGGGGCCGGCATCACCGGCCTAGTCCTAGCGCAGTACCTGCGCAAGAGGGGCGGCGATGTGCCCTTCCGCATCTTCGAGCGGGATGCCGACCTGGCTACCCGCGGGCTCGGCTGGGGGCTGACCCTGCACTGGTCGCTCCCGGCGCTGCGGTCGCTGCTGCCCGACGATTTGGTCCGGCGTCTGCCCGAGGCGTACGTCGACAGGGTTGCCGTCGAGGAGGGCCGGCCGTCGACCTTCCCGTTTTATGACCTCAGCACGGGGGAGCTCAAGGCCAAGACGCCCACCGCGACCGAATCGCAGCGGATTAGGGTCACCCGCGATCGGTTGAGGCAGCTGTTGGCCACCGATCTCGACATCCAGGCATGTGGCATCCTTCCGGTGGTGATGTAGGTTACTACCTAATAAACACTGGATTGCTGACATGGTCCAATTCACATACTCCAGTGGGGGAAGGCAGTGAACAATGTCGTGACTGCTCCAGACGGAACCGTCACAGTCAGCTTTGACGACGGCACTTCGTACGAAGGCAGTTTAGTGGTCGCCTGCGATGGCGGCAGCTCCCGCATCCGCGCCGCACTGTTTCCGGAGCACCCAAAGCACCGCATCCCGGTGAGGCTGATGGGCGTCAAGATGGATTGCTCTCCGGAGCAGATCGAGCCGCTGCGGGCACTTGACCCCTACTTTCTCCAGGGAGCAGGTTCCCAGAACGACACATTCGCATACTTCAGCGGTGGGCTCGCCACTCTTGGTCCCTCAGTAAGCAACGGGGGCTGATATAGCATAGTTCTCGACGCTCCGGGCAACAGCCCCGAAGGCAACGGAGGAAAATACACGTGCCAGATGGTGGTCTCATGGCCGATCCGCGATGGCTTCTTCAACCAGAGCACGCCCCTCGAATTCCCAGAGACAAACGAGGACAGGATCGCGCTGATCAAGAAGTTTGCCGGAACATGGGCTGAGCCGTTCCGATCGCTCGCACACAGCCTCCCGAGCGCCACAGAAGTCAAGTGCCTCGATCTGTATGACTGGCCGCCACTGAAGGGCCTGCGCACCACGGGCCACGTTGCTCTGGTCGGCGACGCCATGCACGCGATGGCCATGTGTAAGTTGGCTCTCAAAATCTCAAATCTCTCCCTCATTCTGTTCTGCGCGAATTCTGCCGGCAGGCGACATCTGAGTGGCGCAGGCTCATCAGGGAAACATGTGCTAACGCAACGAGGAATAGACCGCGGCGAGGGCGCCAACCATGCCATCGTCGACGTCCTCGACCTGGTGGAACTGGTCATTTCTCAGCTGCTCGCTGGCGACCCCACAGCGGTGGATCTACGGGCCGCTCTGGACCGCTACGAGAACAAGGTCGTGAGCAGAACCCGGCCGGCCGTCTTGGCGTCGCGGCAGGCCTGCGTCGACGCGCACGACTGGCGCAGGATCAACGAGAACAGCCCGCTGCTGAGCCGGCGGAGGATGGATTTGGTGTTTGACGAGAGTCAGATGAGCGAGGCTGCTTTGTAGGTTGCGAGTACCTAGTGCTGAGTTGCTGTGAAATATAGATCGTGTATCACCAAGTTGCTGGACGTTTGGGCGTCGTATTGTTGGATCGGGTGAAGTGGAGGAAAAGCCAGCCGGGGAGCACGGGAAGCGGGGTGATCTGAGACAAGGTTTTTTGGATAAGAGAGATGGGCTCGATGGGAAGGGCTCCATTTCGCGCAAACATCTCCCCACGCGGCTCGCTTCCATGCTTCATCTAAAATAAACGTCTCACCATCTGCTGGACGGAGTATCTCGTGAATTTCCAATCGGGTACGTAAGCATATCATACAATGTTTTTAACCGTTCTATGTACAGTTTAAATTTTAGTTTGATGTCCGTTCCCAAAGGAGAAAGGTATGAGAATCCCACGATCAAAAATCCCGCCCAATGAAACCTGTCCAGACTCATTTCCCTTTTTGCGCCGCGCGCCGTCATCCGCAGCCCATGGTCGTTTTAAAGATCTAAGAACTGAAGCTAGTGTTGAAACAAAATAGAGAGAAAAAAGGCTATCGCAGCCATCGTGCCTTGTAACGCCTCAGTCGACGCGGACGCTGTACGTGACCGACTTCATGATGGTATTATCCTGGTTGGCCGCCTGGAGGATGTTCTCCTCGCTGCCGGTGCTCTGCGCCTGGGCGGTGACGAAGTTGCCCTTGTTGTGCTCGCTGGACATGCTGCTGAGCTTGTAGGCGTCGCCCGACTTGCCGATCTTGCGGTGGCCGCTGCCGTAGTTGTTCCCGCTGCCCGAGTACTTGGTCGCGTAGTCCTTGGCCTTGCGGATGAAGATCGGGGCGAGGAAGGGCAGGGATGAGACGATGTTCTAGAAATGGTTCAAAGTGTTAAGTTAATAAATCAGGAGATGGCGGACACACACACCCCTCAAACAAACAGACGGGGGGGACTTACGCCAACGTTGAACTCGATGACACCCCACACGATAAGCATGGTCGAGTTCCCGTCCCCGTGCTGAATCCTGTCGATCTGGGTGTACCGGAAGATGGAGCAGATCGTCGTGAAGATGCCGAGAATGAAGATGACGATCAGGCCCAACTTCTTGTAGATGTTCACCTTGAGCCGCAACAACATGGGAATCGGAATGATGGTCACACCGACATCGGACACGATGGTGACCACGGCATATGCAGTGAAGGACGGCCCCGGCGCAAGACACGTGCCGGGTATTGTTGGCTCCCACGACTTGTTCACCTGCAGTGTGCACAAACGCGCGCTGTGTAAGTTGCCTGGAACGCGGTGTAGCAGTGGGGAAGGACGTCGGCTTACCGGGTTGCACGCAAAGATCAGACACAGAGAGCAGCCCAAGTGCCCGGCCACGACGAGAAAGATGGCAATCCACACCACCCTCCGGTAGATGACGTGGCTGGTCCCCTTGAAGAGTCGCAGGTAGCTGATCAGGAGGGCGACCTTGAAGAAGCTGATGCCCATCTGGTAGATTGGCCGCCCGGCGTAGTTGGTGCGCGTGTAGGGAATTAGGTTCTCCGGCGGGCGCAGGCTGAGCGGCAGTCCGAGGCCATATTTCGTTTCTGTAAGTCACGAGAAGGGGAGTGTTAGCATACGGGGTTGTGTTCTCTGGTGGTGGAAGGGGGGGAGACCGCTCTCGCACGTACGGACAATGCACAGGATCGAGTATATCAAGGCAAACACCATCGCAATCGCGGCCATCCAGTCGTCAGACGCCAAGCCGTGATTCTTGTGCCGAATCCATAGCCGCATGCTTACAACGGCTATCGACAGGGCCGAGAGGACGGTGCAGATGGTGATGATCATCCTCCATTGCGACTCGGCATCGACCTCTGGTGTTGCGTTGTCAACCCATACCATGATGAATTTTAAGTTTGAGTCCCCCGGTTAGGACCCTCGTCGTGTGTGTGAGGCTGTGAGCTGGGGAATAAGCGAACTGGCCCGGGGAAAGGAAAGTCTGGGGAAAGAACCGGGGAGGAAGAGGAAAAGGAAGAAACAAGAAGTGATCGGCAAGCACAGCTGCTCGGTGGAGGATGGCAGAGGAGCGAAGGGTTTGGCGGGAGATCAACGCTGTGCGTCATGGAGAGAGAGATCCATTTACGTTATGTGTGTTTAAAGTTGGGAGCTCGTGTCTCAACCCTTGGGCGCGCATTGTAGACCGGGTGTTTAAGATTCAAAAGCGCAGCATGCATGGGAGTCAACAAGGTGCCATCGCGTCATCCCTCCAGACAACACCCAGGGGATGGTGAGCGCTGCGTGTGATGAGACATGGACACGGCAAGGCAACCTGGTAACCTGTGAGAAGCCTGGAGTAACACCGAGCATGTGGGAAAGTCGACCTCGAAAATCCTTTTTTCAACATTGGATCGTTCCATCGCCTCCCGTGTCCCCCTCTCCACCCCCTTGCTTGCATTTCCTGCGTGCCGAGGCGAAGGAAGCCAATCGCAGATCGAGTCTCACTGGCAAACCTGCGGCTCGAGTTTCCAGCTTATTGGAAGTCGGCTTGCTTTCCAGGTTGGACAAGTGCCCGAGTCCACGCTGCAATAGGTAAAACAGATCATTACGGGTTCTGCCGTCGGTCCTGGCGCGGATACATCTTCTGCTGTTCATATCCGAGATCTTGTGGACCGTCGCCCGACGTCTGGAAGCGAACTTTCTTGGGGGATGCAATATCTGGGCTCTCCTGCGACGTCTCGGCGCAGCACCTGCATGGAAACGGGGAAGCCTTCCGACGAGGAAGTGAGCAGCAAACCTCTCGCTGCATTGCAACCCCTCCCTTGCCACCCCGGCTGAGGTGGGGGGCACCGCTAACCACTTCGGTGTGTGAGGCAAGGGAGCTCCTCCAAGGGTTTGCTCCCTTCGTTTCCAATGAGGATAAGGGAAGGTTAATCTGACTGTGGTCTCGCCTCGAGATTGAGAGAACAATATACCATATCAGTAAGCATTTGAAATGCGCTATGGTGTTCGTTAAATCGGATGGAGGAGGAAGCTTTTTGTCGTTGACAGCGCTTTGTCCAGCTGCGCCGAACAATGCTATTAGATCCCTTCTTTGTTCGTTGCGAGCTTTGTAAACACATTCGCGACTCGGTGAGTGGTCATCGAGATCCTAAAAGTGGCTGCCTGCCTTCGAACATAGAGAGCCATCTGCAGTGCTCCTTCATTTGCCATCGCTAACTGCAAGACGCAACGGTCGAGATTGCATGTCCTTAAACTACAAGCTGCGGTCATCCTGCAGCCTTAATAACCATAACATGTTGCCGGAAAATACAACAGCCATGCAGAGATAGTAGTAGCACTAAGCAATTCAACCGAGTTTGCTGATATCGAGACATGGGAAAAGTCTTGAGAAGTCTAAGCAGCTTTCCAATATGGCAAGCCTGAGTTCAGTGATCCGGTTGCACGGTAATTTTATGCGCCTGGACACCCTGGACCTGGATCTCTGTTTGGTTGCAGCGACTTCCAGATTCGTGCCATCTATCGAAGGGGTTGCATCGTGCGAACGCAACGTAAGGTGCTGGCCGGCGTCCCCTGGGCAAGCAAAGAACCAACAATGGACCTCGGCGCTGCAGGAGCAAGCACGTTCTTGCGCTTCCTTAACTTGCCTGCATCCTGCATCGGCCCCCAGTCCCATCACCTTTTTATGGTTGTAGTCGACCTCTCCTTCCTTTTCTAATTCTCCCGGTTCTCCCGTTGTCTATCACCGCTGCAACCTCGTGGCACCTGCGTTGTGTGCCGATCGCGTGGGATCCGTCCCGTCCTGTTTGCGCTACCGACGATCTCTCGCGCTGTGCCCTTCCCGTCTGGCGGTCTCTTCAAATTCGGTCCCGACTTTGTCCACTTAGTTGCTCCTTCCCTCACCCAGGTGAAGGTCACTGCGCAAGCCGCCCAACATGTCGGCCTCGGACAGCATCAGCGCAAAGGCGCCCGTCGAGGTCAGCGAGAAGCCGGGGAACGTTTCTGATGGCGGGCTGGACTCTGCCTGGAAGTATCTCGACAACCATCGTGATGTCGACACCAGCGACCTGGGCGTCGACATTGCGACCCTTCGGCGCAAGATCGACTGGCGCATCGTGCCCCTGATGTTTCTGGCCTACACGCTGCAGTTCCTCGACAAAGTCATTCTCAACGTGAGTTCATGACGACGCCTCTTGAGTTATACAACCCCATGACGCAACGTGGTTCGTTACTAACTCCCTACCTCCGCCAGTATGCCAATGTGATGGGCCTCCAGAAGGATCTGAATCTGCAGGGCAATGACTTCTCCAACATCGCGACCTTCCTGTTCGTGGGTCTGCTAGTCTTTGAGATTCCTAACAGTAAGAGGCATACCCACTCAGTTGTCATGAGCCGTCGTTAATGACTTTCTTGTGTGCTACAGCCTACTTCCTTCAGACTGTTCCCGCTGCCAAATGGCTTGGTCTGAACGTCATTCTCTGGGGCACGGCCACCGCCTGCGGTGCTGCGGCCCACAACTACCAGACGCTGCTTGTCTCTCGTGTCTTCCTCGGCATCTTCGAGGCCACCATTGCCCCGTCCCTGATGCTGATCAGCAGCCAGTGGTACACCAAGTCGGAGCAGGCGCCTCGCTTCTGCTTCTGGTATACTGGACTGGGCATCGGCCAGATTGTCGGCGGTCTCGTGTCGTACGGGTTCCAGCACATGGGCCCCGGTGCCAGCCTGGCCGGCTGGCGCACCATGTTCGTCGTCCTCGGCGCCATCACCGTGGCGGTGGGCGGTGCCATCGTGCTCTTCCTCCCGGACACGCCCATGAAGGCGAAGTGGTTGTCCGACAACGAGAAGGTGGCGCTGCTGAGACACGTGAGCGTCAATCAAACCGGTATTGAGAACCGCAAGTTCCGCGCTGCCGAGATCGTGGAGGCCCTGGTGGACCCCCAGATCTGGCTCTTGCTGCTGTCCGTTGTGCTGGTAAGTAGACAACTGGCAGTCCCGCCGTATTGTGCGGTCCCTTTCAGCTGGCTAACTCGCTCTCCAGCTGTCCGTGTCCAGCGGTGTCGTCACGACATACTCCTCCACGCTTATCCGCAACCTGAAGTATGACCCGAAGCAAGCCGCCCTGATGAATACCCCATCCGGCGCCATCAGCATCTTCTTCACTCTCTTTGTTGGCTTCGGTATCCGGCTGCAGTCGCACCGCTGGGCGTTCATCCTCGCCTGCATCATCCCTGCGTACGTACTTTAAACTCCCACCAATCGAGACTCAATGCGAGCGAAAACTGACGCTGGCTTAAAGGATCATTGGCGGTGCCCTGATGTCCTTCCTCCCTACCAGCAACAAGGCCGGTTGCTTGGCAGGCATCTACCTCGTCAACGCCGTCGTTGCTCCTCTCGCTATCTTCTACAACGTGAGCCCCCCTCACGCTCCCTCCTGATTCTCCTTGCGATGTTGATCAACTGACGTCTTGAACAAGTGGGTCATGGCCAATGTGAGCGGCGGGACCAAGCGCGCCTTCGCGGCCGCCATCATCAGCGGCTCCTTCTCACTCGGCAACATCATCGGCCCCCAGACATTCCAGGCCAAAGACGCGCCCGACTACCGCCCGGCCAAGATCGCCGTGATGGGCACCCAGGCTGGCTGCGCCCTGACCACGTTCCTGCTGTTCTTGTACTATGTGTGGCAGAACAAGAAGCGCACGTCGGAGCGCGAGAACGAGGACGTCTTCATGAACCCCGAGGCGTGGGCCAACTCGACGGACAGGGAGAACAAGAGCTTCCGCTACGCCTACTAGATGGGCTTGGTTGGGGATGGAGGGCTTCTTTTTGGATAACATGGGGGAGCCTTGTTTTTGGATATTGAACCAAAAAGTACCTATTGGAGTTGGTTTTCGAAGTGGCTTCCCAGTAGCCACGCACTCAACCGTACCTAACCTATTACACTGTATGTAATTTCGCATATAGAACTGTCCACGACGGTACTAGCATAAAGATTTCAGAATGGTGATTTGGACGCGAAGCGTTTCGAGTATGTTGCAGATACACGGCAAAACTGTCTCAATATCAGGGTTGTTAATTTGGACCTGGTTATTGCGTATAGCATCATGCCATATCTAAGACGAGCATGATCAACAAGGGATCGACCAATTATTAGTGATAAACGGCGCCATGAAATCCTCCTGGACTCGCCCGAGCTGGGGAGGAATTTGTCTTTTCTGCCCCTATGAGCTGCATCATGATTGTCGGCACCGTCCCCTTGGATCATACCACGACAACGACGTGCAACATGCATGACTCGCGCGCATTAAGGGTAACTTACCTACCTTATCATCCCAAAATGCCGACCGGGCTGCTCGGTGGCAAGCTGGTACATTATAAGATAACTTGACTGATATAGGCCCGCTCGCAACGCAACAGCACCGGCCGGTCGTAACGTTGCAAATCTCCAGTCCCCCGACGCTCGTTAATAAAATATCGGTCATCCTGCTACCTCCCTCCCGTACTGGACAATACCCCTAGACAATCAGTACTTTGTTCGGTAGTGATTCGGTACACTACCGTATGTGTAGGGTAGGCAACTCCCATGCATCCATGTTTCCCATCCGAACCATACGGGGCGGCAGGCAGGTGATTTGTCATTGCCGTGCCTTTGCATGGTCCCCGATCGGAACCGAACCGGCATAGAGGCCGATCTTGCGGCACAGGCAAGGAGGAGTGGCACGCTATATGGTGGGGCCGAATGTGACGATCCTTCGGCGGTTTTTTGATCCTTCGATCTGCTTTGGTGGTCCTCTTGCGTTGATTCGTCCTGCCATCAGGGGAAGAGCTGCTTGATTGACGTTTTCCTCTTTGCAAATCATCAGTCGGGCCGACGAAAAAGTTCCCATGATATTCCGTCGGTACTAATGTTCACGTTCTCGCAAGTATGACCTTGATTGAGGTCAGTCGAGGAGAGAACCCCAAGGATAGGAATGGAGAGGACGTGAAGATATAGCACCAACCGATATTTCGTGCGCTCGAGGATGGTTACGTTTTGATGATTTTGCCACCTGGGTTGGGTGCATGACGATGACTGAAGACGTCAAGTGTGCGGATCGGGAGGGAAAATGTAGGCACCTACCTAAGGAAGAGTGAAATACTGGTCGGGAACTTGGGAGATGCTCCGTCGTCTCTCCAACCATACTCGCTGCTAGGAACCTCCAAACCGGAATACAGCCATCAAGGTGTCATCAAACTATTACTACATACTAACCTGCAATATCTGGTGGCACACGGTGCGAATAATAAATATATTGTCAAAACTCTAATAGTCTACTACTATCAGAATCCCAAACTAGCACGATCGTACTTCCATGATCCATCACGCCGCACCGCCGTCCAGCGTGATGACCTTGCCATTGACCCAGCCGGCCTCGTCGCTGGCCAGGAAGCCCACGACACGCGCCACGTCCTCGGGATAGCCGTTGCGGTTGAGGGGCGAGACGCGGGCGGCCATCTGCTGGCGCTGCTCGGCCGAGTAGTTCTCGCCGCCGGGGATGTAGTGGTGCGAGGTGGCGTGGAACATGTCGGTCACGGTGCCGCCGGGCGCGACCGCGTTGACCGTGATCTTGCGGTCGCCGCAGTCCTTGCTGAGCGTGCGCACGAAGACGTCGATGGCGCCCTTGGAGGCCGAGTACAGGCTGTGGCGCGGCACGCTGAACGTCTGGGCCGTGTTGGACGACATCAGGATGATGCGCCCGCCCTCGCGGAGGCAGCGGTAGGCCTCGCGCGCGACGAAGAACTGCCCGCGCGTGTTGAGCCCGAACACGCGGTCGAACTCGGCCTCGGTCACCTCGCTGAGGTGGCCGAAGCTGACGACGCCCGAGTTGCTGACGGCGATGTCGAGCCGCCCGAAGTGCGCCACGGCCGAGTCGAAGAGCTTGGCCGTCTGCGCCACGTGCCGCACGTCGGCCTGGATGGCTACCGCGTCCGAGCCCAGCCGCTTGATTTCGTCGACCACCTTGGCCGCGTGCTCGGCCGAGTTGGCATAGTTGACCACCACCTTGGCGCCGAGACGGCCGAGGTGCACCGCGATGGCGGCGCCGATGCCGCGCCCGGAGCCGGTGACGAGGGCGACCTTGCCGTCGAGGCGGCCGGGGGCGTATGGGGTCGTCATTCTTTTTAAAAGGGGACACAGCACGTTTTGTGGAATAAGTAATTGGTGGTTGAGGTAGGTACCAGTAGTATTCAGCAGACTTTCTTCCCCTTTGTTGACAATGAACAATTCGCGTAGTATTCCGGCCAACCTTTCGAAGGTTATGAGGCGCTCTGACTTCCGAGCTAAGTTTGCCCCGGGGACCGACTGCTCGGAAGAAGATAATCGGCATTGTCTTGCATGCTTCGTGACGGGCTTCAACGTGCGTCGGGCGCGTAAGGAGGTCTCGGGACATTCGGGGGTCCTGCGTGCTCGGATTCCCGAGGTCCGGTTCTGGCCAGCGGTGTGAGTGGCCGTATTCCGGGCGAGTACAGTTAAGGAGACTTAGACTTCCGGAGACGGTCAAGTCAGTCTACTTCGTAGTGCTTTGCTCGAGATTCACCGGTCACAGAACAGCGTCATGGCCCAATCCACCGCCAAGCCGCCCCCTTACGAAGGTCAGTCTCAGTGACAACAGCAACCCATTGAAAGAATGGCGGGGCTAATTCGGCAACACAATTCCCACCTCAGATATCCTAGGCTGCCAAACCGCCTTCTTCGAACTGGCCGAGAGCTTCGACACCAAAGACTGGGACCGTCTGGCCCAATGCCTCGCACCCACACTCTACGTACGCAATTCCTCCTCCATCCCTCATTACACGTCTCACCCCTCAGCCCCCACCATCCAGATGCCGCCCCTAACAACCATACAGATCGACTACCGCGGAGTAATCGGCAAACTATGGGAAGCCATTCCCGCGGCGGAGTTCATCACGCTCGCCGCGAGCGCAAAATTCCTGGGGGACCGGCGCCTCCAGACGCAGCACTTCATCGGCGGGGCCGCCAAGTGGGTGCGGACGGGCGACGATGCCATTACGGGCTACCACCAGATGCGCGTGGCGCACCAGAGGTACAAAGATGATGAGCGGAAGGAGGTGCTGTGCAAGGGTCACTGCCATGGCAAAGCTACGGTGAGGTATCGGAAGGTGGAGGAGGGCGGGGTGTGGAAGCTGGCGGGCATGGAGCCCGATATTCGGTGGACGGAGGGGGAGTTTGATAAGGTGTTTCCGCACTAGGGCTGTGGGAGAGGGGGTTATGAGACTAATGATGACTTGGAAATCACTGTCTGGTTGTGAAAGGCGGATTTGGTGAGGAAAAGAGGGGGAACTAGTAGTACCCCTGGGTGGCAGAGCTCTTGTGCACGACTGTGTTTGCTGTTTCTTGATGAGTTTCGTATCGATGATCCAACATTGTCTGCCCTGTCTCATGGTTTGGGTTCTATCCCGGTACACTCGCATTCATCCTTCCGGCGACATCTCGCCATCCGTACCTTAACGTACTCAGACAAAGTGCCGCTTCTCCCAACGGAATTAGCTTCGTCGAATTTTAGCTGCGCGAACTAAGAGGATCTAACCAATATTCCCTCGATCACAAAAGAGATCCCTCGCACACCCTCACTTCAACAAGCCTTCAATAAATCTGTACGTCACCGACAACGGACCGTTCCGGCCCCACCAGCATCTTGTGTTCCGTGAGACAAAAAGACCCTTGCATAAGGTAACTACCCGACGCAGGCTGAACGGGAGCCGGGCCCACTATCAGGTCTCGGTTCAGCTGCGCACTACACACATCCCCGAAGCGATTCTGCAGCTGATACGCAATGCTGCATCTGCGGAGTTCGGTTCGGGGTCAGCAGCCGTCTCGGCCATCTATGATATGATATGAACCAAGGACGGAATCCGACCACAGCAATCCATCGGTGATAACAAGCGAGATCTGACCCCGGAGCGCGGCGGTGTGTGTTGCGAACAAAGCCGTGTTTGTTTCATTATTGGGATGGAAGCGAAATCTCGGCACAGTGGGAGTGGGTTCAAGTTGTTCATCCGAATCATCCGAGACAACTCTCACCGCCGACTGCTGAGGCTGCTGGATGTCTCAACTGGGTGAGTTGGTACAGACCATCAGGATGTTGACATTGGATGTCCAAACTAGGGGGCGAAGGGGCGCGAAGCAGAAGGAGAAGAGCAGAGGAATGTACGGCATGCCCTTTCCTCCAGATATATCGGTTAGATGATTCTCGAGTCTAGGTCAATCACCAAACTCCCCTCAGCGCACCGGGCCAGGAAGAAAAAGGATTGTCAAAGCTTAAAGGCACTACGTAGCTATAGTTCTGTGACTGTTTCTCCTCTCGAACAGTCCCCCTTTTCGTACCCTACTGCCTACAGATCGGAGAACCGCCTTGACAAGGGGCGTATCCTGTCCGAACTGGCGGGAACGGCCTGCTCTCTGGGAAGCCGAGACACATAGGAGCACAGCCACCTGCTTGGGAAAATCCTACTAATACTAATAATCCCGAGCTGACCGTGTAACCTGTTTACACCAGATGTCCGACATCGTGTCTGCGGCATCGGACATCATGTCGATGCGGTATGCTGGTTAGGGGGGCATGGAAAGGTTGAGTTGTCGGGGATCGATCGTGATGGATGATGAACTTGAGACGCAGAGGTATTACTAGACGCCCAGCTAAGCCACACTGCTGAAGTGCCTTGGTATGGGGGAGGGCTTGCAAAGCTGCGGTGAACGCAGAGGGTTACAAAGGCTTTGGTGGTGTCTGATACCAATGCACTTAACATCTCTTGGGTGAGCTCAGTACAGTAGTAAATGTGATTTATGTGGAAAACCGAAGACTCGCGCAAAGCTGGAGCAAGTGGTTGTAGCCAACTAGTTACGGTATCCACTGTTATTCTGATACTATTAGCGTAGAGATATGCCTGGCGAAGAGTAGTATGCTGGTGAAGAAGAGGGTGAAGAACTGAAAAATCAAGATAAAGACAGAGACTTGTAATAAATGACAGTTCTAAGAAAGAAAAAAATATGAAAAGAAAGGAAAGCATTTCCAGATTATACACACAAATATATCCACCATACACAAATGTAAACACTAACTATAACATAACCTCTACTACAACTAATGAATCCCATCCCCAAGCTCACCACAATAACACACTAATACTAGCACCACCACTACTGTAGATGACCTTCTAACTGTAATACTCCACCAACCACGCCCGCAAGTCGCCGACGGTGGGGTATTCCAGGAACAGGCTCCCGCCGACGGTGATGTTGAACTGGTCGCGCAGCTTCTCGGCGATGACCAGGCTCATCAGGCTGTCGACGCCGATGCTGGCGAAGGAGGCGTCGTCGTGCAGCTCGGCCGGGTCGATGGCGGCCTCGGCGGCGATCAGGGCGAGGGCCTTTGCTGCCGTGCTGTCTGTGCTGCTGCTGGTAGGAGGAGTACTAGTATTGGGAGTGGTAGTGGTGGTGATGTTTTTGGGGGGCTCGCTGGCGGTTGGTTGTGCTGCAGGGGCAGGAGCAGGAGCTGGAATGGGGGTTGGCGGCGGTGCTGGTGCCGTTGTGGTAGTAGTTGACACTTTCGGTTCGGGAGCCGGAGCTGCCGCCTTCGAAATAGCAGTGCTAGTAGTAGCACCACCCTCCCTCGGAGCCCCCGCCGTCGCAGTCGTGGTCCCAGCGGCGGGGAGCACATTCTTGACCTCAACAGCCGAGAAGAAGCGGTTCAGCAGCATGCGCGGATAGCGGCGGAACTTGATGGCCTGCATGACGGCCACAATCTCGCCCTCGTCGTCGCCCTCGGCCGCCAGCACGTAGACATCCCCCAGATACACGCTCGGATCCTCCTGGGTCGGCACCATCTTGACATACGACCTGTACTTCCCGCCAGGCACCAGCGGTCTCGCGATGCGGAGCATGCCCCAGCCGGGGGTCACACAGAAGTTATTCTTGACATCGACCGCATCGACAGAGCAGTTCATGGCAAAACCGGCCAGGTGGAACACCGAGTCCATGAAATAGGGCGGCACGGTGAAACCCCCTCCCCCTCCAACCCCTCCCCCGACTCCGGTACTCTCGGTCTGGACCAGGGTGATATCGGCGCAGGCCTCCAGCCCGTGCAGCACCACGCTCTGCATCCCTCTGTACTTGGCCGCGTAGTCGACCAGGTTGTTCGCGAACAGCTGGTAGGCCATGCCGTGCGAGAAGCGGGTGGCGCGGCCGTCGGCCACCAGCTGGGCGAGGGCGTCGATGCGCGAGCGGATCAGGTGGGCGAGCGGCGCCCAGCCGGCCAGGGACGCCGCGGCGCTGCCGTAGTGGACCTGCGCCGTGACGATGGGCTCCGGGTCGATGAGCGTGACGCCGTCGGCCGCGAGGTTGTGCCATTCCAGATGGGCCGTGCCGGTGCTGTTGATGTCGTCCGTGGAGATGGTGATCTGGATGAGCTGTGGGAGGGCGGTGTTCTTCTGCGCGACCAGGCCCTCGCGCACGACCAGGTTGGAGATGCCCAGGTCGGCGGCGCTGTGGGTTCTGCTGCTGCCCGGCTTGAGCTTGTCGAGCAGGTACTTGCCGAGGGTGAAGGCGATGTCGGCGTGGATGGACTGACAGCAAGGAAGAGTGGTTAGTAAATAGTACAAATAGTAGTAGTGTTTGTTTACTTATTTCAGGGGGTTGGTACTACTTACCGACGTCGCGACGCCCGCGTTGTTCATCTTGTGGCCCCACACGGCAGCAAAGAAGTCCGGCTGCATCAGGTCCGACTGCACAACAACCCGACCGGCCGCACCGGCAAAGGACTCCTCGACGACGCGGTGCACTAGCGACGTCCTCAGACTCGACACCGCCACCGGCAAATTGCCACTGCCAACCCCCGCCGCCGCAGCTTTGGCCTTGTCCTCGGCGTCGTAAAAGGTATTCCCCTTTTTGAGCACCCAATCGCCATTATACTGCAGCCAGTAATTCTTGTCGTTCCACGCATACGTCGGCAAATCCAGCAGCCGCAGCCCGCAGGCACGCTCAAACGGGCGGTGGAAGGCGTCCCAGCTGACGTTCACGCCGGCGGTATGCACACTGGCCAGGCTCTGCGCCAGCGTCTTCCAGTCGTCCTCGCCCCTCCGCAGCGAGGGCACCGCGGTAGCCAGCCCGGGGAGGATGGACCGCGCAAAGCCCATGCACACCGGGTGCGGGCCCATCTCGATCCAGACCATGCTCCCGTCGACGGTGCCAATCTTTTTCGCGGCTTCAACCGCGCCCAGGAAATCCACCGTCTCCCGCGTCGCCCGCCGGATGTAGCTGGCATTGACCGTGTTCTCGTCAAACACGACCCGCCCGAGCAGCGGCGAGATGATCGGCATGCGCAGCGGCTGGAACAGCACCCCCCGCCTGGCAACCTCCTCCAGCTCGTCCAGAATCGGATCGGTCTGCGCCGAGTGGAAGGCGAACGCCACGTCCAGCACCACACACTTCACCCCCTGGGCCTCCAACGCCCCCGCCACGCGCTCCATCGCCTCCCGCGTCCCCGAGAGCACGGTATCCCTTGGCCCGTTGATGCACGCCACCTCATACTCAAACTCCCCCTCGCCCCCTTCCTTAGCACTACCCCCCTGCGACAACAACTGTGTAATCCGCTCCAAAGACTCCCTAACAGCCACCATCCGATGACTGCCGACCTCACACTCCGCCTCCAACATCTGTGCCCTCCTCCCCACAAGATACACCACATCCGCCGCACTCAACACGCCCGCCACCTGCAAGGCCGCATACTCCCCCAGCGAATGCCCCACCACCACGTCCGGCCTCACGCCCAGCTCATGCTCCCAGTACCCCGCCAGCGCCATCTCGAGACACACCAGCGCCAGCTGGGTCGTCGTGGGCGGGTGTGTGTGATTTTGCGGGTGGGAGCCGTCCAGGGCGGGGAGGATGGAGCCGAAACCCTGGGCGCGGCAGAGCGAGTCTAAGTGGGCGAGGCGCGCGCGGAAGGCGGGGTTGGTGTGGTAGAGGGAGAGGGACATGGATTTGTGGGAGGCTCCCTGGCCCGTGAAGGCGAAGACTACGCCTGGGGGCCCCGAGGGGGGGATGGGTTTGTGCGAGTCTAACGACTGGAGGGCGGTGGAGAGTTGGGAGGTCAGGGAGGGCAGGGAGGAGGTGGCGATGGCGAGGCGGTGGTTGTGGTGGATTCGGCGCGCCGTGGTGGTGTAGCCCAGGGAGGGGAGGGAGATGGTGGTATCCTTGTTGTCTGGGTGGGCGGAGAGGTAGGAGAGCAGGTTGGTGAGGTTGGCTTTGAGGGAGGCTTTGCTCTTTGCGGAGACGGCGACCACGTGCGTGCTGCGGGGGTCGGCGGTGGTGGAGGAAGGAGGGGAGGGGGGTTCCGAGAGGATGATGCTTGAGTTGCCGCCGGCCGCGCTGAAGTTGTTGACGACCGCGATGCGCGGCTTGCCGCCGCTAGACACAGAAGAAGGCCAGGGGGTGGCTTCGTAGGGGATGTGCAGGTTCCGCTTGTCGAGGTCCTTGGGGAAGCCCGGGTTGATGGCCGTCTTGATGCCCACATGCCGCGGGATGGTGTCCTTCGCAAACATGAGCAGGACCTTGAGCAGCGCGGTGGTGCCCGCGACGGCCTCGCCGTGGCCGACGTTGGCCTTGACGGCGCCAATGTACAGCGGCTGCTTGGGACCCCTCCGCTTGGTCTTTGTCAGCGGCGCAAACACATCGGTGACGGACTGGATCTCCTGCGCGTCGCCGGCCTGCGTGCCCGTGCCGTGCATCTCGACGTAGCTCACGTCGAGCGGGTCGACGCCGGCCTGGTCCAGCAGCTGCCGCGTCAGGTCGGCCTGGTGGCCGGCGTGCGGGTGCGTGATGGAGATGGCCTCGGCCGAGTGGTTGGTGCCCGAGGCCAGGATGACGCCCAGGATGTTGTCGTTGTCGGCCTCGGCGTCCTCGAGCCGCTTGAGCACCACCGACGCCACGCCGTCCGCCCGGCAGTACCCGTCGGCGTCGCAGTCCCACGTCTTGCACGCGTTGGGCGTCTTGGTCAGGAAGTGCCCGGCGCCCAGCCCCGCGAAGCCGTCGCAGTTAGTGAGGATGTTCATGCCCCCGGCCACGGCCGTGTCGGTGTCGCCATTCCAGAGCGACTTGCAGGCGATCTGTGGGAAATAAGATTGGTTAGTGTCAAAGTCTTATTCGGGAATGGGGAGCCCGGGAGCCTTGTTGGGTAAGAATTCCGCTCACATCGATCGCCGCCAGCCCCGACGAGCACGCCGTATCAATACTAAAACTCGGCCCGGCGAACTTAAAGAAGTAGTTGATCCTCCCCGGCCCAAACGCACGGCAGCCGCCCGTGATGTAATACGTGCCCACCTCCTGACCCGCATTGACCTCGCGGTAATCATCACACGTCTGGCCGTAGAAGGTCCCGACCCGGTGCAGGCTCGTGGCCGGCGTGCGGTTGGGCACGTAGCCGGCCCGCTCGAGCGCCTCGTAGGCCGTGACCAGCGCCAGGCGCTGCATGGGGTCGGTCTGCAGGGCCTCGCGGGGCGACATGTTGAAGAAGGGCGCGTCGAACAGGCCCGGCTCGTCGACGAAGCAGCCGTACTGCGTCGCCGTCGTGTTCATCCGCTTGCCCGTCGGGTCGAAGTGGGTCGCCACGTCGAACCGGTCGGCCGGGATGGTGCGGTGCACGTCCAGCCCGCGGTCCAGGATGTCCCAGAACTTGTCCGTGGTCGTGGCGCCCCCCGGCAGTCGGCACGCCATGCCCACGATGGCGATCTTGGACTGCTTGCTGCCGCGGGGCCCGGACGGGATCGACTCGGGCTTGGAGATCCACGGCAGCAGGTCCCTTGTCTTTGCGATGGGTTGCTGCTGCTGCTGCCGAGGGAGAGCGGCAGCATCCGCGTTCAGGGCGTCGACGAGATCGCGCACCGGCAGCGAGGTGCGGAACGTGAACACGGCGACGTCCGAGGCCGACGAGATGCCCCTGGCGTGGCGCGCCACCCCTTCCACGACCTTGTCCCAGTGGATGGTCTGGGTGAGGATGTCGCGCACGAGGTCGCGGAAGAGCGCGACGGCGGACCGGCGCGGGAAGGGCGTGCCGCTGCTGGTCGGGAAGACGGGCACGTGCGGCTTGAGCCGGCCGTCGAGCGCCGCCAGCGAGGCCGTCTGCACGATCTGGTCGACGTGCGCCTCGCCGTAGACGTGCCGCGCGTGGCAGAGCCCGCCGTACACGGGCAGCGCCACCGACGTGCGGTCGCGGAAGCAGCCCGACGCGCTGAAGAGGTGCTTGAGCCGGGCAGGTGGGCCGCTGACCGTGACGGAGCTGCGGCTAATGGCGCTGATGAAGACTTTGTTGGGCTCGGAAATGCCCTGGGAGAGGTTTAGTCAGCTTGGGGAAAAAGCAAAAAGAAAAGAGAAAAAGAAAAAATAACAGAAATAGAAGAGTAAACTCACCTCAGCTGCGTGCATAGCATCCAGCTCCTTCTTAATCTCCGCCGCCGTGGCATCCGGCACCACATACGCCCAGCTATCGCCAGGGCCGCCATCCACCGCCCGAGGTTGCAGATTCTGCGACACCTCGGCGACCAAGACGCCCAGCCGGAAGGCAATACGGATAACCTCGGCACCGGCGGCCGGCATGTCGGCCAGCGTCGAAGCCAGGGACACGGCCGCGGTGGAGAGCAGGCCGGTTCCCAGCCCCGTGAGGCAGGCCTCGGGACTGCCAAAGTCGAACCCCTCATCGCCCGAGTGCGAGTCCGAGTCCGAGCCGTCGAGGTCCTCGTGGTAGCCGATGAAGGTGGCGATCTGCACGGCGCAGAGCAGCATGCCGTCGACCGAGCCGCCCAGGGGCCCCGTGCGCAGCTCCGTGTGCTCGGCCAGGCTGAAGACCGTCTCGAAGGCCGGGACTAGCGCTTTGAGGGGCGGAGGCAGCAGGGCCACCTCTTGACGCACGGCCGCGGTGGCCTCGTCGATAAACGCGGCCAGCAGCCGGTGCCGTCTGTCCTTGCTGTGGTTCCACAGCCGGCGGAAGACGTCCTTCAGGTCGTCGTGCGGGAACTCGTTGCCGAAATAGCCGAACTTCCTGCTGCCGGGCTCCACGAAGGACTCGGCCGACGATGGGGTCGCCGACAGGTGGTCCACCGTGCTGGGAGTCGTCCCGGTCCAGTCCATGTTGGCAGTCATATCGTGTGGACTGAGGTCGAATTACTAGTACTAGTGATAAGGTCCGGTGCAGTAGTAGGGCAGCGGTTCGAGAAAAGCGGGGGAGCTGCTCTGACTGACTGTGCACGCTTCTCGCGCTTCTCTGGGGGGCAAGTGTGTGGCCACGACTGTGAGAAGGGCTCGGGAAGGTTGGGGATAGACATGCAGTGGTTCGTTTTATCAGGAATCAGCATTGTCCCCCCTTTTGCCTTTTGGTCCTTTGGGCTTTTGCCTCGCGCGTCGTGTCTCGAGACTCAGCAGGATCTGCAATCCAGCAAGCCGCTGCGATCGGATCTTTCCCTTATCGCTGCATCACCGACGCTGCTGCCTCCCCGATGATGACCTGTGCACACCGGATGCCGATCGGGAGATACAATGCCCTGCTGCTGACCAGAGCGCTTTCTCGCACACACCTCGGTTTCCGGCCCCCCACGCCGTGTCTCACACCTCGGGCATCCCCCTAATTCACCGCCACCCTAGACACCAGGACGAACGGAGAACCTCAGCCAGCCTCGTCTGGCAGGGAGGTCTTAGCCTTATCTTCGGAGACCGTCCCGCGCAAGAACATAACACCGATGGGCACCCAACTCACTAGTAGTAGCTGCCTCAAGTCTCAGCCCTATCATCCAAGGCCCCCCGCGTCCAAGGACAAGAAATCAATCTCATTCTCAACCTACCTACCGTACTCCATTCCTACTGCATATGCCATAGTCCTGCTTCACCATGGCGCCAGGCGTGGGAGGCTACCGGCAGATCAACAAAGCGCTCAACATCTGCGCCTTCGAGGACTATCTCGAGAGCCAGCAGACCCATCTCCCGCACCTGCCGGATGTGGAGCAGCTCAGTCCGCGCGTGATCCGCGTGCTTGGACAAAACCCAGGCAAAGTCCGTCATCTTTTTTCCTCCCCATGGCTCGCCGCATGGTTATTGCTATCATTCCCCCTGAACCTGAACTTACCTTCGTTTCTTCCAGTTCACCCTCCAAGGAACAAACACCTACATCATCGGCACCGGCACGCACCGCATCCTGCTCGACACAGGCCAGGGCATCCCCGACTGGATCACCCTCCTCTCCTCCACGCTCTCCACGCACGGCATCACCCTCTCCCACGTACTCCTCACCCACTGGCACGGCGACCACACCGGCGGCGTGCCCGACCTGCTCACCCACTACCCACACCTCTCCTCCGCCATATTCAAACACACCCCCGAACAACAACCACCACGAAAAAAGGGCAGCAAATCCTCCTCCCAGACCGGGACCCAGCAGCACTACCAACAACAGCCCATCGTCGACGGCCAAATCTTCCGCGTCGAGGGCGCCACGGTACGCGCCGTGCACGCCCCCGGCCACTCGCACGACCACTGCTGCTTCCTACTCGAAGAAGAAGACGCCCTGTTCACGGGCGACAACGTGCTGGGCCACGGCACGGCCGCCGTCGAGCACCTGCGCACGTGGATGGGCACGCTGCGGCTGATGCTGGGGCTGGGGTGCAAGGGACGGGGGTATCCGGCGCACGGGGCCGTCATTGTGGATCTGAAGGGGAAGATGGAGGGAGAGCTGACTGCGAAGATTAAGAGGGAGGCGCAGGTTTTGAGGGCTTTGCGCGGGGATGATAGTGGTGGTGGTGATGAGGATGGGGGAGAGAAGGGGAAAGGGTTAGTGGGGAACGCGAATGGTGGGGGGACTGGAAGGAAGGGGAGGAAGTTGACGGTGAAGGAGCTGGTGGTGTTGGTTTATGGGGATAAGATGGATGATGCGGTGAGGGAGATGGCGCTGGAGCCGTTTGTGGATGAGGTGCTGAGGAAGTTGGCTGAGGATGGGATGGTGGGGTTTGATGTGAGGGGCGGGGTGAAGAGGTGGTTTGCTCTTGCCTGAGGAGGAGTATTACCTTAGGATTCAGGAAGGTGATACAGGTCCGCGTGGTACGTACTTAGTTTATGTTAGTATCAAGATTAGAGCGGTAGACTCCCCTAGCTGTTGGCATTGAGTTACCAGAACATCAGGCTTAGATTGATCGTAGAATTGGAATAGCCGAGGAAGAAAATCAGCAGTGCCTTCAGGGTTGGGTTGCACATTACACTCCCGGGCTGTTTTTGCTGTCACAAGGGGCAGAACTGAACATGTCGTAAGTTCAGAGGAGCAGTCAGGGTTAGGAAATCCATCTGAGACATGGGCTGTACTTAACCGATATCTCGGTTTCACAAGACGCCACGACGCCTACGAAGTACGAAGGACACACGGATGGTTACGTAGTTACCAGTAATAATAATCCCTTTGCTGCCACTGAGTCCACCTTCCTCTACACGCCACACGGGAGCATTGGACTACACCAGGGATGCACGTAACAAGCCGGGATAATCACATCAAGTTGAGGCCAAACCAGAGCTCCGAGAGCCCCCGACGTCTGAGACAAACCGGAACAAGCCGGAACAGTAGATACAATACAGATACTGGTAGACGATTGACGGCCCGATCCGCCCCTACCCATGGGCAGGCAAACCAGGAAGCCACGCCACCTTGGAAAGGCCGAGATTGGCCCATGCCGCCCGACTGCGCGGATTCGCTGCGACCACCCGAGCCATCCGCGCAGACTCTCGCGGGGGTACTTTCTCGTGCAACGTCGGTCTATTAACACATCCGAGCCCCAAGCAAAAAGAAACAGAATTGACGGTGTCTCAGCCGGGGAAAAGCAATCATAACAGCTGAAACCCTGATAGCCCAGTGGTACAGCCACGTCGATTAACTGGAACAACTCCCGGTAATCACTCTCCAACAAAGGCAGGGATCACGCCGGGCGCGAGAGGTCTCGGCATCGCACACCTATTCCAGGCATGGAGACCGAGATGGGGGCGGTGTCGCAGCTTGGCCCTCCGACGTCAAGTCGGTCACCGGTGACCGGGTCCCCGGATGCTGCGCTGGGCCTTCGGCGAAACGGTGTTTTTCCTCGGAGAATACTGCCTCGAGCTGAGCCGCACGAGGGGACACATTCCCTCCTGCTTTTCCGAGGTTGTCAGCAGTAGTAGTACTTCTGATAGTATAAAGCGTGTCTCCCGGGCTAAACACGTCTTCTCCTGTCGAGTATCGATCAGCCATTACAGGCCACCCCATCTCACGCGAACCTTATATAACCCATACTGTCTGTCTCTACGAAAAGTGTCAAACGCTTCCCCCATTCCCACTCGGCGCGCAAGCCTTTGAACATGGCAGCAGACACCACAACGCTGCAAGATGCAGACCTGCCCAAGCCCTCCCCGGGTCCGACGCCCAAGGGGAAGTACCTCTGCCTCACGATATGCGGCTACCGCAAGCCGGGCATCAGCGAAGAGCAGCTGCGCCACCACATGGTCCACGTCACCGCACCCCTCACCCAGAAGCTCATGGTCAAGTACGGCATCAAGCGGTGGACCCAGGTGTGTGTTCCAGACTAGACACCAACCAGTTCAGCTGGCTATTACTAGTAGTACGTTATGACTCGCAAACTGATATGATATGATCTCTCTCTCTGTGTGTGTGTGTGCAAAGATCCACAACCAGTCCAGCACACGCGCCCTGATGGCCCGCATCGGCGGCGACCCGCAGATGGCCAACATCGCCGACTTTGACTTCTTCAGCCAGGCCGTGTTCCAGGACATTGAGGGTTACTGGCGCATGAAGCAGGACCCGTGGTACAAGGAGCATCTGGTCGGCGACCACGAGCGGTTTGCGGATACCACGCGGAGCAAGTGAGTACCTTACTTTTACTTTACTTCCCTTACCTTTCATCTTTTTCAGAGCGGAGTGGTGGGTGGGGTGAGAGATGGTTACAGTTTACTAAAAAATCTGGATGCGTGCGTGATTTAGGATAACGATAGGATGGATCGAGGAGTTTGTGAGGGACGGCGAGGCAGTTGATGGGTTTGCTGCTTCCTAGGGGTTAGCTTGTGTGAGGCTACTTTCCGGATGATGATTTGAGTCTGAACCCCGATCGGTATCGTCCATGATGACCATTGCGATCCACACCGCGCAACGGATGGGTTACTTCGAGTTGCTGGACTCGCTATGGTGCCCATCCATTGCGAGATGTGGATCGCAATGGTCATCATGGAGGATACCGATCGGGGGTCGGCGTTGAATTTGATTGATACCTATTGGGGGTCAGACATGAATCATCGGAAAATCGCCGCTCGCTATAGATCAGGCAGGTTTCGGCGCCCGGACGGACTTGTCCGGCCTGCGGCAGTTTTGGCTTGGGCAAGAGGCATGGGAGTTGAGAAGAGGGGAGGCGGTGAGGGTAGAAAGGCATGAGTTGAGTAAGCAAAACAAGAAATGTGATTTGGTTTCCCGGTTACCAGGTACTATTCACATCCATTTTATCGGTTATATCATTGGTACCTAGTCAGAACCTGTGTGGGGTGGCTCGACCGAAGTGCTGTGTTGAACATCCCTTCATGCCAAGTCCGGCGCAGGTACAGACAAAAAGGCGGCGGTTACACTGCGGATGTGTGTTGCACCAGATCTGATGGGCTTGCAAGCTACAGTTGCCAAGCCCTATCGGGAACCGAAGTTGTGCAACAGAGCCAGATCAATGTTGTACTACGAGTACTATTACTTGGCAAGGCACCAACCTCCCGGTGCGTGGAACCCTATCTAGTGGTGAGGTGAGCATTCGAGGTTTCCAAGGTCCGACCTCTCTATTACCAGTAGGACTTGATGTGACAGCTGGCCGCACGCTCGATTCTGGAGCTGGTTGTATTAATGTGTAAGGTCAACAGGCCGCAGTTGGCAAAGGCTATCCCCGTACCATCAATAAGCTAGTACACAGACAGACTTGATATGAAGGGGCTTTAATAAACAGCCCAAGGTACGACCCCCTGAGAAGGCTATCCGCAGCCTTTCGTACAGTACCTGCCCCATCACGCATTAACACTATCACTAAGAGTAACATGAACTCACCACATCTGCAGTAGACTCCTAATAGTGCCGCTAGATATAGATCTCTAAAGCTCCTATATAGATCCCTTCCAAGCCGTTTCAAAGTTTCAGCAAGAAATGGGGAGCCATCGTCTAGACCCTGCTGCGGAAACCATCGCTCTCGGAACCCTCCCCCTTCCCCGCCTTCCCTTCCCCCCTCTCCTCCTTAAGTCCGCTAGGCTTTGGCGACGACAATTCCCAACAGCAGCCAAACAGCCAGGAACAGATACCACTCCATGCTAGTATCCTCCCCAGCGGAGTCTCATCCGCCCATGCTTCCATCAAGGGAGCCGTGAGCCGTGTCGAACAGCCCAGCTTGTGGACCGCCCCTCTGTGCGCGGTGTAGCTCGCCAAAAGGGCAAGCCGGATGGTGTGGATATGTGTCATCTATCGCTACTACCAGTGTTTAGCAGGATTCTCATCGTACATGGCGGGCATGGCCAGAACGGATCCGTCCTGGAGACATAGAGAGCATGATGCGAGAAGAAAATGTTTTTGATGGCACATATGTCCCGTTGAACGGCCATGGGACTGGCCCGGATGCTCCGTCGATCCGGACATCGTTGGCCAGCCATGGTAGCGAGGCGGTAAAGCTATGGCTGGCAGCGGCATCGGTGGACGGGCGAGAGGAGGCTGCCTCGGTGCCTCCAAGGGCGGCATTGCACTCGGCCAGGGCACGGCTAGACAGCTCGGAGGGCAATCATGATCCAGAGTCGAAACGGCACCGTTCCCGTCGCCGAGATCCGCGTGCCAGTGGTAGTAATCCGGATTCAAACTGGTGGTGGTGCTGTTGTTCCCCAGGGCTGAAACGAAGAGAGGAACACCGTCCGGTGCCCCGGGAGTAGTCGACATGCTTGGGCTGACGGGTGACGCATCGTTGTATTGGGGACATGTTATGCTCTCAGGCGGGAGGTCGTGCTCGAAATACTGGTCCACGCTTGTTGGATCTCCATAGTACCGAGACGAGAAGCCGCTCTCAACATCCATAGCGGAGCCAGGGACGGAGGCGGAAGAACTGTTTGCGGAGCTCGTGGTGGACGTGCCGGAGCTGGCATCGTTGTCCGTACTACTGATGATGCTCGCCCGCTTGCGGCCGGGACGCTTGGTGAAGACCTACTCGCATGGGACTCCACGGCTTTCGCACCGCGAACACGACGGCTTCTCCCGCGGACACCTGGCCTTGGACACGGCGCAGGTCTGGCAGCTCTGGCGCAGCTTGGGGCTGCTGGTGGGTCGATAGTATCTTTCTCGCGCAGTGAATGCGAGCCTCCGATGTATTCTCCGTGGGAGACCGGCCGCTGCATCGAATTCCGAAATATGCATTCTCTTGTCCGGTTCTCATGTGGGTACTAGTGCTAGCCACGGTGAGTACCGAAGAGGCAGGGGACGAGGAAAGAGAATCCGAGGTGGCTATCCCTCAAACTCAAAAGCTGCTCTCATGAGTTATCTCTACTGTGTAGCCAATACAGCAAATCGTTATACCGTCCCTATCATCCATTCTCCTTGGAATCCGATCCGAGACCTGGCTGGATGGCATGTGCCGTTCTACGGTCCATGACACCGACATCGCGTAGACCGGTCACCAACTTGGCTCGGCATTAGACGAGGCACGGTTGTCAGGAGAGCGAGAGCGAGGTCCCCTCCAGAGATTAGACCACCGAAAAGAATAATGGGCACCGATCGGTGTTGGTGAACAGTAGTAGTCCTGTCAATGACCGCACTTAGCACTTCAAGCTGGTCCCATCACCTGTCGTGTTTGCTCATTCTTCTGCAGTGTACTTTTGTCAAGGCCGAGACATGGTATCAGATATCTCCTTCGCTTACCTTATGACGACCACTTAGCAGTGCTAGAAGTCAGACTCGGTCTCCGAGAGCGAACCATGCAGGGAGTCGAGTGACTCCTAGTAGGTAGATGCTCTGTCTCCCTCTGAGACGTCGTTAATAAAAGTCCATACTAAGCTGTTCATGGGGCGAAAGTGACTTCTAGCTTGACCTTTTGTGAGACAGCTCGCGTCTGTACATTAGAAGCAGAGTGCACACAACATGCATCAGGCGCTATGCAAATAATGCAACGTCTCGCCGTTAAGCAACTACTACTACTAGTACCTTGGTAGTCTTCGACCGCTGCCGCTAACTCTGTTAACAACTATGCTATTGTTAGGTAGACAGTTTGTGAACTAGAGTGACTGACGTTTCTCTGCACGGCGCGGGGTTTCCTAAGGTGCGATAGGAGATCAATGACGACAACACATGCTGCCCGAGATGTTGCCACAACCAGAGCCACCTCTTCCCTGTCCCAGCATCTGACGTAGCTTCTCTGCTTCAACTCAACCAAATGTCCAAAGACAAAGTGAGTAGATAGTAGGAAAAATAATCTCCAAGTCGTCACCAGCGTAAAAAAACGACTTTCCATTCACGCCCTCTCCCCCCTTGCAAGAGTTTGGCCTAGGGAGAAAGACAGAGAGAGAGAGAAATGGCTACTACCAGCACAACGACGTACGCTGTGCTCGGCGCAACAGGCAACGCCGGCGTAGCGCTGATCCAGCTCCTCCTGAAGCGAAACGCCGACGACGTGCACATCCACGCCTACTGCCGCGACCGCGCCAAGCTCCTCCGGCTGATCCCAGACCTGAAGGTCGAAGTGCCCGAGCGCGTGCAGATCTTCGAGGGCAGCACTGCCGACCCAGACCTGATGACGTCGTGCCTCCGCGCCTGCCGCGCCGTCTTCCTGTGCATCTCGACCAACGACAACATCCCGGGTTGCCGCATGGCCCAGGACGCCGCGCACGCCGTCGTGCACGCTTTGCGCGACATCGGCGCGCAGGACCTTCGCTCGACCTCCTCCGCCTACCACCCCCTCCCAAAAATCGTCCTGCTCTCGTCCGCCAGCCTGGACGAGCAGCTGTCCTCCAAGACCCCCGCCTGGGGCCGCGCCATCATGCATCGCGCCGCGTCCCACATCTACGCCGACATCGCGAAGGCGGAGGAGATCCTGCGTGCCGAGGCCGACTGGCTGACGGCCGTGTACGTCAAGCCAGGCGCGCTGTCGCACGATATCCAGCGCGGGCACGCGCTGAGTCTGACCGATATGAGCGGCCCGCTGTCGTATCTCGACCTGGCGGCGGCCATGATCGAGGCGGCGGACGATGAGAAGGGACAGTATGACGGCAAGAGCGTCGGGGTGGTTGCTACCAATGGCACGGCTAGCTTTCCGTGGGGCACGCCCTGGACGATTGTGCTGGGTCTGATAAGATACTATCTCCCTTGGCTGCATCCGTATCTTCCGATGAGTAACGGGCCTTGATAGGGTTTTGCAAAAGGTAAGGAAAGTTCAGGATGGGAAAAGGGGAGAGGGGAGAGGGAGGCGGGGGAAAAGAGATCGCCGTGTGTTATCGAGTAAGTGTGTACGATACAATGCCGGGACTTGAACTTTGTACATTACAACATGGGACATCCGACTCAACGTGCGAGAGGCGCCATGGCAAAGGTTGCATCAGCGCGGTAAATTGATTCTACCCTTACTGTTGCGTTACCACTAGTGTTAGTAGAGGAGACTGAGTCTTGGGTCTGCTTCGCGGAAGCTCGGTATACGACACCACAGTGATGCCGTGAAGCGGAGTCCGTTGAGGCAGCATTTCGATTTCGCTACCTGCCGGACCACGGAGGTGTTCAGGGCCGCGTGTAACACGAATACGATGGATCCCCGAGCCCATCCAAAGCACCGGTTGAGACAGGTACTACCTTCTTAGCTTGCCGGTTTCTCGGACTGAATCAAAACCTGGACCGTGGAGGGGAGTCAATTGAGAACTGACTTTGCACTTCCGTAAAGGCATGAGATTGAGATGACTCTGTATTCTTCAGAATCACATGTACACACGTATGGCAAATCCGATCTGCGACAATGCGCAAGTCCTGCCAACACACTGATGATGACCTCAAATGCACCATCCAACAAGCAGAGCATACCCAACATACCGTACATGTAATGCAAGGAGATATCCAACCCCACAGACGCCCTTTTCTTCCGTCCGATCCCTGAGACGCCATTCCTTGGGCCTCGAAGCTCACTGTGCTTCAAGCCCCATCTCCCTCAAGCCAGACATCCTACAATCATGCTCCGGATCTCGTCGGAGTAGTAGAGTATATATAGCAATGGAAAGTAGAAATACCGCGTAGCCTGAGACTAACCTAACCAAAATGGTCCCGCAAAAGACACAAACACACTGAAATCGCAGACATGTAAGCCGCCCCGTCCTGTACCTAAAGGTCGTGAGAAGCCCTTTCTATGTTGAATAAATGCCGACGCAACCGCAAGAGAACGTCGAATGGTGAGTTTATATGGTGTGGCGAGCAAAAGCAGAATGGCAATAGAGTGGTCAGTTTAGATGTCGCGGTCGATGGTTGATGGGATGGGCAAGCGTCCATGGCGCTGTCCCCGCCTTCCAACATCCGTATCCCTATCCGTTCCCCGACCTGCGGGACGGAGTGCCTTCAGCAGTGCCGGGAGGGAATGTGTTGTTCCAAAGTGTTAGAAGATCATGTGGCGAAACAGAAAAGGCCCGTGTACACTTTGGAACAACACGTTCCATTCCGGCCCTGCCAGGGCGGCCCGCATTCACCACTGAAATCACGCGAGATGAGCTTGACGTCAAACTTCAAGACCAAAGCCGGCCCTGCATCATGCCCCAGGTCATGTTTGACATGAAATTGCTGTCCATATCAAAGGACAAGATATCCGGGTAGGGAGCGAAACCTGCCGTTGTTGGCGCTCCGAAGGGGGATGCACCCGGTGCGGTGCCGGCAAAACTCAGGGGTCCACTCCTCGGCATCGCGGACTCGCCCAGATTGACAAGAGCGACCGCACTTTTGCTTTGCAAAGCAAAGTCGAGCCCCCGTTGCTCCATCTTGCTTTTGACCCTGGCCACGATCCGGGGCACCTGAGGTGTGATGTCCTGTTGCATGAGCATCGCCTCGCGCGCCTCCCAGGCCACCATGACCATTCGCGCGAAGATGACGAAGAAGGGGTGGTTGCCAAACTTGAAGGAGTGATTGTCAAGCTTCCCGGAGTCCATGCGGCGCGCCTCGTAGTTGTCACTCATGGACTCCCAGGCACGGTCGGCCTGGTCGTTCGGCTGCTTCTTCAACCGCTGGAGGATATAAGCGTAGGCGACGAAGGGGAAGTAAAATGACTCGATATGCCAGACGAAGCCCTCGATCAGTGGAGAGGTCATGAGCTTCGTATCACAATCCAGCATGGTACACGCATACGCGAGGGCGGGATCGTGCGCGGGGTCCGGCAGCCCCGGCGGCGCGGGCAAGCTCGCCCGCCGCCAGCGGTACTCCAGGAGCTGGATCCTCGCCAGAAAGCCGCGTGCCATCCACATGGTCATGAAATGAAGCGGGTTCTGCGGGTCGCACCGCCTCAACATCTCTTCAACCGTTCGCTGTAGATCAGGTAGGTTGCGGCGCCCGGACGGACTTGTCCGGCCTGCGGCAGTCTTGGCTTCGGCAAGGGTGGTCAATAGCGGATCGATATAGTCGAGGTGGAAGGCGCTGTGGCGGATAAAGTCGCTTATCTCGCTGCGAACGACGGCAAACAGGGCCTCGCTAGGCCTCTCAGAGACCGGCGGCGGGCTCTTCGCCTCTGCGCGGAGCTCAAAGTCATTGAGGTTCATGGGGGGACGGCAGTCCCAAGTAGGAGCCAACGTCGGCGGCTTATAGTCGACGACCTCGCAGACGCGATTGTCGAAGATGACCAACGACCACCACAGCCTCCGGCGCAGCTCAGCCTCCAGCGGATTGCATTTCGCATTGCTGGACTCGCTATGATAGCCCATTCGCTGCGCGGTGCGGATCGCAATGGCCATCATTGAGGATACCGATCGAGGGTCGGCTTTTGATTTCATCGATACCTGTGAGGGGTCAGACTCAAATCATCGGAAAGTCGCCTCACACAGCAAATGCCTCGACATCAAGGCTCCAGGGCCTACTAACCAGGTAAAGATACAGGGCAACAAGACAGTCATGATCACCGGTGTGCAGAAAGCGACAGTTGACCAGGGCTTGGCGGCATGCGAACTGATAGCGGGCCATGAGCTCCTCTTTTGGCGATCCAAACACGGCTCGACAGTGCTCCTCCGAGATCGCCAGCAGGGAGACGCTGTAGATGCTGAACATGAGGGCTTCCAAAGGGGCACTGACGCTCGTGAGGTCGCTGATGGCGTTAACGATGCGCGTCTGCAAAGTAGGCGTGTGTGTCACTTTGAATAGCGGGTTCACGTTGTCGAGGTAAATCTGCCAGAGCTGGAAGATCTGGGCCTGTGGCGGGTGCGAGCCGGCCAGGTCGTCCTTGATTTGGCTAGGTGGGGACCCGAACAGTAGATGATGACCGTTCGCTGTTAAATCGTCGCCGCGCTCTGCCATGAGATGATCCCAGGCCTTGGTAATGACGGCCCCCCGCAGATCATCCCCATCCTTCAGGAAGCCGCTGTCCGTCTCTTCATCGCCAGTGTCGTCGTCTTCGGCGTCACAGTTCTTAGGTTCAAGGGCTGTCAGTGGACCCAGGAACTTGATAAGAAAATTGGCTGCTCGGACATACCTTTTGACTAAGAGCAACCCAGATGGACCTGTGCGTTATGGGGTAAGCGCTAGTCATTCCAGGGGTCTCGAAAACGCAAGCTGCGTTACATTACAGAGTCACAGCCGGGGGGGGGGAAGACGTACGGTTTCCTCGACCTAGGCGTGGTGACCTGGTTGGGACTGGAGACCACAGACCATGCCTCGGACTGGCCGGCATCCGGACTGCTGACGTTGAGAGGAGGAGAGACATGGTCTGAGACTGCGACGCCGCCCGCCGGCGGATGGAGAGGCTCGAATCTCACATGGTGCTGGCGCAGCAGGTCCTCGTAATGCCGGATGCGCTCCAGCAGTTCCCGCTCTGGAAATCGGCGGCGTCGCTGACGGGGGAGGAGACGGGAAGCGACGCATATGGCCTTGCTGCGGGTGCAGTTCGAGCATGGAAAGACGCGGTCGCATTTGATCTTGCGCTTTTGGCACAGCACGCACGCGTACACTCGTGGGGGTTTTGGATTCGAAGTGCCGCCGGCGTCAGGGCTTGGCTTTGCCGTGTCTGCCGCTTTGTCCGTCGACATGGTATCGCACAAGGGTGTCGAACTTGAGGTTACTTCGTGCTTTAGATTGGCCCGTCGAGCGGGATAGAGGCCCGGCTTGGAGGATGGCGAAAATGAGATCTGATGAGACTACCTCGGGGTTTTGGACGCCCGCGAGTCATGAATGCTTCGACACAAGTTCCAACAAAGGTCTTGACTCATGAGGCTCGAGATAGGTCGCGTGACATGTGATTGGCTGCCGCGCCTGGATGTGCCTGGGCGAAAACTGCCCCGCTCCGGATCGGGCTTTAGTTGCACCCGAGCGAGATCAAATGATCAAAATGGGAAGAGTGCTCGGGGGTTAGTAAACCCCGGCAACTGCCTAATTGGGCAGCTTACGTTCCTCTCTGGGGATGGAAATAGAGTCAACGGCAAGAATGGGCAGATCTGGCGTCTCCAATAGTCGCGTAGGCTACGGGGCCGCTAGAATATTCTCAATGCCGTCGTGGTAATGGTAGCATCCTCAGTTTGTAAGCGAGGAACCCAATCCCCTGATTCCCCTCCGCCAATCCCCCCTTACAGGAGTCAAGATGAGGCCCCATGCCGCGTCAGAATGCGGCGACATTACGGCGCTCGAGACTCATATAACAGTCCGAGGTGAACAATGAGAGCCTCTTGCTCCGTCTGTATTCACTACTCATCCATCCTGACACGCGACAGTCATCCTGCGACGTGCGGCCAGTTAACTGATCGGTCATCAACACTCTCAGGGTGAAGTACAAGCCAAACCGAAACTTAGAAACGCATCTGTTGCATTTTAGATGCCTTCCACCCGTCCAAAGACCCCCCAGGGCAATGCCGCAATGGGCTCTCAGGATACACTCTCTTCAAAACGCGCCAGCGACATGGAAGCGGCTACAGAGCCTACCGCAAATTCCAAAGAAGATCCTGGTCATCCGGGCCAACAGTCGAACGAGGCACCTAACAAGGTGACCACCACCCTCGTGATAGTTTCCGTGCTCCTTAGCATGTTCCTGGTTGCTCTGGACAGAACGATCGTGTCTACGGTGCGAAAGGACCCCTTCCCCTTCCCCTTACACCATCTGACGGGACTTCTGCTAACTCTATGCTCCGAGCCAGGCCATACCAGTCATATCGAATGAATTCAACTCCCTCAGCGACGTGGGTTGGTACGGAAGCGCCTACCTGTTGACATGCTGCGCGTTCCAGCTGCTGTTCGGCAAGATCTACACCTTCTTCCCCGTCAAGATTGTCCTCCTCACCAGCATCCTGATCTTCGAGGCGGCGTCGGCGATCTGCGGAGCAGCTCCCAACTCGGTGGCCTTCATCGTGGGGCGAGCAATCAGCGGAGTCGGCGCCGCAGGACTCTTCGCCGGAACGGTATGTCCTTCCACCATGTGCTCAACCCGGATCAGTTATTGTTGCTAACAATTCTGTTCTACTTACACTAGATCGTCTGCACCGTCCAGGTTGTCCCGCTACACCAACGTCCAAAGATCCAAGGCCTCTTCGGCGCCCTGTTCGGCCTTGCCTCCATCATCGGCCCCATCGTCGGCGGTGCCTTCACTTCCCATGTGACCTGGAGGTGGTGCTTCTACATCAACCTGCCCATCGGTGGCGTCGCCATGGCTGTCATTGTGCTTTTCCTCAAGCTTCCCGATCCCGAGACAACCAAGCTGCCCCTGGCCAAGAAACTGGTGCAGCTCGATCTCCTCGGGACCGCCATCTTGGTCCCAGGCGTGGTATGTCTCCTCCTGGCTCTGCAGTGGGGCGGCACAACATATGCTGTAAGTCTACCTTCTCGTTTCTCCTCCAACTTTCCATAGAGTACTGATATTAATCTGCACAGTGGAACGATGGCCGCATCATAGCCCTCCTAACCCTCACCGGCGTCCTGGGCGTCAGCTACTGCCTCGTCCAAGTCTTCACCAGCACCGCCACCCTCCCCCCGCGTCTCGTCAAGCAGCGGAACGTCGTCTCCGCCTTCTGGGCAACCCTCACCATCAACTCGGGCATGTACATCTTCATCTACTTCCTCCCCATCTGGTTCCAAGCGGTGCGGGGCGTCTCCCCCGTCGACTCGGGCATCCGCCTGCTACCGGTCATGCTATCCATGGTGGTCGGCTCCATCCTCGCGGGCGGCCTCAACGCCAGGATCGGCTACTACACCCCCGTCGGCATGGTCGGCTCATGCATCATGGTCGTCGGCGCGGGCCTGCTCACCACCTTTCGCGTCGACACAGACTCAGCAAAATGGATCGGCTACCAGGTGCTGTACGGGTTCGGCATGGGCACCTGCTTCCAGGTGCCCAACCTCGCCGTACAGACCGCCCTGGCCCCGAAGGACGTGCCCGTCGGCTTGGCGCTGATGTTCTTTGGCTCGCTGATCGGCTCGACCGTCTTTGTGTCGGTCGGGGAGAACGTGCTGAGCAACCAGCTGCTCAAGCGGCTTGCGGGGCTGCCCGGGTTCGATGACAGGCTTGTGACCTCGGGGGGCGCGACGGCCCTGCTGGACTCGATCGCGCCCGGTGCGAGGGGGGCGGCGCTGGTGGCCTACAACGCCGCGCTGCGGGATGTTTTTCTCGTTGGGCTGATTGTGACGTGCTTGGCGGTGCTGGGTACGTTTACGCTGGAGTGGCTTAGCGTTAAGAAGGACAAGAAGAAGGCGGCGTCTCCTACTCCTGCTGAGCATAGTGGAGACGCGGAGGAGAAGGAGGTGGGCGAGACCGGGAAGTGAGGCGAGCGTGGTGCACGACCGGCTGGGTATGCGGTGACGATGGACGATGGAGAGAGAGATTTTGTGGTCGGTGTTAGAAAAGGGGTTCAGACATGTTTTGGACGATCGCCTAGGATATAGAATAGAGGGTGAGTCATTGGATACCTGCGTTGCCTTAGTGATAGTTTGTTTAGTACTAGTTAGGTAGTTTAGTTTTACCACTGATAATCTTCAATACCAATACATTCTCCGCTCACTCAGTTCCAGTTTGGCGATACGTGGCCCTGTGTGCTCAGGATCAGGCTATCTGGCAGACGGTTATGAAGAGCTGGCCAGGTTCTGGGGTATCACAAGCGTTCTCAACTGACTAGCAGTAACATGTCCCTTGGTAGTTTGTAACGTCTGACCGCGTATATTATTGCCGGGTTTGTTCCGTGCCCTTCTCGCTCTCTACATCCATCTCACTATGCTGCACCTTCACATCCATCTCCCGCGCCGGGATCTCGTTTGCCGGCATCTCTGCGATTAAGCAAGGCGGTAGCCGACCCGGCTTGGCGTAGTACTTAGTAGGAACTTCAAGTTCTTGCGGTGGTCGAGGCATGGCGTCCAGCTCTTTCGGCGGCCCCCGTGGTGCACCGGGCAAGCTCTCGGCATGTAGCTCGGGTTTGCCGGTGTAAGGCTCGTCGTCGTCATCGTTCCTGGACTTCCGGGATCGCCTCTTTCGGCGGCGGAAGAAGAACAAGAGGTAGCAGTAGATTCCCACGAGGACGGCCAGGCCTGCGATGCTGCCAACCACTGCGCCAGCGATCCATGCCTTGTTGTTGCTGGTGCTCGTCTCGCTTTCTGTGCTACCGGATGTAGATTGTGCTAATTGTTACTGAAGTCAGCGGCAATTCTCTGTACCTAATAACGGATGAGGGGAGATTCCCCAACGAGGCGGGCAGAAACCGCATGACATCGATCTCAACCCTCTCTCACCTTCTCGGTTAGCTGTTGGAGTGCTAGTATGAACGAAGCCGGTCCAATCGGACCTGGTGACAACAACCTCCACGGCCGAAGTACTTGTCGTCAGGGTTTCGATACCGTCCAATCCTACACCGGAGAAGGTGAAGTACGACAGCATGGTCGATGTTGTGAGCCAGGAGGTTGGGATGGTGTACGATGTAGACGCTGTAGACGCTGTAGAGAACGCTGTCAACGGCGCTGGCGACGCTACACAGTAGCCGACCATTTCTTCAGCCGGGCCGATGGCGCTGACGGAAGCGCCCGCTGCGTTTAGGCATCCCAAGCAAAGGTTCATGTATTTTCGAAACGCCGAGTCTTGGTCACAGAGCTGAGGCACCCGGCCAACTCGCTGGACTTCGCGAGCTGCGTCATCTGTTTGGTGTGACAGGAATGTGAGATCAGTTTCAGAGTTTATGAGTGTGACCATTTCAAGGGTCGAAGAGTCTTGTCCTCACTGCACCTCTCATAGCAGACCCCAGGGATTGGGACCGCATCCGAGGCCGAAGCCGAGCTTGATGAGACCGCGGTCGGTACGTTGGTGGTAGGTAAGGGGAAAGGCGGGGTAGCCTGCGGGAATCGTGAAGGACGCCACATCGCATCTCTTGTGCAGCTGGGAATGGGTACTAGTAGCATACAAGCCCATCGTTGTGCATCAGGAAATGCAAAGACAAGACAGGCAGACCTGCGGGGCCCGCTGCTCTTTTGAACCCATTTCCCCTCGAGCTCAGCTGTCAGCAACCCTCATCAACTCATGGCAATCACATAACTTGAACTCTGTGCAGACACGGCACAATGTGGCACATCGCGGGGGCCACGGCCCAGCCCACGTTGTTGATTCGCCTGCTGCGCTGTGCTTTCTCTCAAAATACTACGGTAGCGATGCCTGGGTAGCGTATTAGGTATGCACAGTTCACTCTCCTGCCGCTCCTGTTGGAAGGAACAGAGGGTAATAATCTATGCCCCCAATGATCGCCGAATGGATGCAGACGCATGTCAACCTCCCTACCCTCATTTGGGCAAGATCAGATAGAGTTGCACAAATACTAGTACTAGTACAGACGTCCTAGCGAACCGAAGAAATACCGTCTCTCCACAGCTGCCCGACTTCCACGCGGATAAACTAAACAGTTAGGCATTGTTGCTCATATCAATGATCTCATGGCCTGATGCCTGCTATCTTACCGCTCATTATCAGTAGATACTGTATACCTGCCGAGAAGAGCAGTAAGCTGCTTCTAAGAGAACGGCGATAGGGGAACGATGGACGTGTTTGATGACCTTAGTCATTTGCTCAAGCCAATCTTTTAGATATGCCAGGCACTGTACACAGCTACAACCCAAACATGCATCTCATCATCTGGTCTCCAGAGTGGGCTTACGTACAGTAGCAACTACTACTAGTACTACTGTATTCATCATGATACGGCGCCCGGAGACTCCTAGTACTAGCTCTTTCCGTCATTTATGAGGGTGTCTGAGGGGATGTGCTCAACAGATTTGGCATCGGTATAGTAATGTCTCTTCGGGGCTCGGACTTTGATCTCATGATGATCCTCGCCATCACTCGTAGCCCCGTACCGGGCCGGAACTTTGGACACAACAAAGAGGATGAAGATGAGAGTGTTGAAGAAGAATGACCCCCAGTCGGGGATCCGCTGCCCGCCAACAGTGCCAGAGACCGTGCCCCATCGCAGCCAAGCCGGCGGCAGATATCAACATAGCGAGCAGTTCGAAAGTCCAAGTCGCAGGAAGCCCCAGGAGGGCAGTCGACCGGTGAGCTAGACCGCCGGGGACAGGTGATGGATAAGGTACTGGTCGGGAATCTGAGCATCTAGATGTGTCCACGTCGGAGTGGGCATGTTGCTGCCATTGCATGAGGTAGGCTCTGGGGCCGCCGGCTGCCGAGAGGAGGTGTGAGGAATCAACCCACGTTGGGGTCGGATGGGACGTCATGACGGGATAGCAGTCGAGGACGAAGGAAGACTGGAAGGCTACACCACCAAGCTGGGTATAGTTGGGGCGGTTGGTTTGTATGTGGTAGCTTTCCTGAACACAGCTCGGCAACCAGGCTCCAAATCTGCTGCCCTTTCCGTTCCCCTTTCCGCTGCTTTTTTTGTAGCCGGGAAGTGATACACTTGACAAACAGTCCCCGCCCTGCTACGTACCGATCATTCTTATGTGGATTGTCAATCAGGCCTTGCTGCTCCGTCGGACGTTAAACCTATGCCGCAGTCACCGACCATATTGCTGGCAGCTTCCAAGCTCACCCGGCTCACCCCGATTGGCGGGCACGCTCGGAGCCATGTGCGCGCGAAGGTCTCCCGAGGCCGTGGTAGGTTACTTCGCTCTGGAAATTTAGACCCCGCGAATAGCCGCGTCGGTTGGCAAACCCGCGATATGGCCTCGTCGCCTTGCGAAGTGACGAAACGCGAGCTCAACCTCGTCCAGGCATCTATAGACTGAGACCGCCGATATCGGCTCAACACTGCTTGCATAGGTACCTTAGGTGCGTATAAAAGGGCTGCCAATCAACAACCCGGCGGGCTCTCACAGCATCAACAGTTTCTCTGCTGTCAAAGACTCTCGATCTCAGCGAACCTTTACCTACCTACCCTACGTAATTGCCCAATCTCGGACGATAATAATAATAAGTCCGCCTCGAATAGTATTCGCCGCCATGACCAACAAGACCACTCAACCTCCCATCCAGACGCAGGGGCCAACAACCCCCCCAACAACAACCGCAGCAGCAAAGGAAACCACCTTCCGCTCCTTCAGCCGCGCCCAAGGCGCCAGCTACGCGCAGCACCGCCTCGACTACCACCCGCGCCTCTACCAGCTCGTGCTCGACCACCACAACGCCACGGGGGGCCGCCTCGACACCCTGCTCGACGTCGGCTGCGGGCCGGGCACGGCCGTGCGCACGCTGGCGCCGCATTTTGCGCACGCCCTCGGGATCGACCCGTCCGAGGGCATGATTGCTACCGCGCGGTCGCTGGGCGGCTACTGCTGTTCTGGTTCTGGTTCTACCCCGGAAAAGAAGGAACCGATTCGCTTCGAGGTCTCGACTGTTGAGGAGTTAGAGATGGGGATCTCGCGTGACGGTACTGGTATCCAAGAGGGCAGCGTCGATCTGCTAGTAGCAGCAACCGCGGCGCACTGGTTCGACATGTCTGTCTTCTGGCCGCTGGCGGCGCGCCTGCTCCGTCCGGGGGGAACGGTGGCGCTGTGGACGGGCGGGCGTATCCTTGTGGATGCGGATCAGCGGTGCGGGTCGGTGCCGAATAATAATGCCAAGGCGATTCAGGTGGCGTTGGACAGGTTTGATGCGGCGGTAGATGAGTATTTCTTGCCGGGGAACAGGATGGTGTCGAATCTGTATGCTGATTTGCAGCTGCCGTGGATGCTTGAGCGGCCGGTCGCGGAGTTTGAGAGGGATGGGTTTGTAAGGAAGCTGTGGGATAATGGTACGACTAGTAGTGGTGGTGGTACTGAGGATGGAGAGAAGGGGGAGGGTTATATCAAGGAGTTCTATACTGGCGACCAGAAGGGGGCCGATGTGGAGGTGTTGGTCAAGATTCTTGCGACTACGAGTCCGTATATACGCTGGCGCGAGGCCAACGCGGACGCGGTGGATACGGATAAAGATCCGCTGCAGGTTATGAGGAGGGAGATTGAACTTGCGCTGGAACAAGGCGGCGTTGGTGGTGGCAAGCGGCTGGTGAAGGGGGGTGTGGCGGGTGTCTTGTTGATGGTGAAGAAGAGGGCGCAGGCCGCGGAGTAAGGGGCCGCCTGTGGATGTGTCGGTTATGGTGTCTCGGTTGAGAAGGCAGCGACTTCTTGTTCCTTCCGACTGTCATGGCGCATTTCTCCTTAAGCGCGGGGCAGGCTTCAAGTTGGTGCAAAGCAATGCGGAACTGACCCTGAAGGCCCCAAATGGGAAATGAAGGGACCATGAGCACACAATGGCGCGGTTCCATGGTGAGCAGATGGTCCATTTTAGCCATAGGCAGAATGTATAGTAGCATACGAGGTCTTTCGCCCCTCTCAATCAATCAGCGTTCTCATATAACACTGCGTACTTCACGGAAGGTTGCAGCCAAGAGAGAGGGGTTTCCTTAAGTCGGCATTGAAAGTACTGCTATATCCGTGGCTACAGATATAGGTAGGATTAGCGGGCGGTATATGGCGCCCTCCTCCTGGTCTCGCCTATCCCGGCTTACTACCGATTTCCTTATACAACACTGGCCACTTTTGTGAGTTCAGCGATGATCTTGCACGCCCTCCTGAAAGCTCTCCTCGAGCTTCTCCTCGTTCAAAATGTCTTTGCCACAGGCATCCGAAGCATATTCTTGTTTAAGGACGTAATGAAGTCCAACACCACGGCACTCAAAACCTCCGGCTTCAACACGCTCATCATCTTCGGCGTCGGCATCCTCGACAACGGCGACATCATGTACTACTCCAACACGCCAGGCAGCAAGGACGTCCTGGTGGCATCCAACGGCACCTACGTCGGCGGCGACGCACTCGCCGAGAAGGTCCGCTCCTTCAAGAAGAACACAACCAGCGTCCAACGGGTCGAGATCTCCATGAACGCGCAGCATGTCCGGAATCTGATAACCAACCCCGGTCCCGGCCCGGACACGCGCTTATACCGCAACTTTGCCGCGCTCAAAACAGCCTGGACCCTCGACGCAGTCAACAACGACGACGAGTCGCTCTACGACGTGGCCAGCACCGTGGCCTTCGCCAAGATGCTCGGCCAGGTCGGGTACAAGTACACCATCGCGCCCTACACCAACACCCGCTTCTGGGCCGCCGTCAAGCAGCAGCTCAACCTCAACAACAACAGCGAGCCGGACGACGACGACGACGACGTTGACTGGCTGCTGCTAGACAGGGTGTATCTGCAGTGCTACGACGGCGGCGCGTACAACGATCCCGGCAGCTGGCAGGGCTCGCTCGGCATGAAGGTCGTGCCGCTCCTGTGGGTTGTGAACGACGCGAAGCCGTCGTATGGCATGACCGCCGCGCAGGCGCGGCAGAGGTTTGAGGGCTGGAATAAGCGGTATGCGCTCGCTGGGGGCGGGTACTGGAATGACTATGATATTGAGAAGATGGGCTTGTCGTATCGGGAGTATGGGGATGTTTTGAGGAGTGTGTTTCCGTGATGTTGATGGGTCTGGATGAGGCTATTCCCAGAAGCAGTGTTCAGTAAGGTACCTTATTCGAGTCTCTTTAATAACTGGTTTGTATGTACAATACCAATGATGACGATGCAGCTATCCCGGCCGTAAGAGACAGCAAGTGATACTGTAATCATACCAGATCACCGACGCGACACCTCTTTCGTGGCCAGTCAGAGACGAGGTACGCTTCTGCCACTATTGATAACCTAATGACTTGTGAGAACCTTGGGACAACCGGCACCAGTAGTAGCTCTTGATGAGTCCCCTGAGTATTCTCTGTACCGAGTGTGTGAGCATTTAACTGCCTTGACACTGTGACTGCCGAGCATAGTACTTCAAGAGTGAGACTACTTCCTTCTAAGCAGCGAGCCTTGAATTATGATGAAACACGTCTAGTCACTGCTCCGAACATCGCCGCGACTGCCGATCACGGACCGAGCGTCAGTATAACAAGCGGCTACAGTAGTACTACTGTATGTACTCCACCTTTCGGAGCATTTCCAGATACTATACGTTTCTCCCTCTGGCAATGCGACGTCGCACAGCATGGCAATCAACAGATTCCGAAACAAGTACTGTCAATAGCTGTGAACTGGACTTCATGGTAACTGAACCGGCATCTAACGGCTTACCGGTATTACTCCATATCGGTATGCACGGGTGACGCTCATGATAGCTCGACCCTGTCCATCCACTTGCTGAAACCAGCAGTAATTCATAACATCATCATCATTACTAGTAGTAACCCCTAGTACCATCTATCACAACCGCTCGCTGAGCATCTCCAGCGAGAGGATCTCCTCCGGTCTAAGACTCAGACTCTCCGGAATCTTGACCACCCCACGTCTAATCACGATCTCCGGGCCCCGGCCACTCATAACCGAAACCGTCCTGGCCAGCTGCCCTGTACTGCCCATATTGCTCTCCACATCGCCGCCGGCCGTCGAACCACTAGTAGTACTAGTACTACCCGACGACTCCTCCCCCTCATCCCTCCCCTTCTTCCGCTCCCCAACACCAACCCCTCCTCCTCCCACCTTCTCCCTTTTTTCACAAGGTTCCGTCTCAATCCTCCCTCCCCTCCGCTGCTCCCAGAATAGCCCCGTCTCGCCAGGACTCCACCAGTAGTACGGAAACCTCCGCTGGATATTATTGACCAGCAGCGCGACGGCCAGCATGAGCGCACAGCCCAGCAGCAGGGGCAGGAACAGGAACCAGCCCAGCGCCGAGACGCTCGGGTCCAGCACGGCCATCAGCGCGGTGGCGCCCGCGGGCGGGTGCACGGTGCCCGTGAGGGCCATGGCCGCCGTGGCGAGGGCGCATGCCAGCGACGCGCCCAGCCAGCGGACGGCCTCAAAGTGCGGCGATAAGGCGAAGAGCTTGCAGATGACGATTCCCACGAGCGCCGAGACCAGTTGGCCCAGGATGGCGTTGCGCGGTTGCGCGAGGGGCGACTCGATGGCGTAGAAATCTAGGACGGCTGCGGCGCCCTGGGGAGTACGGTTAGTAGTTTTACGGGGGATGAAACGGAGAGTTGGTGAGAGAGTAAAACGGTGGTGTTGAGAGAGAGAGAGTTGGGAGATGGGAACAACAAATGTGGGGGGGGGGGGGGGGAGAAAGGCAACGCACAAAACTGCCGATGATGATGGGCACCGCGCGGCTCTGGAAGGCGGGCACCTCTTGCGCGACGGCGCCGATGATGGCCAGGGAACTAAACACGCCGACGACGGCCCAGAAGATCATGGCCAGGTTGCCGAGCGAGGGCGGTGGCGCGTGGGTGCGGTATCCGAGGAAATGGGCCACCGGGGAGGGTAAATAGGGTAGCGCGGAGGGCGGGAAGAAGGGGTTCAGGTGCTTGTCGATGTCGAAGTGCCATCGGGACGGGCCCCGGCGCGGATGGTGGGTTGCCGTCATCGCTGATAACCAGGGGAGCAAAAAAAGACTATCCAAGTAGTCCGGAAATAATATTCAATATATCTGTCCGATGCTAACAAGTCGAGCAAAGACGAACGGATCGGACGGTTTCTAGATATCAGAGCTGTCGGGATAGAGATGGATGTGGTCGAGACCAAGATGCCGGAGCAGGTGTTCACTTCGTTTTCCCCACTGGCCAACGCAATTTCACTCCTCGATGGCGGCAAGTTCGTCGTCTGGTGTTCGGGGCCGTCCCTCAGCCAAAGAAGAAAACGAGCGTTCTTGTACTGTGTTGTAGTTGTAGCCCGTGCCTGCTCAAAAGCTCCTCCTCCACCAGAGCGAGAACGACAACCCGGGAGACGGGTCATTAAAATACTGCAGCTTCCCCATCTTTTATTAATTAAGCTCACCGGAGCCCGGGGGGGCTTGCCATTTGAATCCCGAGCGAAATCCAGAGAACCGGTGCTCCAACTTGAACACCCAGCAAGGGCCAACAAAACTCGTGACAAAGGGATTGCTCGAGGAGCCAACGGCGAGTTGTCCTTGGGCTCGCGCCGCCCGGGGATTTACGTCAGATTTGCTAAGAGAAATTCCCGATCTGGCTTAGCGCCGGAAGGTGTCAGAAGCCTGTCATATTGCGCCCTGGACGTTGGATCTCTTGCGCATTGGAGATCTCCGCGGAGCCAGCCGAGGCTACTGTACAAAACTAGAAGCAGCCGTTTTCTGTTTTGGGTTTCTGTGTGTGTTTCGTGAAACGCTTTTGTTGGTGAGGTGGGCTGTTTCCAGAAGGATGGAAGGCTGCTCCCGGCTTTCTGGGCAGGACCCGCTCCAAGGGCCAACGGCTAACGGCAATTGGCAGCGCTGAGGAACAGGGGAAGGGTTGGCCCGTCGATCCGGCGCGCGCTAAAAATCACAGAATGCGGAGTGCATGCGAGAAGCTAGCTTGGGCTTGAACACTGTCAGCGGCTAAGGTCTCCCGAAGAAATGTGAATTGAGCCCTCCACCGGGTACCTAGGTAAGCAAGCGATATTGTCGAGATTGTGTTCTTTTCCCTCAGTTGGCGAGGCCCATGTTTTCACGATGATGAAGTCAGAGCGCTACGGTTCCGGTCTTTCCCACTGTTCGTCGGTGATGTGGGGCCGCGGCGAACACTCGGCATGGTGGCTCCGGGCAACATGGCCCACTGAAGGTCAAAAACCTTGAACGACAACGCGAACATTGGCAGCAGAAGGGTTCCTGCTCCTTCCGATGCTGTGGTCTCGCCTTACTCTCGAAGAGCATTCTGTACTGCCCTTCAGGAAAGGCTATGTATGAGCAAGGTATGTCACACTGCCGGAGTCGGAACTCCGAGGCCGCGCAGCATCGTTCTGAAGGCCGAGCGTGTCACATAAGCGTCGGGCCGATTCGCCGCCCGGCGTGGACGGATGAGTACACAGTAGAGGTGGAAAGTTCATAAACCAGAACTGGCAGTTGTTTAAAGGGGACCATCGGATGAAAAAGCTCGGAACCCGAGTAGTTGTGAGGAAGTGGAACGAAATGAGCTCGAGGTAGGGTGTCCAGTCTGCAAAGTTCGAGGACGTGGCTTGGAAAATACATCTGTAGTCGGTGAACCGGCACAGGGGAGACCTCCGTACCAACGCAGGACCCCCCCGCGGCGCCTGCAAAGGACAACCACAGGATTCGGAGTCTACTGGAACGAATCATTGTTTCTTGCTGTCGTCGATATCGCAGAAGGCAATGTTGAAACCGTTTCAAGGTCTGGTCTACGAAAGCGGAAGATGTGATGAGATACAAGACACTAGTCTTAAGAGAAAGAGGCACGGCGAGCGCGGCTGCTTAGCTTGTGCACCAATCACCTCTCCGAATAGGCGATCAATGTTCTACCGACAGAACTTTACGAACCTGAAGCTGACCCGCCTGGAACGTCTCGTCCCGCGACTGCTTCAGAAACGGCAGAAGCTCCGTCCCTCCCGTGCCCGTCAGCTCCCCCCGGGCCTTCGGGGTGCTCCCCTGCCTCCCTTCCACTCCCGGCTCCGACCTCAGCTTGGACGACACCGTTGCCAGATTCAGCCCTGTGCACCCATTCGGCTGCCGCGACGGGATGATAATATACCGCGTCACAAGCTGGAGGTGCTTATTCCTGAACTCGGCCAGCGCCTTGGTCGCCGTCTGAAACGCCTCCCGCACCGCCAGCTGCTGCTGCCTCAACCCCCCACCCCCTTCCCCCTCCCCGACTTCCTCCAGACCCAAAAGCCGGCTCACACCAGCCCTCATACCCCCCGGATACCTCCCCTGCACAAACTCCAAAAACCTCCTATGCCGCTCGGGCATATACCCCCTCACCTCCTGGTGAAAACTCACCATCCGCCTCCCCTCCTTACCCGCTCCATCCCCCCTCCTGCTTTGTGACTGTTTCTGTTCGGGACCGCTGTTCCCTTGCACCGCATGCTCCACTCCCAACACAAGATCCAAAAACTGGATCAGCGAGCTCTGCCCGTTACTGCCCCCCCTCAACTCACGCCACTCCCCCTTTCTGCCGCCGTTGTCCCCTTCGTCGTAGAACACGCCCCGCGGCAGGCCGGCGGCCGACATGTTCTTGCTGCCTGCCAGGAAGGGGCGGATGCGGTGGTAGAAGACCGGGGGGCGGCAGCGCTCATCCATGCGGTCGAGGAGCTTGCCGAGGGTGCCGATGCAGGAGGTGAGTTCGTCGAGGGAGGCGATGGTGGTGTTGTACACTGCTGGGCTTTGCTGTTCCGGATGGTGGTGGTGGTGGAGAGATTCCAATGCGTGCAGCATCACGGGGATGATGTACCCGCCCTGCGCCTCCATCGCGACCGAGACCATGTAGAACCAGGACTCGTCCTCGGTGCCGGTGAAGGTGTGCAGCGCGTGCAGGCTGTCGAGGTTGGCTGGGTTGAGGGAGGCGGAACGGAAGTTCCAGAGATTGAGGCAGGCGTAGCTTGCTACGGGCGGGATGCCCAGGTGGGAAGATGCCGCGAGGAAGGGGATGGTTATTGGCGGGGGGAGGATCTAGATCAAGCGGAAGACGATGAGTTCTCTGTTAATGAGGGGGAAATAAATAGGTGAGTACTGCACAAACCTCCGCGGGAGTTTCACCGCCCCAGATATACGCATGGGCGAGGAAGCCAAGAACAACACATGCTCGTCGCCATTCCTGCTCTGAGGACAGATGCTCGGTGGACAGGATGGGTAGCCGGTCTACCTGGCTCCGGAATGTTTGCTGCTCCAGTAAGGTCGGGAGAGAGGCTATGAGTGACTCCCATGGCGAGTAGTACGGATTCGGAAGCCTCTCTAATGGCGGCTCTGACGGGAGGAACCCGTTTGTGCTCACTCCGTACTCTTCCAACGACACAGGGAGTGCGCCAGGAACCGCACCCTTGCTGGGAAGTGTGAGAGTCTCGCAGGGTGACATTATGTCGCAAAGGAGAAGAAGCCTTGGGAATAGAAAACAGTATACTGGTGTCTGAGGCAAAGAGGTTAAGTAAGTCATCTTACACCTCGAGATGAGAGTTGGCAGATATATAAAAGAGGTAGCAACCTTGACCGCTGTATTATACTACAGGTCCTTCACAATCCAAGTGCCCTGTAAGTGGAACCTCACACATTCCGCTCCGTGATGTGTAGTTTAGACATCCGCTGCTAGCCATGGGCCCATCCATGGCAGTGTTGATACCGGCCTTGCCTGATGTCATTTCCGCACGTGGACCTTTTCCTCATCGCGTGAACGGAACAGGTCACAGAATGGAACTAGACACAGCAACGAAGCGGGCCTTGAGCGAACAGTCAACAAGCCCGTTTCCAGGTTTACTAACAGATTCAGTGGACTTACAAGCGATGGACAACCGGAGCGGAAGTGCGGAACGCGGAAGACGGAACACGGAAGGACGGAAAGCGCGTGGAAGTGGACCCCCGATCTAAGCCGTGACCCACTCCGGGTCCGCTTCGGCGGCGGACCGGAGACAGTCAGGGGCCGTAAACAGATCGCCTCATAATACTATAAAGATTGCCCAGGACTGTGAATCAGATGTTCGTGAGCTGTCTGTGAGATTCAAGATCAGCGATATTCCAAAAGAGTGTACCGACGCCATGGAGTCCGAATGCCAATCCTTCGCCAAGGCCCTCCGAGCCGGCAACAAGCCCGCGTTTTCCTCTGAGGCAAAGTCTATTGACTATGCAAGGAAGCTGGACGCTCAAGATAAACTGAAACTTCTCCGGAGTAACTTCAACATCCCCAGTCGAAGATCTTTGAAGAAGAGAGCGCTCGACGGTAGCCTACCAGGTACCTTTCTTCCACACCATCATTCCACTCACGAAGCCCATACTGACTCCACCCTAGGAGAGCCCAGCCAACAGCGCACCTCCAACGGTGACGCTGCGGACGACGACAAGCCCTCCATCTACTTCGTCGGCAACTCGCTAGGCGCCCAGCCAAAATGCATCCGGCAGTATCTCGACTCCCAGCTCGAGACGTGGGCGTCCATCGGCGTCAACGGCCACTTCACGTCGCTCGGCAACTCGCCCCTGACCGCGTGGCAGGACATGGCGGCCGACTGCGCGCAGAAGTCGCTCGACCTCGTCGGTGCCGCGTCGCCCAGCGAGGTCATCTACATGAACACACTGACGGTGAACCTGCACCTGATGATGGCGAGCTTCTTCCGGCCCACCGAGCAGCGGCACAAGATCATTGCCGAGTGGAAGCCCTTTCCCAGCGATTCCGTGAGCCTTTCCGTGCCACTCTTTAAGCTCTGAATTTGAAGACTAACCTCTTCCAAACAGTACGCGATAGCCTCCCAACTGGAATGGCACGGCCTCTCGACGTCGACCTCCCTGATCGAGATCCAGCCGGACCCTGAAACGCTGTACATCCCGACGGAACGCATTCTGTCAGTCATAGATGAGCACGCCGACTCCACAGCCCTTCTTCTACTCCCAGGCATCCGTGCGTCCCCTTTTTACCCTCAACCCCTCTCCCCTCACCCATTCCCCCAGCCTCTAACCAAAAACAACAGAGTACTACACAGGCCAACTCTTCGATATCCCCCGCATCACCGCCCACGCCCGCCGCCACGGCATCACCGTGGGGTGGGACCTGGCGCACGCGGTCGGCAACGTCGAGCTGGCGCTGCACGAGTGGAACGTCGACTTCGCCGTGTGGTGCACCTACAAGTACCTCAACGCCGGGCCGGGCGCGATCGCGGGGTGTTTTGTGCATGAGCGGCACCATCACCACCACTCCAACGGGGCACCAGTCAATGGAGGGAAAGCAGCAGAGAAGAAATCCTATGTGCCTCGCCTGGCGGGGTGGTACGGTGCCGACAAGGCGGTGCGGTTCAACATGGAGAAGGAGTTCTCCCCCGCGGCGGGCGCAAACGGATGGGTGGTGTCGAACCCGAGCGCTATCGATCTGGCGTGTGTGGGCGCCGCGCTGAGTGTGTTTGGTCAGACGCGCATGGCCGACTTGCGCGAGAAGGGGATGGTGTTGACGGCGTATTTGGAGTGGTTGTTGAAGGGGTTGGTGGAAGAAGACGAGGAGAGGCGGGAGGGGCAGGGGCCGGCTTTTCGCATTATCACGCCCGCAAACCCGTTAGAGCGCGGCTCCCAGCTGAGTTTGTTGTTGAGGGGTGGTTTGTTGCAGAGAGTGAGCGAGAAGCTGGCGGAAGCAGGGATTGTGGTGGATGTTAGGAAACCCGACGTCATTCGTGTGGCGCCGGTGCCCATGTACTGCAGGTTTGAGGACGTTTGGGAATTCGTCGAGGTGTTCAGTCAAGCCATAGAAGAAGCCCAATAGGATTAAAGCATAGATTCGTCCGTGAGCTGTGGAATAAGGTAGCTTTGATGTTACCTGCCTCGACGGTGCCTTTCACAAAGTCTTGGTAGCACAATCATCTGCCCCCTAGACCCGCGACTGCTCTGGCTGCGTTGAGGCGTGGGACTATTGTCTCCATCAAAGGGCTACTTGTCGACCCATAACCTGATCAAACCGTATTCGTGGCCACTGACCTTTACTGGCACGATGAAGGCTTTCAGTACAGTCTCGGGTCCGATTTCGAGAGATGCATCTCGCCGCGCCTCGTCGAGCGTCATCTCAGAGGCGAGATAGTGCTCCAAACTAGAAACTCCGTCATCCTTGAAGAGGGAGCACCATGGGTCTTGTAATAAGCTCCAATGAGCCCCTGGCCCTAGCACCAACCCAAAGATAACAATAGCCGTTCCGAGATTTGCGTGTCTAGAGTTGACGTCGCTGCCCGTGCGTAGGAGATTCACACGTATCGCCCCGTAGATCAGTGGAACTGAAGACGTGAGCTCCGGCCGGCGTGGCCATTGCGCAGGCCACAACCCGAACCATTGCTGTGAGCTGCGATCTGTTCGGTTAGGAATATATCCGTTACAGAGACAGTGATCTCCGCGGCGTTGCGACTCAAGGGCATCAACCACGCATTGAGCAACTCATCACAGTATAGCCAAGACCCGTTGCTGAGATGCCTAGTACTACGCGTTTTGAACCCGGTACCCTGAATCGTCACACGCTGTACGCTGAACCGACGTGCATCATGATCCGCCGCTGCATTGGGATATCATCAGCAGTTGCTTCTATGATGTGAATGAGAAGCTGAACCACGCACTTCGCTACCGTTTCTCAAATAAGAAACGGGCATTTCTTTCCAAATGGCAATATGTAGGGAACAATACAGTACCTTTCGGCAAGATGTCGAGTTCATAGCTGTTGTGGTGAGGTTGATTCCAATACCAAGTCAGATCCAAATCGTCAACCTCGACGCAGCTATGACCGAACAAGCGTTCTGGGCGATACAGAGTCCGCCGTGTCACGATGCCTTGGTCTAAGGCACGAGAGCCTGACATTTCATTTGACTTCCACAACCGCAGCGTTGCGAAGGTCCACGTGACCGGTCCAATCTGGCAGTTAAGAATGACTTCAATTTCGGACAAGATCTGGGACTTAATCTTGTTGGTATCGCTTTTCGAGCTAGTTATGACGGCGGAGACTTCGACATGTCGACCATTAACGTATATGGACGGGACGAGTGTACCACGAGGTGGTTCGGGACGAAACAGTGATATTTCGCCGGACATAGCGAAGCATCTTGGGGATGGGGCCAAACACGATTCCGAGGGGCAGATACTAGCAGTGTCAGAATCCTCGTAACAGTACCAGGCAAGTATGGATTGATCGTCCGTGGTCCTGACGATCTCCTGTTGGAGGCGGATGAAGGCCTTGTCTGCTTCGCCGTATAGGAGAGCCATGTTGACTTCAAAGAGGCCCATTAAACAATATGCCTCGTCCTCTTTCCGTGTAGTCCTCCTTTCGAGGCCCAATACATTCGCTTGGCCACGCTAACGGTGTGAGGGTGCATGGTACCATCAAGGACGCACTCGTCTACCGGGCTTGCCTGGGACAGTATCGAGCGAAGACTTGGATCACTCTTTTTGCCCAAGTACTCCCAGCCGGAGCCGTAGAACTCGACGTTATGCGGGGCAATGAGCTCCTGCAGGGTCCAGCCGCGAGTGAACCATCTGCTGTTGCCCAGGTGTTCGACGTCCGTGACATCAGATAGGTAGGCGTAGCAGGCCCGCGATCGTACATACCACCGGTACATGGAGTTGATGGCCTCAGATAGCTCGGCGCTGCTGGACTTGTCGATGCAGCACGTGTCAATCCACATGTAGGCGTAGCCCTAACTGGCTGCCAGAGTGCATGCGCCCTGGACTTTGGCGAAGCCTGCCTTGCGGCGCGCCGTATCAAGATCGGTCATGTCGGAGAGAGAACCTCTTCTTTCTCCCACGTATACGAGAGAATCGCGTATTTGGGGATTGAGGCGTCAAGGAACTCCTCTAGCTGAAGAGAGTGGGTGTTGATAAGCTTCATGTTGCCGGCACAGAGATGCGGGGAATTGAGCGTTGTCAAGTTGAGTTTCGAAGTTCTGGAAACGATGATTGCCTGAAGGCGACGTGGAGTGAAGATTCCATGCGCGAGATGTTCCGGGCGATGTTGGAAGGAGCAACCGGGGAAGTGCAATCCGCGTCGAGTGTCATGGAGGCAAACATGAAAGAAATATGGAAGGGCGTAGGAGGAACACAACTCGAAGTCGACATGTGGTGACCAATGGTTTGTACTATTGAACTATATGCAGGCAACCGAAGAAGGCACCACCCACGAACATCTTCGAGCCAAGCACAGCTCCCGCTTAGCGATGTGTAACCTCGGCTGCGCTCCTCATTGAGCCCAATGTACTCCAGGCAGCAACACTTCCCCAGAGAGCACCCACACACCGTTACTGCTGCACGCAACCACTTACCTCCACAACCATGCGGAGCTCAACATCCACAGAGCTGAAACTTAACGTGGAAAGCAGTGATCTGTTCCAGGTCACTTGTGTTCCCCTTGTGACAATGACAAAGGACAGAGACCGGGCACAGCTATGATCGAGGACTTTTGTTGTTCGTAATGCCCCGCCCTGCACTCAAAACATGCGCCGGGCAAAGGAAGGAGCCAGCTACTGGCTGCTAATTGCTCTCGGGAAGATACACAGACATCTGAAGGCCGCCGGCATACGGCACCTCAGTTGTCTTGAAACCATTCGCCGGGTCATGGATGTAGTCCAGATACTCCTTGTACATCGGCCGTGCCATGCTGGTGTTGTCGGCGAGGACGATCGCCCCCTTTCTCAGCCGGGGCTGGACGATCTTGAGCGTGGGCAGCGCCATGGGCGTCCAGACTGCGTCGCGTTAGCCATACGTCCCCCCCTAAAAAGCCAGAGGGACCCAGAACGGGCACATACTATCAAGCAGCAAGAAATCAACCTGCTCCGGCATCCCCTCCATCTGAAGCGTCTCCAACAAATCCCCCTCGCGCAGCTCAATAAACCCCTCCACCTCATCCCCCGCCTCAGCCCAATGCTCCCTCGCGCGCGCGGCCTTGGTGGGCTCCTTCTCGGTCGCAACAACCCTCCCGGTCACATTCCTCCCCAGCGCCTTCTGCTCCGCGACGTTCTGGCCCACCGCCAGCGCCAGGTAGATGGTCGACACGCCGAAGCTGGTGCCGGCCTCGACGACGTTCAGCGCGCCGCTGCTGCGCGCCAGCAGGTACATGAAGTGGCACTTGTCTTGCTCGAGCGCCACGAACTTGTCCCGCATGTGGTCGTCGGCCGCGGCGGCCCAGGGCGTGGAGAAGAGGTAGAAGGTGAGGAGGCGCTTGAGGTAGAACCATGACTGCGAGAGCGACTTCTCCTGCGACTCGGATGCGGCGTGCAGGCGGGCGAGCAGCGCGTGCACGCGCGGGCTGGCGGATATGGCGGAGGAGGAGTCGGTGGGCGGGGCCATTGTGACTTACTTCTTTAGACTTCAGGCGGCGTTGATGTTTTTGTGGTTGATGGAAGGGTACGGTAAGTCGATTTGGGCAATGCAGAGAGCGTGGGAAGTTGTATACTGCCCAGCTCGGCAAGGTCATGAGACGTTGAGTCATGACGGACGAAAGTAAACCCGCACCCCAGTCATCGTGCGCCGAGCTCGGTCAATCCCCCTCGTCAATGATGCACAGCGAAACGACCTTGCAGACCGTCGGTTGAGTAACGTATCAATGTACACCTGGCAAGGGTGTCTTCGCTTGATTTAACCGAAAAGGTTTGGAAGCAGTAGGCCGTGCAGAGCAACCTGAGGTCCGAGTCCTCGCAAGAAGATTCGGAGTTAGCCATGTCAAACCCCTGATAGTTCTCCGGGCCGCTTTCCTTTGGGCATTGGCGTACAGTTGTCATTCTCCGCTGCGTCCCAAAGTGTGGATGTATATTTACTTGGTAACCTATCGGGATCACGGGTCAGGAAAAGAGCTCTAAGGATCCCCTGTAAAGCTGGAAGACTGGAGAGGGCCTGAAGGGAAAACGGATGGAAATGTAACAAGATTCAGCGCGGTCACATATATATGGTGTGAACTGTGATGCCTGGGGATAAAGACCGAGATAGGCACGGCACAGCTATGCCCCTAAAGTGATATATATATGGGAGGACGCGAAGACCACACTGGACAGCAAGACAACAGACTCAGAGATCTTGTTGGTGTTTAACGGTCAACGGTTAACGAACAGCGGTCAAAGTTGACGGAAGAGAAGTATACACACCAACAGATTCTGCAGCTGGTTGATCGTCCCTTATGAGCAACAGCTATATCATACTATATGGGCAAGTTAAAGCTTGGGGTGAACTAGGGGTGCCTTCCTAAGTTTCGTTCACGTCGGGGGTATACGGCAGGTTACGTCTGCTCATTGTCGCTGCATCTGTCCCGGGAATCTCCGGAGAAGAGGAGCCAAGGCAGACTTACACCACTACTAGCAGTAACAACTATGACTATATGCATCTGTCTCAACGGCAAGGTCGCTATCAGTCGGCATAGTGTGTGCACGCCCAGGTGGATAAGTACCGACTTCGACGTCCAGATTCCTAGGGCAGCGAACGGACTTTACTCAGAGATATGTGTGAATGCAGATACTCAATCCGTGTGAGATCCAGGTGTGGAGAGGTAAGGTAATTACTAGTAACCGCCTGTCCAAATGGACATCAGAACTATCCTGTCGACCTCCTATCGCTGATCAGATATGCTACACCTTCAGTGGGAGAAGCGATAGGTTGGATAAGAAGGAGGGACTAGGGCTGATCTCGGCCTCCACGGTTAATAATACAGCAAAGCTGGTAGATTCCAGGGGCAATCTCTATTTAGTATTCCCTGTGCGCTGATTAAGGCTTGTCTCCCGATCCAAAGACTTCCCCAAACTGGATTCCTTCAACTTTGAGAGGGGCTTCACCAGCTCTCAGATGCCAATAGGTACGGCGGGTTGTATTAATTGTGTGATTACTCTTCAGTCCAAGGGCTATGAATCAGCAACGACTGATGGGAATGGTCAACACGAGAGAAATACCCCAGCGGGTCAGCACTAGGCCCGTTTTGACATCACATTCAGATCATAAATACGAATCTTGGTTTACCTTTCGGGAAGGAGGATGAAAATAGCGTTGACCTCAGGTTCCAGTAGCATCTACTATGGCATGATAGTTGCCGTCGTATCCACGTATCTGCAGCATCAATGACAGTTATTTATTTGAAAGAGTCTGCCGATTCAACGGTGCTTGTTGCTGCTCAGGGGACCAGTCCAGCCTAGCCTTCCCAAGATGTTCGGCTCATTGACCAGTGCCTATGCCGTCTGTGCTGCAGCGGCCTTTGCCATTATCGCTCACGCCCATCCGGCCTTGTCCACGAAGCTAGTCCACGAAAAGCGAGATGTCGTACCAGGCCAATGGACGAAGCTGAGCCGTGCCGAGGCGACACGGCCCTTGACGTTGCGCATCGGCCTAAAGCAACGCAACGTCGAGAGGGCCGATGAGTTTATCAGCGCCATCGCCCACCCCGATTCGCAGACGTACGGCCAGCATTGGTCGCCGCAGCAGGTCATCGACACGTTTGCGCCGAGCGACGAGGCCATTGCCGAGACGGAGAAATGGCTCCTCGTCGAAGGTGTCGCAAGAGACCGCATTGCCAAGACGAGCGGCCGGAATTGGATCACGGTGACCACAACGGTTGCAGAGGCTGAATCCCTCCTCGACACGGCCTACAACGTCTATGAGGACGACCAGGGCACTCAGCTCGTCGCATGCGAGTCATACAGTGTCCCGGCTACTGTTCAGGAGCACATCGACCTGGTGGCTCCCACGATCCAGTTTGACGAGAGGGAGGCCATAGTAACGACACGCAGCCTCAAGCAAAGGGACGACTCAAACGGTCCTAAGTTCAAGAAGCTTCCGCACACCCACTTCGATGCGGACTCACTGAAGAACTGCAGCGCGCTCACCACACCAGCATGTCTGCGAGCCTTGTAAGTTGCCATTCCACGCCTTCACGATTTTCCAAGATGGGGAACTAACCGAGGCAGGTACAACATCCCTAAGGACGTCCACCCCGTAAAAGGCAACAGCTACGGCATCGTCGAGTTCGCACCGCAAAGCTACAACCAGGACGACCTGAACACTTTCTTCTCCGTCTACACCAGCGGCTCCATCCCCAACGGCACCTCCCCGATCTTCCAGGGAATCGACGGCGGCTACCTCTCTTCCGACCCCGGCTCCGGCACCCGCGGAGAATCCAACCTGGACCTGTCCTACGCCATGGCACTCACCTACCCGCAGAACGTAACGCTCTACCAGGTGGGCGACAGCGTGGCCTCCAACCCAGCAACTAACAACAACTTCCTGGACGCCATCGACGGGACCTACTGCCACGCTGACGGCGGCGACTCCCCGGACTGGGACGCCATCTACCCGCACGAGCCTTCCCCCACCGACCCCGACGATGATGAGGGGGTGTACACGGGCCAGCCGATGTGCGGCGTGTACAACGCGACCAAGGTCATCTCGGTCTCGTACGGCAGCAACGAGGACGCGCGCCCCGCCAGCTATCGCGCTAGGGAGTGTGCTGAGTACATGAAGCTGGGCTTGATGGGCGTGACCGTGCTGTTCTCGTCCGGCGACGACGGCGTCGCCGGGCTCAGGGGCCAGTGCGTCAAGCCGGACGGGTCGTATACTCCCGTCGGGGCGGCGTACGGGCGGTTTAATCCCAGTATGTCCTCCTCCCTTCCTCTTTCACACCCCCCCTCCGGCTCTTCATCACAACAAACGCTAACGAGCTATAAACTATATACAGTGTTTCCCGGTACCTGCCCATGGATAACCTCCGTCGGCGGCACCGCCCTGCCTCCCTCCACCCCCCCTGACGCCCCAGAAACCGCATCCTACAAATTCCCCTCCGGCGGCGGCTTCAGCAACCTCTTCCCCCAGCCCACCTACCAAACCTCCGCCATAACACACTATTACGCCCACCACGACCCGGGCTACAACTCCTCCATCTACAACAACACCCGCACCACACGCGGGTACCCGGACGTAGCTCTCGCCTCACAAGACTATGTGACGCCCATCGACGGCGGCTTCACAGCCTTTTCGGGGACGTCGGCGTCGAGCCCGACCTTCGGCGCCATGATTGCCCTCATTAACGGGGAGAGGCTGAAGGTGGGGAAGGGGTCGGTCGGGTTTATCAACCCGGTGCTGTATGCCCATCCGGAGGTGTTTAGGGATGTGAAGGAAGGGAGGAACCCGGGCTGTGGCACGCAGGGGTTTAGTGCGGTCGAGGGGTGGGATCCGGTTACGGGGCTGGGCGCGCCGGATTTTGAACGGTTGAGGAGGGTGTTTTTGGCTTTGCCTTGATTCATACTAGGTAGGTACTTACGTATGTAGCGGTGGATGTGGGAGATTGGGGGGAGGTGTCGGTGGAAAGCGGGAATGCGGTTGGGGGTATGGTAATAGTGTTAGCACCGTCGTCTGGATAGGTAGGTAGGTACGGATACTAAGCACCTGTATTCCCTCCGCCTGATAGCGAGGAACCTAATATGTGCCATTATTTACGCTGTTCGTATTGCATACCAACGACTCCTAAGCAAAGTTCAACTCTAACAAGGAAAGTCAAGTGTTCATCATTTGCCATCTCGTTCCATATCATCAACCTGAATTTCACAGTTATAACTATTAACCCCCTTCCTCCCTAGCCCTTGGATATCCCTCCAGTCGACCTCGTAACTACTCGACTCGGCGGTAAGCTAGATTCGGCCGCTTTGGGGGGCATCGTAGGGGTAGAGCTTCATTGGTATCAATCTAATATGAAGTTCAAGTTAGTAGTAAGTATTTGTAGCACCCTGAGTGTCTTTACCTGAAACTTACATCCTAAAGCTGATTATTAGAATATACTAATCGAAGAACCAAAAGGACTAGAACCGAATAAAGTTGCGCCAATGCACGTAATTGAGCCTTAACACGGCAATATACCGTCCCTCCAACTAAAGGTATCGAACACCCGCTTCCTTAACATAGAACCAGTTCACCCCTGCGTACGGCGCTTCTCCTCCCGAGACCCCTTAGCACCATCACCGGTACTGCGCCGCTTTTCGGCCGCCTGTGGGGGAGCCTGGAGGAGATTCGGGTCGGCGGAGAACCACCTCGGGATGAGGGGTTAGGTCGATCGAGCTGTCGATGGAGCGCAAGAGCTCGTACTGACGCGATTGTTCCCTTGTCATCTCCGACTCTGGAAGAACGGTAGTCCGAGTCCTTCTGGAGGGTTCCGTAGGAGCTTCTCTGGGGGATTCCTCGGCCATGAGCCTTTTGTCCTGCCGGGCGATGAGCATGGAATACTCGTTGATCTCGTCCTCGGTCAAGTCCGGGAAGGCCGCCTTCCGCGCAGCCGCCCACTTCTCTTCGGGAACATGGTCGTTGATGTAATCCATGACGCGGTTTCGGACATAGCAGGTCGGCACGTCTTCCAGTGTGTGATCACGCCCTAGCCGGCCGCTTCTGACTTCCATCGAACCTAGAGTTAAGCTGCAGGCAACCTTCCCGCCGGCCATCCCGTCCCACCAGGTGATACGCCCTCGGATGGGACGTGTCGTTTACGGTGACAAACCTGCGGCGTCCGCGAGATCATCGATGAGTGCAGCATTTGATTTTGCAGGTCCGAGTTGCTATTTCAGGATTAGCATTTTAGTGCCACAGACGGGGGCAGGGGTAGTAGATTCACAGTCCTTGGTGCCGAGAATGGAGTGGTTGGCTTGGAGTTCGGATCAAGAGGTGGCGGCTCATCTTCCCATACCGCCTTCGAGTTGTAGGCCGGAGGCAAGTCGGCGATGACTTTCTCAAAGATTTCCTTCCGTTGGCTGTGCGGGATAGCATTGTCGTGATTACGGATATGCTCTTTTATGTGTCTACGATCTCCTCTGCTGGCACGTCTTGAAAGGTGTACTCGGAATGGTTTGGACGGAAAAGCCTGATGCCCGGTATCACGGCCAGACCTGAACCAGGGATCCCATATTTCTTGATGTAGCCGGAAACAGTAAGTGAGAATTTTAACCTCTCGATTCCTTTCTGTGGCAGGCCGGCATGAGTGTACTTGTAAATCTTCCCTGTCTGCTCAAAAGGGTCCAGAACTGGTCGCCATGAAGACAAGAAACCACACCTTTTGAGCAACCACGAAGATCAGAAGCTGTCGCTTTTCCAGGGAGGGCGACAACGCGAATCTGGACTTTGGTAGCTTACTTCTTATTTCGGTCGGCTCCCACTAGAGAGACGGGTCCGTCTCGATTAGTCATCCCAATTGATTATGTCAGCCCAAAAAATTACCCCGCGCTCGCCCCCCTGAACTGCGTGCCCCTGAACTGCGTTGCGCGCCCCTGAATTACACCACCAAGCACTACTCTGGCTACCTAACTACAGTACATTTGAATACCGCAAAGGGCATGCCCTCGAGGACCTTATATGGCCAACTGCGTGGCACTTCGAACACGTGGTTGGGGCCCGACGGGACTGGGCCTGGGCCGCCTCAACCACTTCAAATTGACTGGGCTCCCGTTTAGTACTTGACTGTGGGAGTGAGCTTCGAGCCCGAACTGGCTCAATAAGCTGGCGAGGCTCAAGGAGTAGTTGCGGGGCTCCCTCGCGCGTCAAATGCCAGTACGGGTGGAAGTGGTCAAGAAGAAGAGCCTCGCCTTGCAGACTCTCAAGCACATGTAAGCATGGTAGCCCATACACTCGAGAGAAGGTGCCTGTACAAATAGGAGAGGGGGAAGGGTCGGTCCTTGCAAGCAACTTCCGTTGTTCCTCTACCTTCCTCATTGCCTCGTATGATACCCAGCCTCGAACAGCTCCAAATAAAGCCCCTGAAAGCTCAAGAGGAGTTCGGGTTTGTTGCTTTGCCTGGCGTGCTTATAACTCAGAGAGTTGGTTTTGGAGAGCAAGTTGGATAGCCTTCCAGGCCTTAAAAAGATCGAATGTCGACCTCTTTAAATATAACTTAAGGAGCGCATGAATCCCTTCAACTCGTGAGGTAGCTATATTGCCAAAATGAGTCGACTGGTCAACCCAAGCCCTAACAAGCTTCTCCTTAAATGGAATAAGCCAAGTAGTCTTGATATATCCAACCTCCTTAAGATGCTAGGGAATATATTTCTTCTACATCTCGGCAAGCTGTTTAGTATAGGCCTCTTGAGTTGACGAGTTGATGATCGAGTGCCAGAAGCTATAAAACTCCTTCCATACCTCGGCCTCTAGAAATGCTGGCTGGCATTGTATAAGGACTGCCTTATTCGCATGCCAAATACAGATAAGTGTTATAGCTGAAGGGAAGAGGGCTAAGGCTGCGTTCATTACTACAAGGCAGCGGTCTATAAGAATAACAGATGGGAGAGATGCATTGCATTGCTCGTATAGTGCCTTCAATCGCTCAAGTGCCCAGAGATAGTCTTCCTCTGTCTCGCCACTTAAGAATGCAAATACAATACAAAAAGATCGTTGCGCTGCATCAACGCCAATCATATCGAGGAGAGGCATGCCGTACTTATTCGTCTTATACATATAGTCGAGAAGGAGGAGTTCGGGATATGCTTGAAGGTAGGCGAGAGAGTTAGGATGAGCAAATAGGACTGCAGTAACTCGGCCATCCTTTGCAAACTGGATTCGGCTCCAAAAACCTTCCTTGTCGAGCTGGTTGGCGAGCGCTTGAATTGGACTCTGGCCTTCGCATATATCCCGACGAATCTCTGCAACCCGATTGTAGATATCTTGCCGTATAGCTAGCGAGCCACTTTGCCGTACGAGAGTCTGGATCTCCTTTGGCGTAAGGCCAGCATTCGAGAAGCTAGCAAGTTGCGATATACCTCCAGAGAGTTGTCGATGGACTGGATAGGCGGATGGGTGTTGGCTTGGTTCGTGGTTGTGCCTAGCAAAGCGATGATCAGAGCGATGCTTGAGAGCCCAGCTACCGTCAGCTGTCTCTTTTGCTAGTATAGAGAAAAGGCAATTCGTCCTTCGCGTTGTTGTTCTTCTCTGGCGCTCCAACGAGCCGCTTAGGGGCTGACGAGATCGATCGCATGCGTAGATCACTATCGAAGTGCCATTCTTCTCCTTCGTGGATCTTTGGGTGACGAAGGCATAGCCCCTTGGCTTGGCCCATAGATTGATGGCTTCGAATAAGGCCTGTCGAGACGCGAAATGGCCTTCGGGGGGCAGGCAGTCGTCTGGAAAGGTAGCCATTGCAGTAGCGTTGGTAGCAGTGGTGATGGCATTCAGGGGCGCGCAACGCAGTTCAGGGGCACGCAGTTCAGGGGGGCGAGCGCGGGGTAATTTTTTGGGCTGACATAATCAATTGGGATGACTAATCGAGACGGACCCGTCTCTCTAGTGGGAGCCATTTCGGTCGAGTTGCTGACTCAGCAGACCTTTAGTCACGTGGTATGACGTTTTCTGATGAATAGAACGGTAGAGAACGTATACGTGCTCAGTTTGGAATCCTCCGTTTTCAAGCTCTGTTTCCTATCTATACTTTGGGTGTGAACTTAACAGCGCTTTCAATGACTACCAAGTTCCAACAATGTGTTGTAAATCCTGCTCTTAGCCAACCAAACGCGTTTGCGACCCTCCTCTATACGCCTTGGCTAATAACGCTTTTATGTTTATGCGTGTCGAAGGATGCCCCAAAGCCCACCGTCTTCGACTCCCACCTGCTGACGGCTACAGCAGCGGGCGACCTGCTGGCCTGGTCGTCCCAGGAGCGAGCCCTTCCGTGGTATACCGAACGCCAACAGTGGGGCTACTGCACAAGGAGTGAAAAACTAGCGGCGTGGGCTCAGCGACCTGGCGTGCTCGCGGCCGCGGCGCTCGTCAACCTGATAGAGCTGACCGATATCGAACTGGACGCGCCCATGGCCCGTACGTGTAACTCAGCCGACCCTGCTCAGCTGACCTTGATGCTCGTCGTGGAGGGAAAGCCTCAGCCACCGCAACGGTACCACGCGAGCCACTAGCAGACCTAGCAACGAGTACACGCGCTGCCCTCAGGTCACGATCACTTGCGGCGCCGACATCGCCCGAAGGCAGATAGCCGGTTTACGTCGCAAGCTGGCAATGAGCGTGAAACCGGCCTAACACCGACGCAGTCGAGCATCAGCGGGGCTATGGAGCAGCGGCAAGGCAGACCGGAGCTGGCTGGAATGGCAGCGAAGCGGTTGGTGGGGAGTCTTGACTGCGTCCAACTGATGCGCTACTCCAGAACGTACCACTCACGGGCTTCCCGGAATACCCACCCAAGGGGTTGTTCAGGCGGACTGGCAATCTGTTCTGCCTGACGATCGCCTTGCCGATATGCATTATACAGTTGGCGACGTATTCCCGAACTGACAGGTGCTGTCGTGTAACGCTGAGATCAATCACACCCGCCGCCTAGATGAATATC